TGCTGGAAAGTCCAAGGTCATGGTGTCTTCTGCTGATGCAGGTGAGACGGAGGAAACATGAGAGTACCCCTGCGCAGTTTGCTATACAGGTGTTGGAGCAAACTCAATCAGATGCACCAAATGCAGGAGCTGGGTCCATCGCAGAAGCAGTAGAATATGTGGTAGCCTGCAGGCAGCAAGTAAGACATTCATCTGTAAGAGATGCTTTGAGACAATCTCACAGAAATGTACCAGTGACGATGTGACAGGTTTGGATCTCCATGGAACAACGTATGATAAGGTGGAGAAGTTCTGCTACCTGGGAGACATGTTGGCTGTCAGAGGAGGAGACACAGCAGCCCTGAATGCAAAAATCCAAAGCGCTTTGAAAAAGTTTTGTGAGCTCTCTCCTTTTCTCACCACAAGGGCGACCCCTTTAAGAGTGAAAGGGATGGTGTACAATGCTCGTGTAAGAAAATGCATGTAGTATGGGAGAGAAAAATGGGCAATGAATTCGTCCAATGTACAGCGCATGGAGAAAGTTGAGATGAGGATGGCGAGGTGGATGCGCAGGGCATCACTTCATGAGAGAAGGAAGAACAAAGTTCTCCTTCAATCAATTGTGGGGGTGTCACAGGTTATGAGGATAAATAGACTTAGATGGTTTGGACATGTGGCAAGAAGAGAGGCAACACACTGGCTCCAGAGGGCTCTAAATTTTCCTGTCACCGGAAGAAGACCCAGGAAAACTTGGAGATACCATAGAAGAAGATGCATCAGTCCTATGGATCCCACAGACAGGAAATCTTGGAAAACAGCCATAACGGAAATGTCCAGCCCCACAAAGTGGGACAAATGGACTTTAAACGCTAATGATGTGGAGATCAACATAAACACCTGGGTGATTAACATAACCAGTACATGTGCACGTACCTCGTTGCAGGCCCATTGCAATAAAAAATGTACCTAGTAACTCCTAAAATATCACTTTTTCTGTGGCATTTCTTGGAAAACAGGAGAAACTATTGTATTCTTCGTTCAAGTTATGTATCTGCTTACAGTAATTTTGAGTAGTTGTTGCCTTTCCTATTGTGCTCTCGTAGTTGTAATGATTTCTTGGTACGATCACGTATGTTTGTTTCCGCACGCTAATGAAGTGTATTGCACATTCCTTCCATGACTAGTCCGAAATCGCCTTGCAACAGCTGTCAGTATAGAAACTTGTTGTGAGTAATAAGTAAGTATCAGCTTTTAAAAGAAGCATACAGTGTTTAAAATAAGACAAAAATATTTATTTTGTCTTTAAAAAATATTTGATCGGTATGTTGTAAAGAAGAATTTTTAATTTTTGTATTATTCTAAAAATTAATGTTTTTGTACAGTAGGTTTGCGGGTGCCCCATTTGAGACAAAGAGAGAGAGAGAGAGAGGGTTGAGGAGTCCTGAAAAGGACTGTTGTTATCTTTCTTAGCATATAGTTCTAAGGAGAACTATAGCGCTTGGAGAGGATGAGTGGCTCAACGTTTCGAACAGGTTGACTATCCGTCGTCAGGAGTCCTCACGACGGATAGTCAACCTGTTCGAAAGGAGGCTACGGGCTACAATGTTTGTGTTTACATTATCTAAGAGCATCGTGCCATTTCTTGTATTGGCCCTCGAGGGCAGACCGGGGCAAATCCGTACAGAGGTTGCTCAGAGATTGTATGGAAAATCATGCAATTTCAGTGCAGCACCCGTGCAGTCTCTGCAACCTCCACGTGGAAATCGTACGGAGCTCGTGCAGCTTCCATGAAGAGGTTGCGCAGAGAAGGCATGGTGACCGTGCATCGCCGTGCCGTTTTTTCAGCGTCTTTTGCCCCCATGTTCACTGAAATATTGTGCATTTGCTGCACGATTAGCGTGAGACCTCCACGCGATGCCCGTGTGGGGATGTGCAATGCCACCTATGACATATCTACGGGCTACGGGCTTGTTTAACATCCCGCGGGAACAAAATCGTAGTCAACCCGGAGCACTTGAATCCGTACAAAAATCTCACGGCCATGCATACTGCCTCCGCACGGAAAAGGTAATACGTGCAGGATATGGGCCCCATAGACTAATCGCAGGCCAAATGTAATCCAGACACCAGCTGTTATTTTCGTTACTTTCATGAATTGCATATTATGGCTAATTTATCAACACGCAAAAGTATTGGCACCTCATCATTCCGGAGCGCGAAATATCAGCATTAAATTATGTGCTTGCATCCTCTTTAAATCGCTAGCTACTAAACTGCCTTATGTATGTAGTAATTATAATGCAATGCCGTCGCCTCCTGCCCCGCGTGTTCTTTCTCTCCCTGAGCATATATTGCACAGATTGCACAATGCATGCATGAAATTCTCGTAACGGTACATGTACGTTACTCAGCTGTATGTGGTGCAATGGGCTACCTAAACTTGTGTGTGTTTACTTACATGACCGAGTCTGTGTGTGTATATGTTAGCGTGAGAAAGTTTGAGAATACTTCATGCCAATTCATTAAATCTTCTGTGTGCTATTCCCGAAAGCAACGTCTATTAGCCTGTCATTTGCGAAAATATCTACGCCAAAATATCAGCTTATACAGTAAAGCATGCCAGACAGCAGACGGTCAGCTGGGTGTAACATTACACCACGGTTTCTCTGAACAGGGTGCGTGGCCTTTGTTATCGGTTACCAGCACAAAATCCAAAATGTATGCAAATCTTGGATGCGTGTAATGTGCCCTCCATGTGATGCTTGTTTTGATATGACAGACAAATTGATCAATAATAGTAGAGCATGTGGGATGGGCACTCTTACAGAGACATCTGTATTTTGACTTGTTTGGTTATTGGCTAATATGTCTGGCTCCGTCTTAGGGAGTGGTCTAGATTTAAGGTTGATAATGTATGCTGATCTGGGACTTACAGTTCTGTATGTAACTGTCTTGATCCTGGCTAGAAGTTGCGCACATGGCATGTCTAGACCACAGGCAGCAGAATAAAAAAATGTAGCGCTGTGTGTCCTTTATTTAGGACAAGGTCAGTAGGTCACACAAGATTTGTTGTTGTATATATAGGTAGCCTTTTTAAAATCAATAATAATGCCAGTCCCACTCTATTCGGGTCAACTGGGCTGCGTCTCACGAAACCGTCATAAGTACAAGTTGAGCGACATCCCATTGAAATGCGTGTTAAACTTAATACACGCATTTCAATGGGATGTCGCTCAACCTGTACTTATGACGGTTTCATGAGACGCAGCCCAGGCTTTTCCGGGTCAGGTTTTTAAATTTGAAAAATTGCCTGGGTTTTCGGTTCTGAGCTACAGCACTACATTTACTATAACTTTTTATACCAACACCAATTAAGAGGTAAAACAAAAAACCCTGCCTACAAGGTAGAGTACCTAGGATGAAATCTTGTGGTACGCCGAAGCAAAATTGGAGGAATTATTATTATAAACTACATATTGAGATCTATTAGAAAGATTACTTTCAAACCAAGATGACAGACAAATCTGAGTGTTCTAGTTTCCGAGTGGTGAGTCAACACACCGATAACTGACCTGGGAGACATTGCCAGACATAGTGCCATAAATCGAAACTTTTTTTTTTGTGTGTGTGTGTGTGTGTACCTGTGTATAAGACGCACCCCCGACTTACAATTTTTTTCGGCGGCAAAAAAGTGTGCCTTATACACAGAGATTTACGGTATATGTAGTACATACAAAATGTATGCTTACGTCAAATTTCTATGATTTTATGCATAAGTTGAAGATTGCCTAAGTCGACACATATAACTCTGCCCTGTCGGGATTGACTGGCACAAGGTTATCTGTATTTTATGGATCAAGTGTACCAGCACTAAGAAAAAAAGTCCTGACTACCACTGAAATCACTGACTACATCGCAACAAATGGCTCTTTTTAATGACAAATAATCCATTGTAACTAATGAACAATTGGTTACTATTTTGCACAATTTTTGTGAAAATGCACCGTTTATTACCATCCAATAGGTTACAACTTATTTGATTGGATCTTTAGTTTTGGGGGCTTTTTTTGCTAAAAAGGGAGTGGGTAGCTTTGTCTCAGATTCTGAAACAAAATGCTGGATTTAGCTCATGCCGCAATGATAATTGTAAACCTGTAGGTCAAGGAACCCCATGACTTTTACAAAACGATCGCCTGTCTGATTATCAAGATATTTATGAATGGAAATTGAAATCAAGTTTTGTGTTTTCCTAACAGTTTTCATAACACTACAGGATTGGGGAAAAAAAGTATGGTTAAACCGGTCACTTAAAGATTTTTACTTTTTTGAGTCATTTCTTGATCATTTTGCAGCGCAATTTTTTTAGGGCTTCAATATTTCACCGTATCGCAGACACTGCTATGACGTAGCGCCGTGCATCTCAGATTTAACATTGTTAAACAATTATATAATATTGACTGGCCTTGAGGGGTATATCAGAAATATTGACCAAGCTCAGATCATATTGCCCCGAGTCGAAAGACGAGGGCAATATGGTCTTAGCGCGGTCAATATTTCTGATATCCCCGAAAGTAAAGCCAGTCAATATTTTTATTGTTATCCAAATCAGACATCTAGAGCAAATACAGACATCCACCATGACAATCTCAAGAACTGAACAAACTTTGTCAAACCAACACTGTGCATCCAGTGCTTGACAAAATTTTCGATACACTACATACAGTGTGTATTTGGTGTGATTATTACGTCACAATAGAGTGCGCGCAAAGTGCGCAGGTTCTCGTACGCATAATATTAATAGATGCGCAATGAAAATACCAAGGTATATTTTCACTCGTCTCTACACGCAAAGTCAATACGCGCAGGGAGACCAAGGAAAATACAAAGAATATACCCATCCGTTCCCACTGCTAGTGAAAACTAGGGCAATACGGTTTTGTAAATGACCAGCTCAGATGTCTGATACGGGTAATAATACCTTTAATACATCTACATATAATTTATTTTTCTTGTACTTTCAGTGTTGGAATGGATAGGCGCCAGCTAAGAAAGTGCAAGTCGACCTCTGCAAAAGCTGGAGCTCAGCCTCTTAACTCAATCAATGTTTGCAAGAAAGTAGGTAAGAAGTTCTAAAAAAATAATTTGTAAAATGTATAATATTTTGTATGTGTACATGTATGCTCTTCTATGTTTGAAGTTTGTGTACACCCCCCCCCCCCCCCCCTTGTCGTAAAGTGTAAGTGAGCCACTTGCAGCACTGCCAAGTAGTACGGATTTGCCGTATTCCGTACGGAAATCAACTTAAAATACGGACGGACGTTTTTTCATGTTAAAATACGGAAGAAGAAAAAATTGGTTGTGTATAAGTCTATGGGCGGTGCGCACACCGTGTCAATTGTGTATTAGTCTATGGGCATGGCTGGTGCACTCCGTGCGCTGAAAGACGTGTTTCGACTTTGGATATCCGTTTGTATGTTTACTGTGCGTGTGTGCGGTCCTTAGAGCATCGATTGTCTGCGTGTGGGACTGAAGTGGAATCGGTGCTGCAACTTGCCAATATGCGTACACGTGTGTGTGTGCGTACTAATTGTGCATGCTAACGACGTTGTTGCTTTGGAAGTAACATGTACATTAGTGACACTTAAGAGTTAGAACTAAAATGAAGGACATTTGCAGAAAAGACTGAAGGAATTGTCCAGTCAATGACGGTAATGAATGTTCATTTAAGCTACTTTTGAAAGGGCAAAATAATGTTAAGTCCATTGTGCAGTGCTTAGTGTAGATCTAAAACACAATTGTTAGCGTGTGGGACGGGAATGTAATAAGTGATCGTACATTGCCGATATATGCATGTATACTTTTTTCATGCAGAAAAAATACGGATTTTTTGGTCAAAATACAGATTTTGGGGGATAAGAATACTGAAAATGCAAAATAAAACTTGGCAGCTCTGCACTTGCACACAGACTCTCATTGTATGCCGGTGGGGTACTTTGGATTCAGCAGCGTGCCGCCGCCGCCCGCCGCCGCGTCATATTCTTGTGTGCGCTCTAACTGCCACATTCCTTGACGGATTTCTGAAAAATTTTGTATGGAGGTGTATCGTGGTATAATCTCAACACCTACAACTTTTGATGCTGATACATTTTTCAACGGATTTTGTTCAGATTTTTAACAAAGGTGTATCTTGGTATAATCTACAAGCCTATAGATTTTGGTGATGCTGCCTCCCGTGTTTCGTCTTTTATAGGGTCAGGTGTCATATTCTGATGGTGACTAGTGTGCACTCTAGTGTGCAGTCTAACTGCATCATTCCTTGACAGATTCTTTTCAAATTTTGTATGGAGATGTATCTTGGTATAATCTACATACCTATAACTGTTGGTGGTGCTGCTCTCAATGTTCCGTCTTCTATAGGTTAAAAGGCCATATTCTTTAAGATGGTTAATGTGTGCTCTGCAGGTCATATTTCATGACGGATTTCTTTCAAATTTTGTATAGAGAATTAAAAATGTATCTTGGTATAATCTACACTTTTGGGCAATGCTGCCCTCATTGTCCTATCTTTTATATGGTCAAAGGTCATATCTGTCTTTTATGCACTCTAACTGCCACATTTCTTGGCATATTTCTTTCAAATGTTGTATGGAGGTGTGTCTTAGTACAATATACACATCTTTAGTGTTTGGTGATGCTGCCACCTGTCTACCGTCTGTTATAGGGTCAAAGGTCATATTTTGATGCCTGTCTTTTGTGCGCGCTAACTGCCACATTTCTTGACAGATTTCTTTCAAATTTTCTACAGAGATGCATTATACTCTAATCTACACACATATTGTTTTGGTGATGCTGCTCCTAGTCTTGACAATAGTCTGAGCCACTAGTCACGATCTATACGTCATCCTTTTGTTTCAGGGAGGGGATAGGGGATCTTTGTCCCTCCTTCGAACATAAGGATGACACAAAATCGCTGCCACTGCCGGGGGATACATTCACATTGCGCGGCATTGCAGATTGCGATATTTCTGGTTTTATTTATTTTATTTTATTTCCAGGAACATAAATAAGTATAACAATAACAAACAAAACAAAACGAAGTACAATAATAGATACAATAACAGAAAAAAGCCATCAACTAATGCCTGGGGATTACCAAAAGAAACTGAGTCTCTGTAGGAGGCTCTCCTCATTAGTTGATGGTAAATATACACGAATATACACAGATATACATAAATAGACATAATTACATAAGATATATACATAATTCAATTTAAAAAAAAAGATAAATCATGAGATCATAAATATAAAACACCCATGTATTGTTTAGGTCATGAGAGTGAGCTGATTTAAACAAGAACCCCAAAATCACTTAATTTTGGCAAAGAAAAGCCTGAAGTTAAAAAGTTGTATTACCGGTAAACTAAACTTACATTGTAATTCTTTTGTTGACACCCTTTCAAATAAATTTGAAATTTGAACCATTAGTATTAAAGATAAAGGCGAAAGGTGCAATGGTATTACCTGAAAGGAAGAAAAACCAAAAGAACAGAAACAAATTGAGTGTTATGAATCAGTATACTGCCTGAAAGAAGATTTTTCAGCAGTTACATGTAACTCTGCATAATTCAAATTTGAAATTTTAAGTAGTTTAACTAATGCAAAATTCGACTTAAAAAGTGTTAGGTGTAACATGTTTTGCATAGTTTGGTCATAACAAAATATCTGATTTTGATTTGGAAAATTCACCTCATGAGACTTTGAGTTGGCAGATTTAACTGGATATGGGGAGGACACTTGATGAAATTAAGTAGTCCTGTGCTTCTTGTTTGTACACAATAAAATAGGATATTATAGTTGTCTGTATTGTATCACGTTTCTTAAAGTGTATTTGCTTATTATGTAACACACATGGTCTGTATCATTTACTTTGCAGAGGTACGCCTGAACCCTTCATTCTACCACAAGTATAAGTGTCCCCCTATGAAGCGAAGGAGACCAAGCAGTGAAGAAGATGATTCTCATTGGCTGTTGGGTCAAAACCCTCTAGCACGCGTCAAGCAGGTTCCCGTAGTAAGGGCCAAGACTCCTGAGGCGATTGAAGATTCTAAAGCTGACATACGTGCAAAGATTGCTTCAGCAACACCAGATAAAAACACTAACCCAGCAGACTTGAGTCAAGTTACCCCAAGCCCAGTAAACTCAAGCTCCACAAAGAGGCTAGATTCTGGGATAGGGAGTGAGATTGGTAGTGGCAGTGAGAATATGGATCTAGATAGATGTCCCTCACCGATTGCTTCCGGGTCATCAATGAATAATCAGGGTTCAAAGGTCACAGAAGTTCATAATGATAGGATACATTCGGTCAGTGGTCATGACGACATGGAGGCAGAGCACCTACAGGCCATGGCTGGCATAGAGCTTTTGAGGTCAAGAGTTAAAGAATTGAAGAGAACTAAATTAGGTGAGTAGCAGTATAGTGGTCTATTTATAAACCATTGCATCCATGAGACATCCTGAACACCTTCACAAGAGAGAAAATGTTCTTAGTTTTTTTTTCCAAGTTTACGCAGCTGCAATTTTGTACAGTTATTGTTCACAGCATCTCTTTTTGGATATTTGCTCAAATGTAAAGCTACCTTTCAATGCAGTGATTTTCATGCACATTTTCATTTTTCTAGAGGTGCCTTTGGCGATTTCCGGAGCTAAATCATTCACTCTTCATGTATTTTTGTGTGTAAACTGATGCAGAGCTGGAGAGGAGAAAAATGGAGTTATGTGAGGTCCGTGAGGAAGCAAGGAAAGACATGGAAGAGGTGGAGAGAAGAGCACACCTTAACATGTCTGCATCTGTTCAGAAGGAGAGAGAAGCCATCAAGAAACAGGCTGAAAAGGATGTAGAAGCTATTAGGAAGGAGAGCAAGGCATACCAAGAGACGCTTCGAAAACAGGCAGAAATAGACAGGACATCATTTGAGAAACTATACAACAGTCAGTTACAGGTTAGGCAGGATTGAACGGAAAATGAATCTTAAAAATGTTTCATGAATTAATTCTTAATTCATTTGTTTAATAATTTCAAATATTTCAATTATGGTTTTAATTTTTCAAAATGTTGATTGCCATCTTGGTAAAGCCTATTTTATAGTAATATATTATCAGGATAGTAGTTATCTGTCTGTCAGTTAGTGGTCAGGAAATGTAGACTAAAGCTAGGTAAGCTACATGGATCAGACTTGTGAGAGATTGATAATTGGTATAGTCAAACCTGTCTTAGCAACCACCTGTCCATAATGACCACTTAAAATCCCCCATGAGATTTCATGAAGTTAAGGACCCGTGGACAGCGACGAGCAGCCACTCATTTTGCTTCCACTGGCCACCGAAAAGGTCCACACATTGACCACCAGCGGCAGCCGTGTAGCGACCAGCCACAGCAGTGCTCAAGCAAATTTTGTTCAATCGCTCTGCTGTATATGGCTCGCACAGAGGCAGCCCATGAAGCTAGATCTAACGGTCATTTACACACAAAAAACTATTCAACCCCAAGCTTTTATTCCGGAGGCACTATGTTTTCGGTTAGTCCGTCTGTCTGTGCTTACGTACATCCGTCTGTACATCACGTTCTCGTGATCGCGTAATCTCAAGAACCGTTGATTGTTTTCCTCCAAACTTTGGTCATGTATGTATCTTGCAGAGCCAATGAACGGATTAGATTTTGGGGTCAATATGTCACAGGGCTCATTATGTATGCAAGAATAGCTTGTAAAGCACTTAGAGACATTTGTATTAAGCGCTATATAAAAATTAAATATTATTATTATTTTTCCGTTTTCTCAGGAACCAATTGATTGATTCAGCAGGCCCATTGCAAGTGCAATACAGTGCGTGCTATTCATGAACGCCAGGCCTAGTGGCCTGGGCCGGTACTGGCGGTACGATGTGCATTAGGGTTGCCATCTCTGCAGTTTCATCGACATAAACTTTGTGATCGAAGCCTCGCTTGTTCGCGCACTGGCTGGCGTGCGAGAGGCAGTGAAAAAAATACACAGGGGCTCGGGGCGAAATAGCCCCCGAAATGCCCAAAAGAGCCCCCGTAAATTTGCATAGAGTTCAATGCAAAACAAATTTTAGAATGTTATTTTCATGCAGGCAAGCTTGAAAAGTAGCCCCCGAAAAATAGATATTAATTTTTCCCTGGTGAGTGGGCCGCACGCTTTCTGTCAATAAATTTTCAGACTCACACATTTTTTCTTTTTCTAATTTTTGACATGCTTTAAAAAAATGCCGGACAATTTTAAAGAAATAAAAATGTCAAATCATTTTGTACCTATTTTGACTAAAAACCGTACCACTCTTTCTTTATTGAATTTTAAACACCAACAGAAACTTGCGTCGTTAGATTAACCGATCGGCTTATAATGGCCGCCAACGCCAACCTGTCTACAAATACCACTTTTTGTGTTTCCCTTGGGCGTTCGCTATAGACAGGTTTGACTGTATACTCAATAGTGCTGAATACACGACAGTCTAACTTACGGAAGCGCCAGGGGTGTCACGTATGACAGACATGAGCGCTATACAAGAACCCACTATTATTATTATTATTATTGCAAGACAGAAGAATTGCACATGCTAGTAGGAGATGGAAAATCTCTGTTTTAAACGGTTGTGATTGATTAATGCTTTTTTATGTGTTTTTATCGCCAAGTAATGTCCTAAAAGCAGAGCATGTATGAAACGTTATAAATATCTTATCATATCTTCTTTTCTTTGCATGCAGACCCTACGTAAACACGCAGAAAAAGAACTCGAGTCAGAGCATGCCAAAGCCAAGAAGAATGAACGAGCCGCTGTCAAGGCTGCTGAGGAGAAGATTCTGAGAAAGATGGACTCCATGCAGAGAAAGATGCAAGGCAAAATAGACGCAGCTGAAAAGGAAAGAAAGAAAATGGTGGAAGATACCCAGAGAGAGGCCAAAAGGGAGGTAGAGAGTTATCAAAGAACGGCAGAGCAGGCTGTGATTAGGTATAACAAGCTCATTGCAGAGTACAACGTTTTAGAGGTAAGATGTGCTGAAGTTTTGTCACATGAAAGGGCTAAAACCTCAAGCTTCCTGATCCAACATTTCCTCCTCCAACATTCGCTCCAGGCTTTAAGTCGTTAAAGATATAGTGTTCAGGATGAAGTTAGGGCTTTAGGCTAGATTAGGATTATAGTATTCGATCTAGGATCGATGTGAGAACTTCAGTTGGTGTAGGAAATTTACTGGGAAGTAATAATCGGATGATGTGTCATACAATGAAAGGTGCCCATATAATTAAATAATTAAAAAGTTTTCATGCTTTATTCTAAAAAAAACACTTTCTTATTCATACATATACCAAATCACACAGATCTTAAGGAGATATGAACATGTTCATTAGATTCAATGGCATCTCTTTAGTAATATTTCATTGAGATAATTATTGCTACTGGGAAACTAAATCAAAACAAAAATTAACCAATGGTAAGAAATTCCAGACTACCAATATTTTTATGCCTCCGCTACAAAGTAGCCAGAAGCATTATGAATTTGGGTTGTCCGTTCCTACAAACGTCCTTATGTTCCGTTCTCGTGATCGCGTTATCTCAAGAACTGATTGATGGATTCTTGCCAAATTTGGGTCATGTATGTACCTTGCAGAGCCAATGAACTGATTAGATTTGGGGGTCAAAGGTCACAGGGCTCATATGTATGCCAAAATAGCTTGTGATCACGTTATCTCAAGAACCATTTGATTGATTACCACCAAACTTGGGTCATATATGTTTCTTGCAGAGCTAATGAACCGATTAGGTTTGGGGGTCACAATGTCAAAGGGTCATACATGTATATGAAAAATAGCTTGTAATCAAGCTATTTTGAGAACCTGTTAATGGATTACAATCAAACTTGAATTTTAAAAATCACTTCAGTCCGTTTTGGTTCGTTAAGTCACTCTATGGTGGAGGCATCATTTTCGACTGGCACGCAGTTGAAGATCCATCTGGTTTTTTTCTCGCCTGCGTAGCAAAAAGCGAGACATAGGCGTCGCTTTTCCGGTGACGGCGGCGGCGTCAACATCAAAAACTTAACCTAAGGTTAAGTTTTTGAATATTTGATATAATTTTGAAAGTATAAGTTCTTAGTCAATGAAACTTGGACTATAGGGTAATCAAGTATCCCCAATCATGTGATTAGAATTTCAGGTCACAAAGTCAAGGTCAAAGGTCATTTCAGGTCAACAGACTTGGACTATGTTGTGGCATCATCATCGAAAACTTAACCTATGGTTAAGTTTTTGAATATTTGATATAATTTTGAAAGTTTAAGTTCTTAGTCAATGAAATTTAGACTATAGGGTTATCAAGTCTCCCCAAGCATGTGAGTAGTATTTCAGGTCACTAAGTTAAGGTCAAAGGTCATTTTAGGTCAACAAACTTAGACTTTGTTGTGGCATCAACATCAAGATTTTAAATTTTTAGCATATTTTCAAAATTGATTGTTCAAATCCCATGAAACTTGTACCCAAGGGTTATCAAGTATCACAAATCATAGGACACAAATTCCAGGTCACATGGTGAAAGGTCAGTAGACTTGGATTATGTTTTCACAACTTAATATGAGAATTAATAATTTGTTTTATTAATTTGTTCATATTTCATTCAAGTTACCGATCGTGGTACATTTAATAGTAAATAATTCTTCTGATGATTCTTAGTCAATATTCACTTCAAAATGTGATTATATTTAGAGGATTTCATTTTGGGGGGCCTGCTAATGGGCCACCCTGCTAATGGGCCACCCTGCCTATAAATAATGTCCCAACCTCAATTTTTCATCATATCGAATTGCGTAATGCAGGAGAGACCACCGAGAGCGTTTCCCTTGTTTCAAGAGTTGTGATTGACTTGAGGACATGTTGATCTTGATCAATCACATCTTCATCAGACTCTGCCAGATGTCCCATTCAGTTGATTATTAAAGACGTTTTGACACACTAAATGATAGGAAACATTTTAAAAGAAATCTAGAGTTTTGAAAGCGAAACAACACTTTGAACTTTGAGCAGATTAAATTTGCTCAAAGTCATTCAGGATGTTTATCATGCAGTATTTGGATCAATAATATGGGAAAACAAACTAACAAAAACTTGCGATCTGTGGAATTATGATACCTTCATTATCAAAATATAAAATGATGACTTACTCCCCTCCCCCCCCCCCCAATTTTTTCCCATTCTAAGCAAATAATTATATTGATTTTGTCGGTGTCTGTGTTTGTTCACTTTTACAGGGGCGGATAACAGGTGCTGCCAGACTTTTAAGTCCAACAAATCCAAGGGCATTAAAAGAAGGCGGTAAAAGCTAAGACCAAGAATTCTACATTGTGCTGTAACTTGATAATCTGGGTCAACATACATGATCAGACAGCTTGTACATGATGACCTCATCTGAAACATGGAGCTGTTGCCTGAGTAGATGTAGACAGAAGGCATTTTGCCACCTAATCTAAATTAGGTCTCTGTGTTCCTATTCCTGGGCTTTTTGCCATTGTAGCCCGATTTTAGGCAAAGGGAAAGAGCCCCCCCCCCCCCCCCCCCCCCTCCCACTCTTCATTTTACTCATTGAACATTAGTCTATTTTGCCCTGGATGTGTTATCTAATTCATTACAACCTGTTAATTAAGAGAAATTGTTTGATAATTTGTGTTAGTTATGGCAACCCGTAGAATTTTCATGACAGTACATGTATCCCCAGAAACTTATACAGTTATGATTAGAGTCTCAAGTTTAAACAGGAATAAGATTATTTTCCTGTCACTCAGATTGACAGATACGTGTTGATAGAGACTTAGTATGCAGGCACAAAACCTGTCCGGTCTTCTAGGGTCTGAACTGTAAGACTGTAGAATGCACCTTGTGGGCCCTGTAATCTAATTGCTTGTATTTACACTCAGCTTGGAGTGGGCTTCTATCAAGGTGCTATGCATTTGTTATACTGTCAAATGAGAGTCTTTCCTTGGGGACTAGTACAAACTTGATTGAATTGCTTTTGTTTTTAAGAGTAGGAGGGGAATGAGCTCCTTCATTAGTAACAGTATTTGTACCCCAAGTTTTGCGAATATTAAGGTTTCCTCTGCCCAATCGTATTGGTGTAACATTTTTGGAGAAAAAAAAATCATCATCTTAGTACTTAAAAATATGTACATGTAGTTTTTCCTGCCCAAATTGACAATTACAACATCTAAATGGTGTACTTGAAACCACCAATAGACTACCATGATTCTCAAACCAATGAGGTATGTGATGTTCTTTATGATAGAGAAGATATGTTTGGTGTAATGCAGGGTGATCGTAAGAAATGTCAACCTGTATATTTTACCAGCATGACTCGATTTTGAGAGGAGCATTAAGGCCGCTGAAGAGGGGCACATGTCATGCTGTGTGGCCACAAGGTAATTTGAGGTGTGTAATTGGGGTTAAGACATTTCATCTGTTTGGAGCCAGAAGGGTGTTAAGTCATACTTTAACAAAGAGTTAATGCCCTTCTGGTTCTTGACATACATGTAGTTCAGGGGGTGTTTCACAAAGACTAAGATGAACTTTAAGTTGGACTTAACTATGGCAGGCCATTCATGCCACCGTTTTCTCTCACCATTTACTGGCATTGGTCTCTCAAGGGACTTACAAATCAAGGTCACAAATCTACAGAATTTGTTGATAGTTCATTATTGAAGGAAAAGATATTATCTTAAGATCATAGTGGTGAGAGCAACCAGTGGCATGAATGGCCTGCCATAGTTAAGCCCAACTTAAAGTCAATCTTAGTCTTTCTGCAACACTCCCCTGTAGTGTTCATTCTACAATATGTCAACATGATTATTTCTGAATTTTAAAAACATGATTCCCCTCTCCCCTCCTTTTTTTTTGGGGGGGGGGGGGTATACTGTTTTATGCACTACTTTGAATATTTTTATCAGGAACATGTGGCTCATTAAATACCCTTTATGTTAGTATGTGTCTCCTGTAGAAGAATACTCAATGTTTAAGTGTTTATTAATATTGTTGACCAAATAGTATTTTGCTTTAACATTGTATACAAACAAAATATTGCCAATGTATTAAATCCTTAAATTTTGAAACATAGCCTGCAAAAATATCTGCTTAAATATTCTAATTAGACTTACACTAATTTTTCATGGATATCTTTACAATCCTGCATTCACTGTCAGATGTTGAATTAGGCAATAGGATTTTTTTTTTTTTTTGGGGGGGGGGGGGGGGGGGACGGGGGAGTGTGAGCGAATTGTTTCTTTTATTGAGAGGCCCCTTCTTTTTTGTCTGATGGGTTTAAAACATCTTGCAGGAAGGAATTTATATATATATTTTTTTCTTTCAAGTATATATGAACTGAATTTTACTTCTCAGTACTAATTATTGTAGGACCAATTTCTATTACTAAGTCTTTTCTTTTAATATTCGGTATCGTGGAAGCTGTTTTGTGAATGTAAATGTTATTTTAGTGTACCATTTATTCTTATGATCCCTTTAAATACCTCCATTCGAATGTTTGCATTTTCTGTCTCTTAAGATGTAAAGTAACACAAATGCAATATCATTTCTAAAACGTGGAATACAAAAATACAAATTAACTCAGGTACTCCATGTTGACCAAGAATGTGCCATACTTAGTAAGTTTTCAGCTTTCTTTCTCCTAGTAAGCAGTGCATGAAAGATAATCCAGGGCTCTAGCTGAACCATTTACCTGTGTTGCCTCAAGGTTTAGGTTGCCAAGATCTTCATTTGATGATAATAACTGATATGTTTGTTATGCCTCCACCTGCCGAAAGTGGTGCCAGAGGCCTTATTATTATCATTATCATTATCATTATTAGTAGCAGTAGTATCATTATCATTATTAGTAGCAGTAGTATCATTACTAGTAGTAGTATTAGTAGTACACTCTATAAGTATCAGTACATGTATTAGTATTAGCATAAGTATCATTAGTACTATTATTATTATTTTATTATTAGTAGTAATAGTATTATTATTATTATTATCATCTTCACCATTGTCATCATTTTGTTTTCAATGGGCCACAAAGAAAGGATGTACAGGTTCCCTGGTAGATTTTAGGTGGTCATTTACACCCAGGCAATTGCTAATTTTGAGCCCTGTAATCTTGAGTTCTGGTACTGGAATTCCTTTTAAGAAAAAGCAATTGCTTAATGCTACGGTCACAAAGGTTCGTACAAACGATAATTTCGTACAAATCTGTTTTTCCATTGTCTGAAAATCATTCGTATGGCGTTCGTAGCAGTTCGTAATGGCATTTGTGACCGAGGCTTTAGGTAGTTTAATATCATGCAAAATATGGTTTGTTTGACCAATGAAATACAAAGAACTACCAAAGACTTGCTCAAATTTCTTTTCATGAAAGCACATTACTTTTATCATATTAGACATTACATTACATTTTAAATAAGTAATGTCTTTTTACTTATTTTTCTTCACTATTTTTTTAAGTATTTGAATGCCATGTAGCAAAACCTTGCTACACTTTACTTGTTTCAATAACGAAAGCCAATCGTGACTGCAAATGGTATACAGCACTTATGATAGATAATGTGATAACGTGATTTAGATTAAGCGTCAATTGGACCCTCCTCCTCCTTTTATGTTGCCAAATAAACTCAAAAAGCTCAATGGGAATAGGGTACTATTCACATATGAAGTAATAAAAGGAGCACACAGAAGCATTAGACAACATGTCTTTCAAAACATTTCCTCTACCCGAGGCTATGGAAGGGTTGGTATGTAATTTATACTGTGAGAGGCCTATAACAAGAATATTGATGTTAATAGTTTACCTTTATTTGAAAGGTTAATTTTTTGTTCCATGTAACTGTCAAATAAATCTTATCTGTAGACATTTATTTACTAGTAAGTTACAAAATGCAACTAAAGTGGCCCATTGCATGTTGTGGAAGTTGGCCAAAGTAGAAAAAGTAATACGAACATACTACAGCATCCAAAGTTATTAGTGAAGAAATTTGAGGAATTTTGAAGTGGATTGATTTAAAAATTGGAAGCTTTTGCAGCTACTGCATACACAAAAATGAAGAAGAAAAAAAGAAAAAAAAATCAAATCTGTCTGTTCAAAGGCATGATTTGGAGTCTTTCTCTCTATACAGTAATCAATGTAAAGGTTTTATTTATGTGAACAAAAATTGATATCTCTCTCTGTACATGTATTTACAATGTTGAAATTGTTTAGCATGGGGTGATTTACCACGATTCTAGTTTTATTTCTTTGGTCTCTTGTGTAAATTGGTGAATTTATTATATGTATACATATTCAATAGACAACTTTAAAATTGTTCTTGAGTTTTTGTACATTCTACTTCTACATGATACTCCTGACACCTTGAAAGATTGCCTTAGGTGTGGTTGACACAGCAACAATGAATATATGCCTTTTGCATTCTGTTGAAAGATAGAAACTAGTCATTACCAAAGGAAACAGTTCATCGTGACACACTTGAAGAAGCATCCATGAATTTGAGTACATAAATAGTCTATTACACATAATTCCTGCCAACTTCCTATATTGAAGCAAAATTCAAGGTGAAATTCAAGCCATTTTCTTATCAAGTGGAATGAACCAAGATACATGTGCTTTGTGCTATGTTCATATTTAATTCATTTTATTTCGTATTCAATTCAAGAATTTTGTCAGTATTTATAGCGTTAAGCTTGAAGTAAAATGGCTCAAGCCTTATTCAGATTACATCCAAGTATTTGACTTTCAGCATACTGATAGCCAATGTGACATCACTTGGCCAATCCAAAATTATGTCTGGTAAACATTGTGCATTGAATGGGGGGGGGGGGGGGGGGGGGGGGGGGTGCAACTCCCTGGATCCAGCTAGGGCATATGTTGTATAATATTCAACCAGTAACCAGGTTTAACAAAAGCAGTAGTAAAGACATATGAATGAATTGTTTTTACATGTTTATTTATGTAAATATGTTCTGCATCTCACATCATATTGTTTTTTTTAATGAATTAAAATCAGGTATATTAAGATTGTACAAAACATAAAAGTAATGCTTGCCTTTGCCTTTTTTCCCGACGGGTATACACACACATATATATATAAGACAAACAAGGAAGGCCTTATCATTTTTTGGTTAAAGTGTAAATACAATGTAAATACAATGTAACTATATATACAAATAGATCACTTTCACAAAAAATCACAAAATATAATGTACGTTTTTCAAATATAAAGTGCTAGGGCAATATACATTTTACAGATCTAAAATCAATGACAGATCACCGATACTTTGATATTAACAATAATAAATAATAGATATAATGCACTTGTTCTATTTAATTTATTCTGAGGTGCACAAGTCATAAGACCCCAGCTTTAGGTGCTCAGCAGGATTTTCTATCTGATGGAACCCATTAACCTCATTTAACATTTATTATGCTGTGGCAGGGATACCACAACAAGATAAAAATATCTCAATTTCAGAAGCATTTGATTGTCGAGTGGATTTGGCGCCTTAGAAATCTTGTGTATTATCATATCTGTTCTTTGATGTTCCGACATGAGCTAATGCTTAAATAATGGAAAAACAGAGTTTCTCATTGTTGGAACATCCAGATAAGTAGCAAAGCTAAATATTGATCGTATAACAGTTGGAGACTCAGAAGTAAAACAATCAAGCTCTGTGAGAAATCTGGGTGTGGCTTGCTTGGTTCTCGGTTGAACATGGAGAATCACATATCCAACACGTACAAATCTGCCTTTTATATGTTATACAAATCTCTGTCACATTCGTAGTAATTGGACCGGAAACGCACCAAAAGCCTTGTCCATGCATTTATTAGCTTTAGGTTTGATTATTGTAATGCATTATTGTTTGGCTTGCCAGATTCACAAATAATCAAGTGAAAATGGATTTTCAATGCAATTCATGAATAGTGATTACTCTTAATACAAGTACATATTACAATATTTTGGAAACTTTCTGAAGTTGAAGGTAAAATTCATACATGTAAGTGTGCTTCCCAACATAGACAGTAAATTGTCACGTACTATATGATACTTACAGCTACTTACAGTGCATTAGAATCTCAATACATAATGGAGTTTAAATATTGCACACTGCACTTTGGTATCCAAAAATACTATTTCAGAAATTGAGTTCATTAGTTTAAAAAGTTGGATACTTTACTTTTGCATAATAAGACTGTTTACAACATGAGTAATACGTTTTGTGCACATCATTTTCAATGCATAATTCGTTTGACATCAGTTTTTACAATGGAACCTTTTTATAATAATTTTATTGGGACTTGGGAAAATAGTTTGTTTTACTGAAGCCTAAAGTGATATCAAGTCTACAAAAAAAGAGAGAAAAGATTAACATACAAAGAACTTAATAAAAGATGAGCCATAGTGCCATTTTACATTTCATCAAGCCTGAGGTTTTGTTGGAGCCAGGCAGAGATAAACACACTTTTCAGCATGCATTATACCTTTCATATACAAGTTTTTCGACACAGTAGGAAAGAATAATGTATGGACATGGGCTGCCATTTTACCAATTACATTTTTTAACCTCTGAAACCTGTTTGATATCACCCAAATACCATATGTTATTTAAGTGATAATTCTATAAGAATAACACCTCCACTCGTTCTTCATGTGCAGGAGTACCGCTCTACTGAAATCCCAGTACTCCTGAATGCATGGAGGTAAAAATCACACAAATGCGTACAATTCAAATTATAAATTCAAATGTTACATCCTCAAATTTAAATTCAAGCAAAAAATAACCTTCTTTACAGCATTATGCGCTTTATCAGAGAGGCAGACTTGAATACACATTTCTTCCATTGCAAACTTCTCAATCTTTAGATTCAGTATTTTTACATTTCAGTTTTGTTTAAAAGAATTGGCCTCCTCTTTCGTTATAATTGTTACAACAATGAGCAGTTATTGTGCTTCATCCAATTATTGTTCATAAGTTGAGGATGTTGAATATTACATTACTTCTCTACTTCACTGATATTTGATGGTATTGAGTCTAAAAGAGTTGGATTAAATAGGTGAATAATAAAAATAATAATGATAAATGCACATAGTCCAGAAATAACAAAGTAGCTGGACAGTGAAATCAGACATAAACAATGATTAAAATTAATAAAATTACTTCTTGAAATGGAATGAAAAGCACCTTCCAGTGGAATACATTTTCGTGCTAAAGAAAAATCACAAAAACTGAATGTACATTGCGTTCAGTTACTAACAGTATTGCATATAATAGAGAAGCGCTCTTTCATATTTGCACACATCTTTGGTGAATGCATTTTTGTTAGGGTAAATGCATCTTATATCAACACAGCAGTTTGGATTTTATTCTTTGGTAGTCTACCACCACATGTCTGGATAAGCCTTTAGGCTCGTTGGCAGGCACAAACCCTTATCAGTTGTAATGCTTAACAGAGGGTCTGAGCTAGGAGAATATACAGAGACAGCAGTCAACCAGGATTAACTGGGCTAGGCTTCACCCAACTCACAAAACTCATTGTAACAAGTCAACGCAATGACCTATATACGTCAGAAATTCTATCAAAATCCACCCGACATTACTTAAGTTATCAAATGGAAACCACATTTCGTTGCCTGGCTGGCAGAAGGGCGTTAGCTCGAATTTTAGGTCAATAATAAAACTTTAAGCAGGAGGGCGTTGGCACTAAATTGCCTCAAACTTTTTTATTATCAAACTGACTTATTTCCGAGAAAAAAATTGTGGCCGGCGATAAGGCCGCAGTGTTTTTGAAAGAAAAAATATCAAATAGTCGGGGTGCGGCCTTTACGCTACAACAACAAAATTCAGCGGTCAAAACAGCACATCAATTTGAACATATGGGACTATGAACGGTAGGATGACTAGACAATGGTACATGACAATTCTAGAATAACTCCACACAACTTACCGACAATTTTATGATGCATAGTTGACATGAAGACAAAAAAAAAAGCATAACTTATTTCGTCGGCCTTATGCCAAAAGGGCCTTAACCCAATTTTGGGGGTTATTGAGTTATTAACATCACCTTGTAGATTTCATCATTCTCTTTAAAATGATGTGCTTCACTTGTTGAAATTCGATTTATTTATGAAGATAATTATGAATTTCAAAAGGGCCTTAACGCGTATCTCATTTTTTTCCTTACGCCAAAAGGGCCTTAACCTACACGGATGATCCATTTGCGTTAGGAGGGCCTTTCTGGCAAACCAAAGGTGTTGCAAAACAAGAAAATTTCATTATGCCAAAAGGGCGCTAACTATGCGCGCGCATAGTTACGCGTACGATAACGGCAGGTTAAGGCCCTTTTGGCATAACGCCGCGTAGGTTACGCCCCTTTTGGCATAATGCCGAGTAGGTTACGGCCCTTCTGGCATAAATACGCTACATTCAAGCCTTATGCCAAAAAGGCCCTAACATGTTTTTTGCACATAGCGTGTACAATTCTGAATATTTTATAACAAATTTAACACATTTCATGTAGAACTTAATAACTTAACACATTTATCGAAATTGGCTTCAAAAGCAAAAAAAACGACCACAAACTTTTGATTATTAGAGAGGCCAAAACCTTTAAACGCGATTATCTCGGAATGGCCAAAAACAGTTAAGGCCCTTTTGGCATAAGGCCGACGATTTTTCTAATCAAATTCTGCCGATAGATCTAGATCCAAGTCCGTACCATTGCATCGCCAAAAAAGTAAAAGAAGGGACAGGCCGTTACTTACGGAGCTAGCAGATGCCGCGCAACGCAACTGCGCAGGTCGAAAACGCAATTCCGGATTACACCGCACGTGGTAGGTGTATTGTAGGATACCAAATCTGCATGCGATACAGTACTAGCTTAAAAATCAATGAAGATCTGCTAAATTACGATCATTTTTTAGGTATACTTCTTGTAAATTTTTAAGAATATTGATGAATTTGGTATCAGTTTGTAAAAAAAAAGAGTGTTCTACGAGAAAATTACAATTATTTTGTTTGGTCCGTTTTTTTTCTTCTCTCTTTTTTTTTTTCCTCTACGAAATGTCAAAGTTGGGGGTGCAACCTATGCGGCGCTGCGGCCTTATCGCCGGCAAATACGGTAGTTACATATTTTTGCATATTTAATGAGCTATGACCTTTGACCTACATACTAGAAATTGAACTTGGGCTGTATTTTGATACCATGTACCTTCATATCAAATGCTTCAAACATTACTAAAGCTAAACTCCGAAATCAAACTTAGGCTGTGTTTTGATACCATGTACCTTCATATCAAATTTCATTAAAATCTGTCAAACATTAGGCCTACTAAAATCATCGAACGGAAACAAGATTTGTTACGGACGGAGGTGTAGGAAATGAAACAATCATCTTCACCCCAACGCAAACGAGCCTAAGAATACCAACTTTGAAGACATAGTAACTTGTGCATTTACATGTACAAGCCTATCAAGCTCTAGCACATCTTCATACATAAAACTTGTCAGGATATGGCCATCAAAAAGGGTCGCCTTATTCTACACACTGAGGGGTAACGCATATCTACTTGGTACTTGATGGGTGATAATCCAACTACTCCTCACAGAATTTCATGCCATTTAATCATCATGAAACAACTGACAATTTCAGAATACATGCATCATAAACAGTAGGCTTGCGGGTGCACCATGTGAGAGAGAGAGGATTGTGGAGTCCTCAAAAGGACTCTGACTCTGTAATCTTTCTTAGCTTATAGTTCTAAAGAGAACTATAGCGCTTGGAGAGGATGAGTGGCTCGACTTTCAAACAGGTTGACTATCCGTCGTCAGGAGTGGAGAATAGCTGGCGTGCGTGAGCTTAAGTCACCGGGGTGCGGACGTCAGGGAAAAATAGGTGACCGTGTGGGCTTGAGTCATCGGGGAGTGGACATGGATGGTCGGCTTGTTCGTCTGACTGTCCGTCTGGGCTGGAGTCTCCGGGTTGCGGACTTAGCCTACTGTATATCTACATCACTATGCAAGCCGACACTTACAAGCAGTACATGCATCATGTTCTAAGAACAGCATGATATCCTAGACTTGTTGTTCTCAGGTTGAAGGAGTATCCTACCATCACTGTCTAATCGCCCCTCTGGGTAAGATGATTCTCTTGCCATGGATGTCTGCACAAGCATTTCCTCCACAAGAAAGCTGAAATATGGTAAATGTGGCAAAAGGAAAAGTTCAGTGAAAACATGATTTCCTTCAAGATCATTTTATATAGGAGAGGGGTGGTTGGTAGGATATATTTGAAAACTGGGAGGAATTTAGTGTTTCTGAATATAATCATTGGTGACATAGTTACATCTAGATATTACTTATCAAATATATATGTAGGAGAGGAAAGCAAAGAAGTAGATGAATAGGCGTAACCAAAGAAACAGACAAGTCATAACGAGAGTTGTACAAACGTACACACCCCAGAATAACTTTAAAAAAGTTTGCCCATGGGGTCAACACGAGTTGGAAATGACTCGATGGTGCCTAACCACGGATAAGTGAAACATGTCTACGGGGATAGACCCTTATTGTAATCCTTGGGAAGATTTGAGTAAGAAATCTGAAAAGTGGCCCTACATACAAAGTTTCTGTTTGAGTGTTACACTATTACATTGCATGCAATATTGCATTTATATAAGAAGATAATTGAATATTATCTGTTTCAAAATTGATGTTTCTGTATATTAGATTTACATAAATTAAAACACATTAATATGGATGGAATAAAAAGTTCACACAGCAATGCATCTTTCCATTTTTAGCCCAGATTTAGATGAAACTTACTTCATGGATTGTTCAATGTTAGTGTTGTCTTTGACTGAGATCTTGTTCCATCCAATGAAGTTATTGTTGTTACATAATTCTTTGATCTCCTCTTCTTTGACATTGGGTGATGGTAGATCAATCTGGAATATTGAAACATAAACAATGGAACATGAGAAGAAGTATCAAGACAACAACAACATATTCAAGTGCTATATATCTAAACTAAACATTAATATGTATTCAGGATATGAATTGTCCATAACTTGTAGGATTTCACAAAAATAAAAGTCATTACAAATCATATGTATATACAGTTAGATGCAATTGAATTCAGTTTACAGAATTCATCCAGGACTAACTGATCAAAAGGGTCACTGATGCAAGTATGGTCACCTGTTCTTTTCTATTGAACACTGGGCGATGGGCGATGGGGATAGGACAGATCAATATGAACAATGAATTAACATAATTTCCTTTTTGCATTCTACACAATCACTTCAAGGGGCACAAGTACGTACCATTGGTCCTAAATGTATATATGTACATCCTATTAGGACAATGGGACATGATAATTCCAAGCCCCAATAAGTACCGGTATGTGGGAAAGAGTTGGCTTTCTATACATGGGAAGGACCAACAGGATCATTGCTATAGGATGCAGGATATGGAAGGGGTTACAAGTCAGAAAATTTTCTATTAACAAGCAACCAAGCAAAACTGATGGAAAAGGGGCACATAAGTTAGGTACCTGTCATGGGGTCTAAAACATTTTATGGTTTGTTTACTTATAGAGTGGTGAAGTGTGACGTTATCAAAAATCTATTTTTAGAATTTCTCAAATTTTTCTTCTTTTTCTGAAAGAGCATAACAATTAATGTCCAAATGTCGAAAACCAGTTAAAAAGGTTAAGTATTGGCTGAGATACATCTGAATGAAAAGATTTTCTATAGAGCTCAGTGTTATATTGATCTGGCTCATAACTTTATGAACCAGAGCAATATATATAGAGCTCCTATATAGGAAATAAATTCATTCAGATGGTCATATCTCAGCCAATACTTAACATTTTCAACTGGTTTTCGACATTTGGACATTATTTTTATGCTCTTTCGGAAAATGAAGAAAAAATTGAGAAATTCTAAGAATAAATTTATATGATGTCACAGCTTCGGTACTCTAAATGCCATTTGAATTTCTAGGGAGGGGGGGGGGGTGGGCCATTGTACCTCTTTCCCCTTAATCTGCCAATGCTATAGAGGTCCCTCCCTCCATATATTCCTAAGTATCTTCATCAACGACGGGTATTTATGGGTAACCAACAGGAGAAGGCGGTACAACGCATCTTGAATTTCCGTCTTTAAAATATGAATAGAATATCCAAACAAACAATGTAAGAAATCCATGAAGTTATTTAAAATATCTACTAAGAAACATTTTTGTGAGTGTAATTGATGGAATGTAGTCAGATTGCTGTTTGCTATTTTGCATTATACTATTTCAATGATAGCTGTATGAGTATTTCCAGGTATTTCCTGGCTGGGTTTTTCTGGTCTTATAAAATAACTAATTTTACACAAAAGAATGTCTGAGTCACATAGTAAAGGACCTGTTTCACATATTTTTATTTGACAGTCAGACAATAAATTAGCATCGTTCGTATGTGACACAGAAATGGAAATCAACATTTGCTTAACTTAGGGGCTAGTGTTAGTGAATAGGACATTTGTATGTAAAATATTAAAACCAGCCACAAAGGTCGGTTGAGCAGACAAAAATTTTGCAAAATGGATAACACTAGCTACCGGAAGTTGACGAAATTCAGAGGTCAAAGCCCTAAACACCAGCTGATTTCCATTTGGTGTTGATTAAATAAGTGTTTAATAAACACTAACACCAGCCCTAAACTACCAACTTGAAATCACTAATTGTACATATATAAATAGGATATAATAATATACCACATTGGAAGTAGAAAGTGGGAAATATAGTTTTTTGTTTCTGTTCAATTCTATTCAACTTCTAACACATCCTCTATGATAAATGTTGGACTACATTGAAATTCTTAATAAAACTAGATGGAACTTCGACTGCACGCAGTCGAAATGATGCCTCCGTCATAGAGCAATTTTACAAACCAAAACAGAAGAAATTTTTCAAATTCAAGTTCAATTGTAATCCATTAACAGGTTCTCAGAATATCGTGATTACAAGCAATTTCTCATATACATATATGACCCTTTGATCTTTGACCTCATGACCCTAACATCTACTCAGTTCATTGGCTCTGCAAGATGTCCCGAGTTAAATCCATCTGTCAGTTCTAATGAGAATGCGTTCACAAGCTATTTTTGCATACATAATGAGCCCATGACATTTGACCTTTGACCTCATGACCCAAGAATCTACTCAGTTCATTGGCTCTGCAAGATACATACATGATCTAAGTTTGGGAGGAATCCATCAATCTGTTCTAATGATAATGCGATCACAAGCTATTTTTGCATGCATAATGAGCCGCATGACCTTAGACCTTGACTTCATGACCCCAAAATTTAATCAGTTCATCGGCTCTGCAAGTAACATACATGACCTAAGTTTGGCAGGAATCCATCAATCGGTTCTTGAGATAACGCGATCACGAGCTGTTTTTGCATACATATTTAGCCCTGTGACCTTTGACCTTCGACCTCGTGACCCCAAAATCAAATCAGTTCATCGACTCTGCAAGATACATACATGACCAAAGTTTGGCAGGAATCTATCAATCCGTTCTTCAGATAACGCGATCACGAGCTGTTTTTGATGATGATGATGATGATGAACAGCATTTGTATAGCGCCATTTATCTGCAAAAGCATTCAAAGGCGCCTGGCTCCCTCAATATGTCACATATTATTCGCAATGTTGCCGGAAAAGATAGGTTTTGAGTTCAGATTTAAAGGTATCAATGTTGTTACAATTTCTAAGTTGGACAGGTAGAGAGTTCCAAAGATGCGGAGCAGATGAAGAGAAGGCTCTATCCCCGTATGTTTTTAGACGGGTACTGGGCACTTGAAGAACGAGTCCCGCACAGCGTAGTCCTGGTCGTAGCTGACGTACACTGATGAGAGCAGATACATAGCCAGGGGACAAGTTATGTAGAGCCTTAAATGCAAGCAGCAAGATCTTATACTGCACTCTGCAGTGCACTGGCAGCCAATGAAGCTCATGGAGTGTAGGCGAGATGTGGTCAAACTTCCTGATTCCCATCAGAAGGCGAGCAGCAGCATTCTGGACCGCCTGGAGACGTTTGATGGCTGATGATGGTAAGCCGACAAGGAGAGAGTTGCAGAAATCCAGCCTTGAGGTTATTAGAGCATGAATGAGGTTTTCCGCGGCACTTCTGGTGAGACAGTGTCTGATCTCTGCAATCCTGCGGAGATGGTAGAATGCAGACTGACAGACACGCGAAATGTGATCCTTCATGCTCATAGTTCTGTCGAAGACTACTCCAAGATTTCTAGCCTTGTTGTTGGGAGATACAGCTTCCTCACCGACTAGAATAGGAGTACCAGTGATCTTATTTCCCATGTGTGGTGAAGACAAAAGGAGATACTCGGTTTTCTTTTCATTTAGCTTCAAGAAGTTGCGTCTCATCCAACATCGAATCTCTTCGATGGCAGCACTGATGGCTGCAGCTGCACGTTCCTCAGCGCCTCCAACTTTTGGATCAAAAGTTAGGTAGAGCTGGGTGTCGTCTGCATAGAAATGTGCGCTAAGACCATGTCGCTGTATGATAGAGCCAAGAGGGGTGATGTAGAGTGTGAAGAGCAAGGGACCGAGGACAGAGCCTTGCGGAACTCCGTAGCTAAGGGTGGTCTCAGGTGATAGCTTGCCATTGATGACCACAGCTTGTCTTCTGTCGTTGAGGTAAGACTCAAACCATTGGAGTGCAGTTGCTTCAATTCCAAAATCTTCTCTAAGTCTCTCAAGCAGAACAGCATGATCGATGGTATCAAATGCAGCTGACAGGTCAAGCAGAACTAGGGCAGCTGCTTTTCTGCAATCAATTGATGTTAGGATGTCATCCGAGACCTTCAGTAGTGCCGTCTCCACACTGTGATTCTTTCTGTATGCAGACTGTAGGCACTCATGTAGATCATTGCCCTGCAGATAAGCTGTCAGACGACTTGCGACAATTTTCTCAGTCACTTTGGCCAGAAAAGGCAAATTTGATACTGGGCGATAGTTAGCCAGATCGTTGTGATCAAGTGAAGATTTCTTCAATACTGGGGTAACATATGCCAGTTTCAGACAGTCTGGGAAGACTCCATCACGCAGTGACGCATTAATCAGACACGAAATATGCAGAGCTAGGAGGTCACCATGTTGTTTAACAAGAACTGTAGGCACCGGGTCAAGCGAACATGTCTTTGCAGAGGTCTTGTGAATTATCCGCTTGACTTCCTCTGGACATGTAGGATGTATCAATGTCAGATGGGCATCACAATCACGTGAAGGCTGTCCGTTTGGGAGGACCTGAGTTGCTGGCATACACTCCCGGATTTTCTCAATCTTTCCGACAAAGAAGCGAGAGAAATCAACAGCAAGGTCATCATCAGTTAAATGCTGAGGCATTTTCTTTGACGCTGAGGTTTTCTGATGAAGAAGTTGGCTGAGCCCCGTGACCTTTGACCTTTAACCTCGTGACCCCAAAATCTAATCAGTTCATCGGCTCTGCAAGATATATACATGACCAAAGTTTGGCAGGAATCCATCAATCGGTTCTTCAGATAACGCGATCACGAGAACGGGACATACGGACGTACAGACGGTACGACGAAAGGACGGACAACCCGAAAACATAATGCCTCCGGCTACTTCGTAACGGAGGCATAAAAAACATTGACTATACACATCCTGGCAACAAGTAGTAGGCCTATAAACACATGTATTTCGATCAGTACGTGAATTGTCAGTTTGTTTGTTTCATAATTTGTACAATTGTTAGGTTTTACAAAATGGAAGTCATGACAAATTTTGTACACTGCAAAGGTCAATGACAATGTTGAATTAGCCTATTGCCTTTAGGTTAATTACGTTCAATTCGGTTTGAAAATCCATCCACCATTATAGTATTAATGACTGCTTTGAGAGAAATAGTTGTTTTATTACACTCAAGGGAAGGTTAGAATTGTGCTATTCCCCAAGGCTTGCCGAGGGGAATAGCCCAATTGTAACCTTCCCGAGAGCGTATGAAAACAACTATTTCTCGAATATTAAAGCAGTCATTAATACTTTTATATGCCGAAAAAAAATAGACTAAAAAATGAAAAATTAAAAATATTTATCATTTTTGTCGAAGACGGGATTCGAACTCTTGCGTACAACAAGAGGTGTACCGAAAACCAACGCTTAGACCACTCGGCTATGGCCCGCCGTTAACATGCTTGGCAGTTTTCTCCAATATATACATTAAAATGGATTGAAACCGGCTTCGCGTGTGATGAATGCTTCGCAAAAGCTCCATATACGGACTCTTCTTTTACTTTTGCAATGCATATTGGCACGAACTTAGATCAAGATCTATCGGCAGATGTTGTTTTTTTGTTTTTGGAGTTTATTTTCGTCTTCATGTCAACAATGCAAGATAAAATTGTCGGTAAGATCGATCGAGATTCAATTGTATTGAAATTACCGACCAATCCTTCGCACACATACGGCATCCTCCATCGCTCAAACCATTTTTTAACATGTAAACCTATGGGGTAACCATGGAGGCTGACCAACTTTTTTTAATAACCATGGTTATTAAAAATATTGAAACGTTTTATGCATGGTTACCGAGAATTTTACAGGAACAGTTGAAGTTTATGAATGCAATTCGACCAATCAGATGGCTGGATTTCTTAAGTGAGGTATATAATACCTCATCAAATTTGTTATGTTATCACCTGTTCCTTCCTACATGTACTAATTATTTGGAAATTGAGATGGAAAGCAATAATGTGAAGCAACAAATTCACATTATTTCAATGTTAAGATTCCTATTCTACACAACACATGTACCACTCAAAAATGCATGTACATTGTATATATACTTTGGTGTTATATGTTTGTAGGTCCTATTTTTGCAGATTCTGAGATTGATCTTCAAACCCTGGTTGAGCGAGTCCATGAGGCTAGCAAGAAATACGGCATGGAACTCAGCATACCAAAAACAAAAGCAATGGTATTCTCCCATGAAAATCAACTTACTTATATACATCAATCTGTAAGGCAAACCCCTTGAGCAGGCGAACCGATCCAAATACCTAAGAGTAATACTAACACCCTCAAATGACTCTACAAGTGAAACTAAAAACAGGCTGATGCTAGCATCTGTTGCACTAGGGAAGCTGCAGAAGGTCTGAAATGATAAGGACATTTCACTAACCACCAAACTACATCTTGTCATAAAGAAACTGGATGTCTTTGGGATGGGTTGCTTTTGGAAGATTCTCAACATCACTTGGAAGGATAAAATAAGAAATGAAGCAGTCCTGGCCAGAATCTCCAATTGCAAATTTCCACTGAAGCTTATCCTCGCCCACATTGCTAAAGCCCAACTGACCTGGTTTGGTCACGTTTCCAGAATGAACAGCGTACGCTTCGCTTAATGCTTACTCATGGAGATTGTTGTTGGAACAAATGGGCAAGAAAGACCAAGGAAGAGATGGGAAAGTGACATCCTAGTAGGCAGCACCTTCCTGAAGGCATATAGAATTGCTCAAGTACATGTACATGACTCATATACATTTGACAAAGGTAAAATCTCAATACTACCGGTAAATCAGTATCCAAGAAAACAGTACTGTAAAACAGAATAATACAATTTGGACAATACAAACATGTATGGTAACACAATTGATTACAATCACCGCTGGTCTGTAATAAAGATATTTTGAAATTTGAGATTCAATCAAAAGAAACAAATAGATTTTTACAAACTATTACTAACTGTGAGAAACATAGGATAACCTCAAGCCTACCTTATTGGCAAGTAAAAGGCAGGGAACAGGGCTTCCGTTCGATAATGCCACTTTTTTCTCCACATCACTCTTCCAATTCATGACATTGTTGAATGTCTTGCGTTGCGTGACATCAAACATGATAACGCATGCTGAGGCATCTTTATAGTAGACTCTCGTCAATGAGCTCACTCTCTCCTGACCTGGTAGGCAAAGGCAAGACAATAAGGGTCAAGGGTCAAAATAATATATGGTGCCAAGACTCCAGAGTATCTAATGTTAATGAGCATATCAGTGTGTCACATTCAGTGTGAATTTCCTTTTCTTGAACATATCTCAGATTCAGCTTGGAGACATATAAAACTATATTTAAACCAGGGTTATACAACAAAACTAAGACGTACAAGTGACAGGTTTCCAGAAAGCTGGCTCAGAAGTAAAATGTCAAATTCTGGTTTAAGGTTTACAACTTTGTAATACTTTTCTGAAGTGGCTGGTGTCACACTGTCACTGTGAACTTTGATCTTCACATATATAAGAAGCTGAAGAAGTATATTATTTCTCTGAAACGACATGCTATATGATAACAGAGCAATTTTGTTTCATGATTATGTTTAATAAATGAACATACAGAAATTCAGGTATGCTGCCCACAAATTAAAATTTAGCATAGATCACACATTCCCTACTTCTAACCTTTAAATGAACCCACACATCATGAATGAACCTACATGTACCCAAATGACAGAGAAATACATGATTTACTATTGATGAGACTTACCTGCAATATCCCATAACTGGAGCCTGACAATGTCTTGCTTGGATCTCTCAATCTTCTTCAGGGCAAAATCAACTGTGGACAAGTAAAACAAAAAAATAGCAATTAAGCCTAGTTTCTCCAAAATAAATGTATTTGTGTACGACACAATAAGTTTTTTTGACCACTTATAGCTATAGCTGTGCATGGAAAATATCATTCTGTAAAAAATGAAGGTATATTTAAAGCCTTTTGGTTCTGGATTCTGATCTGAAAGCTGCACACTGTACATCCCGTGGGATCATAAATTGTGAGGTACTGGAATAAATCAAATATTTTTGGTTTCAAGATGAAGAGAAAAGGAGACCTTCAGGTTATATTTATTTAATTAATCTTCTTCTTTTCACAGCATCCATGGGATTCACTTCAAATCTTACTGTTGTATTGTATTCACTGTTTTCTTGATTTTGTCTTTGTTGAATAAATTATAATAAAAACGAGGGAAACGCTCTTGGCGGTTTTGTCTGCATAACGCAATTCAATATGATGAAAAATTGAGGTTGGGACATTATTTATAGGCAGGGTAGCAGGCCCCAAAAATGAAATCCTCTGTATATAAGTGGCATTTTGAAGTGAATATTGACTAAGAATCATCAGAAGAATTATTTACTATATAATTTGTACCAAGATTGATAACTTTAATGAAATACGAACAAACAAAAATGTATTTATTAATTCTCATATTAAGATGCGAAAACATAGTCCAAGTCTACTGACCTAAAATGAACTTTAACCTTTACTTTGTGACCTGGAATTTGCGTCATATGATTTGTGATACTTGATAACCCTTGGGTACAAGTTTCATGGAATTTGAACAAACACTTTTGAAATTATGCTAAAAGTTCAAAATCCTGATGTTGATGCCACAACAAAGTCTAAGTTTTCAGACCTGAAATGACATTTGACCTTGACTTTGTCACCTAAAAGACACGTGATTGGTGATACTTGATAACACAGGACTTGTCAAGAGATTTTCCACACTATGTTTTCTATCAAGCTTTAGTTGATTGATTTGAAAATAACACTCATCCATTATTGGGAGTGGGTAGTAGTACGTAATGAAGGAATTTCTAGTTGATCTTCAGCATTGTCTACATGCCTATGACCATACAATGCTGAATGAATATACCGGTTTTTGTCCGATCACAATGTTGCAATGAACCGCAGGTTTTTTCCAAATCTACTGTGCTTTACATTTTTGTATCATATAACACACAGATATTAAAGTGTGTATGCCTAATAGGACCTTTGTTGCGCATAGCTACATTTAAAAAAACCCTGCTTGCCAGTTTACCGTGGCATATGAGAAAGAGCCTTTAGTCTGAACTTACCTCCGACGGTTGTCTTGAATCCAGGATCGAACTTGCCACTCACATATCTGTGAACAAAAGTAGTTTTCCCAACTAGAGAGTCTCCAACAATGATAACTTTGAACAGTTTCTCCTTCACCTCAGTTGCCCCATCCATTCCAACTCCAGAATGTAAGGCCAGCACAAGAGTGTCTAGGTATGTTCTGTACCCTTTTGTTGATATATGGATTTGCACCAGTTGTATTGTTGCTGTTACTACTGCTTGTCCATCAATCTTCAACTCGAATCACAGAGTCTGGTCATCGTTGAAGGAATTCTACATGTTCTGGAATTCTCCTGATTAATCAATTAAAGTGGAAATTCAAAGAAAATCACAAATATGTCAACTAATGTATCACTAGAAACTGGTAAGCTAACAGATGGCCATCGTACAAGTTTTAGGTAAACTACATATCGGGTGATTTAGAAAATACAAATACAACCACCTCCATAGCAGCTGGGATATACGAGAGATTCGCCAGAAAAATAACGATGTTTCAATGATGTCACAATATGGACCAATACTGCCCAAGCAGACGACATCACATAAACTAGATGGATCTTGGACTGCGCGCAGTCCAAAATGATGCCTCCGCCATAGAGCAATTTTACAAACCAAAACAGAAGCAATTTTTTAAATTCAAGTTTGATTGTATTCCAGTAACAGGTTTTCAGAATATCATGATTACAAGCTATTTTTTCATATACATGTATGACCCATTGGCTCAGCAAGATACATACATATCTTGAGTTTGATGGTAATTCATCAAGCCCAAACTCCAGAGAAAAATAATGTCCCCGACCTACAATCAAAATGCATCTCTCTGCCTAACCCTATAATTTTTACAAACATAAATCCCAAGCAAACATCACTGGGGCAAATGTCAGAACACCCAAAGACTTGTTAAATGAAGAAGAAAAAATCTAATCTGATCGTTTTCCTATGGTGATATATATACTATCCTTAAGTTTGAAGTTTAAAATCTCAAATGGTTCTTGAGATATCGCGAGAACGAGCTGAAGACATGGAATTTCACAAGTTGACCTCTGTGACCCTTGACCTACGTGCTCCAAAATCTAAACAGATCGTCTTCCTATGGTGATACATACTATCATTAAGTTTGAAGTGAAAATTCTCCAGTGGTTCTTGAGATATCGCGATAACGATCTCAATGTATGGAATTTCATAAGTTGACCTCTGTGACCCTTGACCTGTGACCTACATGCTCCAAAATCTAATCAGATTGTCTTCCTATGGTGATACATACATGTACTATCATCAAGTTTGGAGTTTAAATCTCCAGTGGTTCTTGAGATATCATGATAACAATCTCAATGTATGGAATTTCATAAGTTGACCTCTGTGACCCTTGACCTTTGACCTACGTGCTCCAAAATCTAATCAGATTGTCTTCCTATGGTGATACACACTATCATTAAGTTTGAAGTTTAAATCTCCAGTGGTTCTTGAGATATTATGATATGGTGATACATACTATCATTAAGTTTGAAGTGAAAATTCTCCAGTGGTTCTTGAGATATCGCGATAACGATCTCAATGTATGGAATTTCATAAGTTGACCTCTGTGACCCTTGACCTTTGACCTACGTGCTCCAAAATCTAATCAGATTGTCTTCCTATGGTGATACACACTATCATTAAGTTTGAAGTTTAAATCTCCAGTGGTTCTTGAGATATTATGATAACAATCTCAATGTATGGAATTTCATAAGTTGACCTCTGTGACCCTTGACCTTTGACCTACGTGCTCCAAAATCTAATCAGATTGTCTTCCTATGGTGATACATACTATCCTTAAGTTTGAAGTTTTTACATCTCCAGTGGTTCTTGAGATATCGCGATAACAATAATAATAATTTCATAAGTTGACCTCTGTGACCTGTGACCTTTGACCTACGTGCTCCAAAATCTAATCAGATCGTCTTCCTATGGTGATACATACTATCCTTAAGTTTGAAGTTTTTACATCTCCAGTGGTTCTTGAGATATCATGATAACAATCTCAATGTATGGAATTTCATAAGTTGACCTCTATGACCCTTGACCTTTGACCTACGTGCTCCAAAATGTAATCAGATTGTTTTCCTATAGTGATACACACTATCACTAAGTTTGAAGTATAAATCTCCAGTGGTTCTTGAGATATCATGATAACAATCTCAATGTATGGAATTTCATAAGTTGACCTCTGTGACCCTTGACCTTTGACATACGTGCTCCAAAATCTAATCAGATCGTCTTCCTATGGTGATACATACTATCCTTAAGTTTGAAGTTTAAATCTCAAATGGTTCTTGAGATATCGCGCTAACAAACTCAATACAAGGAATTTCATAAGTTGACCTCTGTGACCTGTGACCTTTGACCTACGTACTCCAAAATCTGATCAGATCGTCTTCCTATGGTGATAAATACTATTCCCGAGTCTTAAGTTTAAATCTTAAATGGTTCTTGAGATATTGTGATAACGGTCAAACGGGACGGACGTACGGACGTACGGACGTACGGACGGACAACCCGAAAACATGATAATGAACATAATTGCAAAGCTATTATTTGTCAAATTATAATGAGTTTAGTGTATATAAATGTGATGGCATATCAAACCATTCATAAGGGGATATGAAACCGATTCTGATAACTAAAATCTTTTGTTTGTAAATACACAGGATAGGGGTTAATTAACAATCAAAGAAACCAGACTTTCAAATTGAAAACCCCCCAGAATGATATTAAGGACGGCCCTTTTGTTCCCTCTTGAAACGCCGAACATACAGCGGTGTGTGCAGCTGAATATACAATGGCATCTTATTTTGTTTACAAGCAACAGATTCCTTTATTTTTGTATTGCTGCATTTGTCATCAAAATAAAGCCATGCGCGGGGTTAAGAGTGAGGCAATAGATTATACATTTAGCCTGACGGTAGTGAAGTAAGAGAAAGAACTCAAGAGAAGATGAAAAAACAGGCACTGAAAATGTGTAAGATGTCATGGGACATCGTCTGCTTGTGCAAATCATGTCCATACTGTGATCTCACACATCTCAGCAGCGTTCGGAGAGCAATGCCGGGGCTGTATTTCAGCGTTTTGTAATTTATAATAATCATTACCGTAATTAACATTGTATAAACCGCCCTCGTGTTTTAACCGCACCCCTATTTTTCGCCCTTAAAAAAAAATGTGATAGAAGAAAAATTGGAGGAATTATTATTATAAACTACATATTAAGATCTATCAGAAAGATTACTTTCAAAACAAGATGACAGACGAATTTGAGTGTTGTTCTAGTTTCTGAGTGGTGAGTCAACACACCGATTACCGAGCTGGGAGACATTGCCAGGCATAGTGCCAGGTGGAGGGGCATAAATCAAAACTTTAAAAAAAAAAATTACAGTACTTCGCATTTCTCCAAGCACTGAATTTTGATAACCTTGTAGAATCAAAGTTTCAACTTTGCAATAATGAAAATAAAGTTAGTTTTTAAAGTCAATGAATATCTTTCAAATAGCGCCTTCGGCTTTACAATGGTAGCTGCGACCATGAAATTCTCAGAATTGTGATATATTATTTCCAAACGGGAATAGCTAATCGGTCGATTTTAGTCAAGAACATTGTTTTATAGCAATATACACTTTCTCATGGAATTCCAGCAAACCACTGCACAATACAATTGTATACCATCTAGCCAGCGACAGTGGGGTGCGGGTGCGACTGAAGTTAGCGACTGTAATCTCAGATCTTCATTTATGTGAGTAATTCATCATTATGCACGCATGCGTGCCGCATCCCCACTGTCGCTGCGCTAGATGGTATACAATTGTACTGTGCAGTGGTTTGCTGGAATCCCATGAGAAAGTGTATATTACAAGTCTTTGTTTTGGCGGAAAATACTTCAAAAAAGATAAGAATATGGACTTGAAACTGGTGAGAAACTTTACGACTTTTAAATCATGACCATTATCTGAACAATTGATGATGATTTAAAAGTTAATTTTTGGTATGTTTTAGTAGGGTGTCTCCACGGAGTGACGGGTCAAAGTCTGGATATGATTCTGAATTAGCGACATATTTTTTCTAACATCGCACATAGAACTTTGCGCATTGAACGCTGTACAGTGAGTTTACACGCTCCTATTGGCCGATCTGCTTAAGTAGCTTCAAATTTTAAGTGAGAGAGGGCCTACTTAATAACATAAGCGCAACTTAAGTTCAATGGCAATGCCAATCAGTGGCGGATTCAGGGGGCACTTCCCCCCCCCCCCCCCCCCCGGTAAAAAAAAAAGGGGGGAAGGAGGAAGGGGAAAAGGAAAAGGGAGAAAAGGAGAAAAAGGAGGGGGAAAGAAAAAGGAGGGGGGGAAGAAAAAAAGGAGGAGGGAAAGAAAAAGGAGGGGAAAAAGAAAGAAAAGGGTAGAGAGAAAGAAGAAGAAAAGAGGGAGGAGAGAAAAGGTGTTTGTTTCCGGGAAAGGGGCAGGTGATGGGGGGGGGATGCAAAAAGGCGTGTAAACCCCCCCAAAAAAAAAATTGTAAATTTTTTTTTTTTTTAAATTGTAAAAAAAAATTAAAAAGCACAAGAAGAAAAACAACAAAAGAGATGGAAAAGAGGGGGGAAAGAGAAATTTGTTGTGAGTTAAAAGAGAAAGAAAAAAAGTGAAAGAGAATTAAACTTAGATAGAAGAGAGGTGCGAGAGCATGAGAAATTGCATTTCTTTTAAAAGAATAATGAGATAACAAATGGATGTCGCTTAAGGGGGGGCGTGGGATGTGACACCTCCCACTTGTCGGGATATTGTCGGTAAAATTGCGCTGCTGTCGGGAAAAATGAAAAAAGGGGTAGGGGAAAAATGAGAGGGAAAGGGAAAGAAAAGAAAAAAAGAAAGGAAAGAGAAGAGAAGAAAAGAAAGAGAAAAAAGAAAAAGATGAAGAAGAGGAAAGAAAGGAAAATAAAAGAAAAGAATGAAAAGGAGAAAAGAAAAAAAGAAGAGAAAAGGGAAACAAAAGAAACAGGGGATGAAAGAGAGGGGAGAGAGAGGGGAAAGAGCCTGAGAGAAAAGGGGCAGGAGTAAGAGAAAGAGGGGGATTTTGGGTGGAGTCACCACATTGAGGGGGCAAGAAAGATACACATAGATAATTAATTAAGTTGCTGTGTCGGGTCCACTCTGTCGGTATTCTAGCTCGATCCTTGTGTACAATGCAGAAGTTTGAAGTCGGTAAGATGTATTATGTCGGTCGGCTGGCAATTTTTTTTTCCCTACAAACTGTGACTTTTTATCGGACATCAACACGTTCGTAATGGCGTTATCACAGTTTTTCCTTCATAATCATTTTGCCTTCGGCGTAGACTAGAAGGGATGAGATTGATTTAGATGACTCCGGCAGCGAGAGTTTAACACGGCTTGCAAGATTTTCAACATGGATGTCGATTTTGACCCATAATTTCCTTAAAAGGGACCATTAAACGGATTATTTCAATCAAGTTAGTAAGTGGAACCGATGAATTATAGCCTAGGCCTAATTTACATTTGGATATACACGAGGTAAAATGACATTTTGGGAGGTTTTGGGGGCAAAACGCTACGACCTGAAATGGCCGTGGCGTTATCAAGGGAATGTGTATAGATCTAGCCTAGACGGTTTCCGTCTCTAAAGAGAGAGCCGGCCGACCCTACCCCAATAAGAGGCTAACGAACGAAAGAGACGGAAAATTCGGTCTAGATAGTAGTAAGCAACCGGTCTTTTCACCCACACATACATGTAGGTGCATTACTATCCTGGCTGTGTTGTAAGTAAAACTTAGCTGTGCTTTTGATTCTCAACATTTCAAACACTACTGTACAAATCTAGTTTCACTAAAAATCGGTACTTTAGTGACAATAGATGACACATAAATACTAAAAATAGCAGTAAAATACAATTTTTTTTCAACTTTCCCATGTTAGAAAGAATAATTTAAAAATTGTGAGTCTACTGTCAACTTGCCGATCAGCCGCATCGGCATGATTGTGTGCATTTGCGTGTTGTAAGTGTATCAACTATTCCTGTATTCAAATGCTGCCTGTTAACACGTAGTGCAGTGCTAAAGGTCATTACGCATTGACATTGACTCTCTATGCTTTGCTGGAGTGGTTCTGAAGGGTATATACAACACAACTTGTAATCATATCATAGTTATCATAATAACAGGTCAATAAAGTCTTTTTGAAACCTAAACTAGGAACATAGAACTTACCAAACATTATACCGTAGCCGTAGGCGTATAGGCCCTAGATCCGAATCCTTAGATCTATGAAACTGGCGACCAAGGTGGAGAGATAGTTAATGGTCCTATAGTGTCTCTAAATCGTAGAATCGAAAAAGAAAAAGATAATGTTGCACGTCTCGATTAGATTTTGATGTTCATACAACTATCATCGTACGACATTTTAACTAAATGAAGACTGACACTATTTTAAAGGTGTGATCTTACTGTCTAATTCTCACTGTTTCAGATTGAATCTAGGGCCCAAACCAGCATATTCGGGGTGTATCCGCACTCAGAGGCGGTGGAGCGACTTCCAAAGTGGGGGGGGGGGCACCAACAAAAAAGGCGCTTTCTGGAGAAAAAAGGGCACCTTCAAAGGGAAATCCTCAAGCAAAAATATACAACTTTTTAGACATTGGTATATACCCCTTTATTGTGCTTACATTATCAGGGATGATTTCAATATTGTTTCTCTTTTTGCATCATATAAGATAATGCTTAACCATCATATTTTGCAGTTGGGTATAATGGTCTGAAAATTCATTTGTGAGCGAGCAAAGTGAACGAGGAAAATGTTTAGGATTTGTGAGGTCGCGGTCCGGTCGCAGTGCGAAATATTACATCTTATAAAGAGGAAAACCCCAATCCTGACGGGGATATATGCACATTCTCATAACGGAAGACCAAAAAGACCTTTGATAAGCCAATTATAACATCTAGGCTAGCTAACTATACGAGCGAGAGTAGCGAGCGAGCTTTGGGGAGAAGTTGCTCTTAGTCGCTTGAAATTAGGGGCTCGTTTAATGATGAGAGGAAAAGGGGACACTTATCGAAAGGGTTAAGACACTTAATAGAAAAGAGAAGGAGCACGCGTCAAAGTACAAAGGCTAATTATCAGAGGTGAAAGTGCCGCACTTACACCTAAAAAAACTATTACGGAAAAGAGGCACCCATCAGATTTTGATAGAAGTGAAAAGGGGCATTTATGAAAAAGGGATAGGTTCCTTATTAGAAAGGAAAACGGGGCACATATTTAAAGGGTAAATATCAGAGGTGAAAAGGGGCACTTATGAGAATGAAAAAGGGGCAATAATGATAAAGAGAAATGCAGTTTGTTGAAAGAAAAGGGGGGCACCGATCAGATTTTAATAGGGGCATTTATGGGAAGTGGCTCTTATCATTACGAAAAGCTCTCGTTAAAACTATACCCCACTACTATAACACAGGAACCATTGTAAATCAGGTGGGGTATAAAAACAATTTGTGAAAAATAGCACTCTTTCTCCCTCTATCATGCTTGTCTCTCTCTCCCTCTCGATCACCCCGTCAAGGTCTGGGCAGGGGGGTAACATTGTATAGCGCTAGTGTTTACTTTAGGCTTAGCTCTAGGAGTAGTGAAAGTCAAATGGGGATTTCAATTTTAAACGACAGGCGAGTTTTCGTCAAAAGAAAAAGAGGCACATGTTAAAATAAATGGGGTACTAATCAAAGATGAAAAGGGGTAACTATGAGAAGGGGAAGGGGCACTTATTATAAGGGAAAAGAGCATTTATTAGGAAGGACAAGGGGGACGTGTCAAAATAAAAGGGGCATTTATACAAGATGAAAAGAGCACTTATCAGGAGGGGAAGGGGCACTTGTCAAAGTATCTCCCAGAATTGAATAGGGTCAATTGAAGAGATGAAAAGGGGCACTTATGAGAATGAAAAGGAACTATTTTCATAGATGAAAAGGGGCATTTATGAAAAGGGAAAGGGGCTCTTTTTAAAATGGGGGCACTTATCATAAAGGAAAAGGGGCACTTATTAAAAAGGAAAGGGGGCACATGTGAAAATATAAGGTGCGCTTATCCGAGTTAAAAATGGGTAGATATTTAAAGGGGAAGGGGCATTTTTTACAAAGGAAAAGGGGAACTTGTCAAAGCAAAAGGGGAACCTCTCAGATTTGAATAGGGCAATTATCAAAGGTAAAGGGGGCGCTTATCAAAAGTGAAAGGGGCGCTTCTTGTACCTGAAAGGGGAACTTACTAGAGATTAAAAAAGGTACTTATGAGAATGGAAAATGGACACTTATTGCAAAGGAAAATGTGAGGAAAGGAAATTTGAATTGAATAGGGCAATTATCAAAGGTGAAGAAGGCGCTTATCAAAAGTGAAAAGGGGCGCTTCTTGTACCTGAAAGGGGAACTTACTAGAGATTAAAAAAAGTACTTATGAGAATGGAAAATGGACACTAATTGCAAAGGAAAATGTGAACTTGTCAAAGAAAAAGGGATACGTGTCAAAATAAAAGGGGCACTTATCAGAGGTGGAAAGGGGAAGGGGCACTTTTAAAAATTAATAGGGCGCTTGTCAAAGTAAAAGGGGCACTTTTCCTATGTAAAAAGGGGCACTTTTGGGGTACTTGAAAAAGTGGGGGACACTGTGCCTTCCCCCCTGCACCTCTGTCCGCACTATACAGAAAATAATTGTACAAAATCTGTTTTATACTAAGAAGGCTTGATGATCTTTTGACATTTTTACTAAAAAATGCCTGACACCCTTTTTGCTCCCACATATAGACACATTACCATAAAAGAGGTGAAAACATTTGGAGTCTTAGCAGGGCCAAAACTGAATTGAATGAAAACCAATGTCATGTCAACTTCTATTCAAGAAGAATGCTTAGATAATTTAGAATGGACTAATGAGACCATTAAATACTTAGGTGTGTACATAACTCAAGGGGAAAAAATCAGAAAGTTTAAAATAGAATTTACAACTGGAGAAAGTAAATTCGTTGCTGAGAGTTTGGAAAATGAGGAACCTGACATACTAGGGAAAATAACAATTATAAAAACGCTCATTGTTTCCAAATTTGTATATATTGCGACATGTTACCAATTCCACAAAAGTTTGTCGTCAATCTAAACAGATTAATTTATAGCTTTCTTTGGGGATCAAAAAGGGAAAAAGTAAAGACCGGTTGTTACTCGTGGGGGTGGGGTGGGGTTTAAACATGGTAGATATCCAAACCAAATTTCAAATCATTGCAATTATCTTGGTTTTCAAAATATATGAAAGGAGGTAAGTCGCAATGGAGAATACTTTTCAGATATTGGATCAGTTTTATTCAAGACATACCGTTAAATTTGAAGAAAAAAAACTGCTCAAGCAAAGACATGTTCTCGCTATGTAAGATGTATAAGTTCCCAATATTCTATCCTACCTTACTCACATACTGGTGCGCATTAAGAATGTAAGAGACATGTGTAATGAAATTCTTAGGTATAACATTAACATCAAACATGGACAAAATGTCTTATTTTTCAAAGAATGGAATGTAAACATAATTTGTAAAGTCAGTGATGTATTAAAACGGTGAATGGGTATCATGTAATACTCTTTACGAACGTTTAGGTACAAGTTCTTTGTTAGATAACTTCAAATTTTCAAAACTAAAAAGGGCTTTTCCAAAAGTATGGGCAGAACAAATAAGAAATTACAATTTTAATTCAATTGAAACAGAAGTTTATGAAGAAATGTTTGAGACATCAAACTGCGACTATGAAAGCAAACCACTTATATATTCTCTTGTATATATAGACTTATATAGACTCAGCCAGCCGCTGAATAAGCGGGGGGGGGGGGGGGGGGGGGGGGGGGGGGGGGGGGGGGGGGGGGGGGGGGGGTAAGAGGACACTTTTTTTTTTTTTTTTGGTCTCGAAATTTGAAAATTTGACATTTTGCTCCGTTGGGGGGGGGGTAAGGTCGCCTTTTTTAGGCCAGCCATGGGAATAATTTTTTTTTTTTTTTTTTTTTTATTTTTTATTATTAAAAAAAAAAAAAAAAAAAAAAAAAAAAAAAAAAAAAATCCCAAAGGGGGGGGGGGGGGGGGGGGGGGGGTTTAGGTTTTTTTTAGGGGGGTTTATACACAAAAAAATACCAAAGGGGGGGGGGTTTAACCCCCCAAACACCCCCCCCCCCCCTGCGTACGCGCCTGACTGTAACTACCTATCAATTTTGAGTGGAAGCATGTTTTAGATTTAAAATTTAAAAAGATCAAAGACAACGGAGTAATACAATTTAATTTAAAATTGGTTCATAAAGTTTTACCCTGGCAAAGATAATCTTTATAAGTGGAAAATTACATCCGATATGCTTTGTACATATTGTAATGAACCAAAATCGTTTATACACATTTTGCTTAGATGTCGCCAAGTCGCAGTTTTTGGGGGAAAATTCATCGTCTGGCAATGAATTTGTTCCAAAAAGATATTGTATTAGGAGAATACACTAATATAGAGTAATTTTTTTACAGTTAAATCATGGAAAATGTGAATTTTGATAAACTAGTTATATAAATTCAATAATTATGAATATACAATATTCAGAAAAAAAAAGTATATATTTTTCAAAGTTCATAAAAGATTTTGTGAAATGTCATGCACGCAAAGGCATGTGGAAATCAAGTTTTGGGGGATAAAAAGGGAAATTAATGGGATCAAACTATATAAAGCAATTAATAAATAGAAAAGACATGACGTCACAAACTGATAATCAAATTGGCAATTGGTGTAGTGATTTTCATTGTTCCATAGTTTTGCATACTTTTTCCAAAAAAATCATAACTTCCCTAGTATTAGTTATCAGATTTTACCCAAATCTGTTTTGCTCTGTTTCTCTTGTTTTTCTGCATCTTTTAAAAGCAAATTATTTTTGGAGTGGACTTGGACTTTAAACGCTTTTATATTCATGCCTTGATCTTTTCCTTCCACTTTCTTTTTGTCTCCCCTAATTTATTTTATCAGTCTGTTGATTATGTATATATATATATATATATATATATATATATATATATATATATATATATATATATTGTAATAAAAACATATACAATGTTGTTAAAATGATACAAAATGAGTAATAAAGTGCCTCGTAAGAGGAAAAGAGAAGAAAAAAAGAAGTAAAAGATATATAAAACCTAATATAGCAAAACACATAATAAAGCTTCGTCATCAGAAAAAGTAGTTAAGTTTGTTGTTTCTAAATACTTTTTCATATCAGAGAAATCACTAAATGTATGCTTAGAATATAATTCCCTATAATATTTAGTTATTTTCGTTCCAGTAATTATTTCCCCCTTTTTGTAATACAATCGACAGGTGCCCAACTGAACGAAATATCGGTCGGCCAATCTTTCAAATTTCCGGGACAAAAAAAAAATGTGCTCTTAAGTGAAACTATGCAAACTAAGTCATAAGAGAGTCGCTCTTCCCAGGTACATGTATAGGGTCTAACCATAGATATATGTGTTATCTCTATGGGTCTAACACACAATTTTATTGAGGTATTTCAAATCATGTTTTTTCAATGTAAACAAAAGCGGGACAATTAAAACCCGTTTTAAGATTATAATCATTTGGGTTTTTATTTTTATTTGTTATTTATTAAAGACACCAATAGCGAGGAACAGAGAAGAAGAAGAGTGAATGCCGGGAGTGAATCACAGAACTCTTAAATACGTATTTTACAGTTCTGTGGAGTGAATGGATCTTAAAGATGCCCGCCTAGGAACTCTTTGCCCAATCACATTTCAACACGGCTGATGCTCGGAAATAAACACCGATTGGTGGTTAATTCAACCTGACATTTAGCGCAGGAACATGTATGAAGCCAGAAAGAACCAAAATAATGTGAAAAATGATAGAAAATTAATTGATAATACTTTAATCAAGTGATTAGTTGTACCAAGAATAACAAACAATCCAAACAAAAGAAACAGTAATTATTAATAGCTACATTTGATCATCAAATTGGACACAAATGTGCCATTGGCATCGACGAAAAAGTAACTACAAACGGCGTATGTTAGCCTATTCTTGATCCAAAATGGTGTCATTCGAGTTTTTAGATGAAGTAAAGCGTATGAATAAACGGCAGGTAAGTTTAAATACATTTGTAAAGTTATACGTGGCAAGTGTGTGTTTGTTTATGCAACCGAAACGACCTGTCATAATGTGTAGTATTACTAATTTGGTCCCATATGTAGGGATTGATGTTGTACTTTAGATCTAGTGTTCACCACACAAAAATAATGTCGCTAATTCAGAATCATATCCATACTTGATTTACCTTGATGTTGGGCTTCAAGTATAATTACTTTTATACAACACTATGTGGATCCTTGTCATTTGATTGGAGGATTGTTGGTCACATGATATTCAATAACTTATTGCACGGGCGTGCATGTTTGGTTACTTATTCGCCTAGACCGAAAGCTTCAGTCTCTATAATCGTCGGTTGTTCCACTGAGACTACGTCTGGCTCCACTAGACCTCCGGTTATAGAGACAGAACGATCGCCTATGCCAGCCTGTGTTGAACTTATTCCGCTAGATTTTAGCCGCTAGGCCCCTCCCACAAACTTGCCACGGCCGTATTGTTATGCCCCCAAAATCCCCCAAAATGTCATTTTACCTCGTTCATTTCCAATTTTAAATTAGGCCTAGGCTATAATACATCGGTTCCACTTACTAACTTTATTGATATAATCCGTTTAATGGTCCCTTTTAAGGAAATTATGGGTCAAAATCGACATCCATGTTGAAAATCTTGCAAGCCGTGTTAAACTCTCGCTGCCGTCAATCTCATCCCTTCTAGTCTACGCCGAAGGCAAAATGATTATGAAGGAAAAACTGTGATAACGCCATTACGAACGTGTAGATGGCGCAGTTTTTCCTTCATAATCATTTTGCCTTCGGCGTAGACTAGAAGGGATGAGATTGACGGCAGCGAGAGTTTAACACGGCTTGCAAGATTTTCAACATGGATGTCGATTTTGACCCATAATTTCCTTAAAAGGGACCATTAAACGGATTATATCAATAAAGTTAGTAAGTGGAACCGATGTATTATAGCCTAGGCCTAATTTAAAATTGGAAATGAACGAGGTAAAATGACATTTTGGGGGATTTTGGGGGCATAACAATACGGCCGTGGCAAGTTTGTGGGAGGGGCCTAGCGGCTAAAATCTAGCGGAATAAGTTCAACACAGGCTGGCATAGGCAGTCGTTCAGTCTCTATAACCGGAGGTCTAGTGGAGCCAGACGTAGTCTCAGTGGAACAACCGACGATTATAGAGACTGAAGCTTTCGGTCTATTATTCGCCATGCATTTTTGGTTATTTGCAGACTGCGTACCTCTCTGCCGTGCGAGTATCCTTGCGTGTATCTGTGGGAATCCATTTTTTTAATTGCCAGTGGGCAGTTCAGTATTACCTGAAACCCGCTGAGCGCCGATGAAAAAAAACATCCGCGAAAATGCAGACCATCCTTATTTTTGAGGACGCATTTTGTCCTACAGTTAATACTTCAGCCAATTTTAGATCAGCCTATTTTAGAAGTTATCCAATTTCATCCAAAGATAGGCACATTCATGGGGCACTAGAGGGCGCTTCGCGAGCGTACGAAAAACTTGGATATGGGAGGGTGGAAGGATATATCTTTTTTATAATGTTATCCGGTCTTACCCCTAACCGTCCTATGTTTAATCTATGTAGAAATAACATGCGAGTACGATAAGAGAAACATGGGGCCCATTACTGATGCAACTTTTTAAATATTAGCCTAGAAATGACCACCAAACGGAAAAAAATGGCATTTTTTTCCGACAAATCTTCATAAAATCTGAGTTATAAACAACTCACAACTAGGCTTGGTAATGCAAATACGATTTTCTGAAAATTGAGGTGTGATTTTTTAAGTTTCTTTCAAGTATATTTCTGCGCATCGCAGCGCAAATTTTCTTCACTGCTTCAAAATCACCCTTGAAATTTTTTTTTGCAACGAATTTGATACGGGGTCCGCGAGTGTTCCCCGTTCCTTGCGTGTTGAAAGTTTGGTAATACAAAGTTTGCATTGACTCGCGCACGAAAAAATGGCTCGAAAACAAATGTCAAAACAAGAAATAAACAAGCTTTTGTATAGTTATAAGAGATCTACCGAGGTTTCTTTGTCGATATAATTTATTATATAGTCTCCATTAGAATTCAGAATTATCTCACTGAAACCGACGATGTTCTCGATCGTAGTTATTTTCACTTTGCCAGCAGACGTTCTAGCGTGGTTTTGGCAAAAAGCTAGCCCGCCACCTTCCCACCTCGAACCTTTCGAGTTCCGCTAAAATTGTGCGCTGTGGAGCTCCGAGGGTGCGTTGGTATCGCTGGCAAACTCTCGGGCGGCTAGCTCCCCACGACGGACCATTCACGGTATGGCGAGAGAGTGTGTGTGAGATACGATTTTGGATTCGAGAACGCACGTACCACAACCGTGCGCGTCATTTTCAGCTGTCGAATGTCTACGACCAATTTTACATGTACGATTTTTAGTACAGATACTTAGTCAGTTTTCTTCTTATATCTTTGGTTTTACAACATTTAAAAATATAATTTCTTCAAATTTGCTCCTGACTCGGTTCAGACTAATTGTCTGATGTGTTTTCAAGTCAATTTCTTGAATATATTTTTTTGCATGAATTTGCCTACCAAAGAACTTTTCTCCCTTTACTACTTTCATGTATTTTTGTGTGTTTATTACAGCTATTTTACCAGGTGCTGAACTTTGGTATGATAGTGTCGTCAGCGCTTATGATATGGAAAGGCCTCATGGTTGTCACAGGGAGTGAGAGTCCTATTGTAGTTGTACTCAGGTATGTGGAAGCTCTTAGGTAGACAGCGTGTATGAATCAGTGATCAAACTAAATCAAAGTAATTAAAAATGACTATAAAAGTATAAATGCTATTGGTATAAAGCTGCCCATATCTTCTTAGTTTTTCACAATTTTATTCATATGTTCCATTGACACCTAATTCAAATTTATCTCTAGCAGTAAGATATGTTTATGAAAGTATGTGCAGAAAAATACTCTTTCTCTCTATGAATGAAAACTGAAGCCCAAATTTTACACAACAATTGGGATGAACAAAACCCTGCCAGTTGCAAAATTCAAATTTGAAAAGAAAAATTACTATACTTGACTATAAAATGGCTAATAATGAATATTTTGCCACAATGCCACCATAATTTTATAACAGTTTTCAGTTGTGAGTTTCACAACATTTTCAGGCATTTTTACAAATTTTGAGAATTTTCACCATGCGATTCCAATGCATCACACTTTAAGTACCAGTATACATGTATGTGCATAAACAATGAGTAATAACTTAATAAGCACATCTCACGGTTGACTTGTATGAACAAATGATTACAAATCTTGAGAAAAGCCATTGTAAAACCATATTGCATAGTCATGTTGGTAACTTTTTTAAAACAGAAATTAAACAATACACCAATTGTTCAAACATACAAATAACTGTTACTGGTATTTGAAATTAGTTAATTATATATTTGCTCACACAGATTATAAAGCAATTCTATTTAAAGTTATTATTTAAAAATTTGGGATGAATGTAAAAACAGTTCAAAGAGATTTGATCAGATTGTTTTAGAAGATAAAATTTAGCTTTAATAAAAAAAAATATATCAATATTAAAAAAAAAAAATTATATCATTTCTGAACTTCTGATTAAATTATTAGAGTTGTGTTCATATCTTGGCACATGAAACCTTATAATAATACATCTGTTACCTGTACTGAGAATAATTTTGAAGAGATTTCAATGTCATCTCCATGATAAATTATTGCATTCCATTGCCTTTTGGATTTCTTCTTCTTTTTCTTCCAGTATAGTACATAACGCCATTGGTGTATTATCATACCCTGTGGTTGTCAAGTGCTTAGTGTACAGTGCAAGTAATAACAAAAAAGGCTCTACAAAAAATTTATGTGCAGCTAAAAAGAGTCTGAACTCTGCAGCACTTGATAATATGTTGCACTTTCTGCTTAAGAAGTTCCAAGATGGTGTGATTGATGTATTCACACATATGAATAGACAATTTAACAAGTGAGCAGAGTACATTTTGTCCCATTATGACTTAGTTGATCTTCGCTTATATATTGCATTTTTTTCCATTTGTAGTGGGAGCATGGAGCCAGCTTTTCACAGAGGAGATCTTCTCTTTTTAACGAATTATCAGGAAGATCCAATCCGCGTTGGAGAGATAGTTGTTTTCAAGATTGAAGGCAGAGACATTCCTATAGTACACAGAGTCCTGAGACTACATGAAAAGTATGTATTTTTCCATCATGTTTGCATCTTATTCATTGCCTATGGTGTAATGGTTTCCATGCAATTTTTTTTTTTTTTTGAGCTCTGGTATAAAGATGGAAAATCATTATCAAATGAGCTTTCTCATTGATTTACTATTCCCATATGGAAGATTATAACATTAGCCATGTAACATGAAAAAGACTCTTCTTGAAATGCTTTCATTTTTCAGATACAATCAGAAATTATTTGCAATAGTACCAAACTTTGATACCACGTTCATCGCTGAACGTGAAGAGAAATTATGTACTGGATAATGTTTGTAGATCTTGAATGCATTTCAGTTCAATTGAGAAGTTCTTCTGGAATTCCATGTCAGAGGCTGTTTGATGATACTTAATTAATTTTGTAGTCAATGTTAACCTTCCAAAAGTCATTAATATTCCATATTGAACTGATCCCAGTACATGTTGCAGAAGGTGTAAAGTTTTGTTAATTTACTTTCAGGCTTGGCTGTGGTTTTAATTGTGATTATCGTCATACAGAAAATGTTTTATCAAGGGATACAGCATGGCATTGTAGATAACACGTCCTACTGAACTGAAGATAACAAGTTGATGTCCATTGGGTCCATCAAAAGTTGTAAACTTTCATTTAATAAGTCCGGTGCACGGTAGATGATAGTGATCAGAATGAAAGTGGGGTAAATCAATAAAATTGTTTTCATTACCATGTATGATTATTTCATCCACAGGGAAGATGGTACTGTGAAGTTTTTAACAAAAGGAGATAATAACATGGTTGATGATAGAGGACTTTATGCCAAGGGTCAGCTATGGCTTGAGAGAAAAGATGTCGTTGGTAGAGCACGAGGTTTTGTACCCTACATAGGCAATGTCACAATAATGATGAATGATTATCCAAAATTGAAGGTAAGATTAATTCAGAATTATTATCCAGCTATTGATATGTACATGATTATAATTCAATGTTATGCCTCCATTTTGGGGTTGTCCGTCTGTCAGTCCTGCTTTCTCGTTATTGCAACATCTCAACCACTTAAAATATAAACTTCAAACTTAATGATAATATGTCACCATAGAAAAATATCTGAGTAGATTTTGGTATAAGTAGATAGATGTATTAGCCTCAAGCTTGATGATAGTATGCATCACTATAGAAAAACAGTCTCATTAGATTTAAGGTAAGTAGGTCAAAGGTCACAGAGGTCAATTTCTGTAATTAAAAGTTTTTATCCTTGCTATCACAATATCTCAAGAACCACTTGAGGTAAAATCTTCAAACGTTGTGATAGTAAGTATCACCATAGGAAGACAACATAAGTTGATTTTGGATTGATTTGGTCAAAGGTCAAACATCTTAGAGGTCAATTTCTGAAATTTCAGGTTTTAGCCTCATCACAATACATTGAGAACCACTTGCAATATGAACTTCAAATCTTCTGTAACTCAACCATTTAAAATACATGCATAACCACTTGAGATATAAACTTCAAACTTGATGATAATATGTGTCACCATAGAAGGATATCTGAGTAGATTTGGGTATAAGTAGATAGATGTATTAGCCTCAAACATTGCAATAGTTTGCATCACCATAGGGAGATGACCTAAATACATTTTTAATTAGAACAAAGGTCATAGAGGTCAATTTTTTAAGTTAGAGATATTACCCTTGCTAGTTGTTATCACAATAGCAATAGCAATATGTACGAGCTTTGAATATGGTGACCATATGGGAGATATCCAATTACATTTTGGGACTGGTAGGCAAAGGTCATAGCTCATAGCCATCAGTTGACATTTGATTATTAATATAGGCTTTTTGTTTTCTTTGTGATATGTCATGAATAATTCCATCCCTTTCCCTTACTGAATTTAAGGTGGAGGCATATAGGAGAAGCAGTCGCATTTGTTTTGATTTTTTCCCCTCTTATCTGGTATACCGTTTCATACAAGTTTTTTGTTTTGTTAGTTATGTATTTTTTAAATTTTGTTTTTTGTTTTTGCAGGTCTCTTTGCAAACAATATCAGTATAACAATGAAATATCTCTAAAAAAGAAATTTACTTCATTATCAGAGTTCTGTATCTGTCAATTTTGTAAATTTAAGTTGTCAAGTTTTTTTTCCTTCCCATGAGGTTCCCTTAAAATGCATTCCTGCTGACAAATTTTGGTTCTGTTTATGTTTTTATTTGTCTTGTATTCTATGGGGAGCCAGTATTGCATTTTAAGTGGATGTTTTGTTAACTATTATTCATGATGTATTCAGCTGTCATCAAACTTAATTTACCAGGTAATGTATGGGGATAAATGTGTGCAGACAGTCATGATCAATTTGATCCCAGGTGGCCCATTCACATGCACCGACAGAGTCGTAGGATTCATATTTCTGTGATTTTTGCTCTGCAGTAATTTCCTTCACTGACGGAATTCCTAACTTCAACTCTAGACCCAAAATTATACCTAACCCTTTATACCTAACCCTATACTTTTGATGAATGAAGCCAGGAACAATTATCGCTAAAGCAAATGTCAGGTCTTCCCCTCCCCCTCCCCCCTCCCCCTCCCCCCACCCTACAATTTTACCATTCATTTATTCACACAAACCAATCTCAATCTCAATGTAAGGAAATCAATATTTAGTATCTTTGACAAAAATGCTTACGGACTATGATGGTATTAAATTTGGTTTCATCTTCTCTCCTTTTCTCTTGACAGTATATTATTCTAGCTGGTCTTGGCATATTTGTACTGATACATCGAGAATGACACCACCCCAGGAGCTCTTGCCAATCATTCTATTTGAATCTGTTGCTTTTCCTCATCTCCTGGACAAATTTGTTCATGGATTTCAAAAATTGTAGAGTACTTTGGGGATTGTAGTATACCTTTTTAGTCTTTTCACATGCTACTTTTATTTATATGTGTATCATCTTTATGCATGATCAACCACCTTTATCTGTTCTGAAAGTAACAGTTTGTGCCTCTTGCAGGGTGCTATAAAAACCACTTCTCCATGTCCTAGGGCAACCAAACTTCCCAAAACGTGATGTAATCACATTTGCCAGATCAGGCAAGTCAATTTACTGGCAACATACTTGAACGGAAGTTTGATTTTAAAAACATGAATCAGCCATGTTGGGAAAATGGTGAGTTGATAAAACTAGATTTTTTTTTCTTTCTGAAAAACAGTTGGGGCAGGTGATTTGATGTCTGTGCAGGAAATTGATAGCATTGGACTGGGCTAGTGGTAAAGAAAAAAATTGTAGCATCATGCCCTTCTATCAGTTGGTATCCTGAGCAGAGATTTATTATAAAAGTCTTACCTTCTTATTGTCTTAGTCAAATTTGGGTTGATATAATTTGTTTGTTTCACAGTCTTTTTGTAATATTTGTGTACATACGTCATAAAGCTGTATATTGTGTTGTCACTATCACAATATTGGGCACATATGAAATCTGAATCAATTTTTTTTTTTCCTGTGCTACTAAATATCAATTTACTTACTTGATTAATCACTCTTAAACATGGTGTTACCAGAGTTTTTACCCGGTATGTGTAATACACCATGCTTCACACGGATGCACTTCCTAGTTGATGCTTTTTTTTTGTACACATATGTATAGATTTCTTTATAGAAAAACTGAGTGGACATGCCCTGTTAGAGGTTAGAGATCATTCAGTTAGGGTTAGAAAAGTAATTTATTTTGAAAAGTGTTTGTCCAGGGGGGAGATCTTTGAGTCATTGCTGCTATGCTCATTATGTAAGGCTTGTCAGTTGTAAACTGAAAGTCAGGACTGATGTTTCATTACACCTACTTTCTAATGGTATGATTTTTCCTCTTAGGAACTCCCACATAATCATCTTAGTCCACAGTTTCACTCTTTTACAGTAGTATAGTTGTAGCATACATTCATAAATTTGGCATTTAGATGAAAAGATTGTTCAAGAAAGGGAGAGTATGGAGTATCAGAACTTGTCCTATAATGGAAACTATATGCCTGATTATCAAATGATAAACTGAATGTTTTTAAAAGCCTCTACTTTGTATAGGATTGTAGTAAAACATGAATTTGACATTGTTACTAGGTATGATTTATGGTTATCAAATTATGCCAACCAAAGCAGACTTTTGGACAACCAAATAGACTGGAAGATTTTTGTTTTTTAACCTTGTCTATGCATGTGTGTATAATCAGGTAAACCAAGTTTATGCTCTTGACACTATTTATATATGTTAACTTTATCTAGGTCCTGCATAAGCTTGTGAACTATAGAGCATTTAATTATATTCATGTTACCCTGACATGATTTGGGCACGCAACTGTCGCGCACATGTCGCGCACATGTCGCTTAGTCCCATATACACCTTTCTGTGTACAGTGCTTGTGACTTTACCAAGAATGGGCCAAATTTCTTATCATTTTGATGATATCAGAACCTTGCAGTACACACCAATACTAATATGCTAGATGCTCAACCTTTTCTGATTGATTCCACAATGTTTCTTTCACAGTGCAATCGCATGACCATAAATGGTCTTTATCTTTAACCATTCACCTATAGAACGCCAGGTAAAGTTTGTTTGAGGTTGATTCTTCCTGTATGTACACACCTTTTTTTTTTTCTTCCGGTGATTGGTTCACTTTAAATTCAGACTCAGAATATTTGATCAATAGACCTGTGACACATCCTCTACACTGAAATTTCTACATTTCACAATTCAAAGTAGGAATTATTATTTGTTTAAATCTTATTTTCAATCGATGACTAAATTTAGTCTTGTCAATTTCTTTTGGTTAATATAAATACAGTTTTTGTACAAGATCGCGAGATTGAGTGACAATTGGTTTTCTGTAAATCAGGGGATTAAATTTTGCCAGGTTTATCCAGTTACTAATAACAAAAAAGGCCATCATATTTATGTTTTATTTCGTTTTGTTTCTTTCTGTAAATTTATTACTATGTCAAACTCTGTTTATGTTATGCAATGGTGTCAACGTTTCTGTTGTTCCTAAAGTCTTGTAGAAACAGTTGTAACAATGCTGAGGAAAAAAAAGGTTATACCTTACCATCTTTTTCCTTCAATTATGCTTATAAAGGAAGACTGCACTACTTGTAGCTACTTGGGCCCTCTATATAGCAAACAATGCTTAAGCGGTACCCATTGGTCCCCCATGGTCCTCTTTTTCTTATGTTAATTGAGAGCTGATTTGATGAGATAACCACCTGTCAGTGACCATGCATGGAGGTCTAATCCCTCCTGGCCAAACTAGTGCAGATAGGCTTTAAGCAAAACAGACGAGACAAGTACATGTAGATGAAACAATACCGGGGGTATGCCATTTTGATATCTTCTCTGGCATGTTTACATTGTAAAATGTCTGTAACTGGCCAGGTTTCATATCATGTGTAATTTACCGTGTTCTCCTCTCTTTCCCTTGTTTTGTTTGGAAAGTGTTTGAAAATATTGTGACTGTTATTTTGTCAATGGGTATTAAAGACCATTTCTATATACATTTTCTATGCTTTTACCTGTGATTCATATTTATTTTTAGTCTGAAAGACATGGAAAGAATGCCTGTTTAAATGATTCCATACTTTATTTTATACCTCATACATAGATTGTCATTCACTGATTGGTCAAAACTATATCACATGACAAGGAACATTTCGATCTATCATTGCGTCAGAGGATTTGATAGCTACTATCAACCCCTGTGATAGGACTTCTCACCCCTCCACGACTTTTGCACACAGAGCGTAAAAGATTTCAAATGCGCGCTCAATCCATGCAATTTACGCTGGGCCGCAGTAACTGTATTACTTTACTTCAATTTCTTTTAGCGTTGGATATTTGAAACTGTTTTGAGCTTCAAAAGACTGTAAATATATTACTGTGAGGAGCATAGAGACTCTTGTTATTTGATTTCTTTTCTAGACCTATTCATGAATCAATGAAAAGGATGAGGTATATAAAACAAATATGGACTGCTCTGTAATCGGATGGTGGAGGAAATTATCATTCCCTCCGTTGTGTTCAACTTCATACTCCTTCATCCCCCTTTTATCACCCCTCGGCTTCGCGTCGGGGGCGATAGAAGGGCCGATATGAACACCACCTTGGAAGTGATAATTCCCACCATCATCCTCATGAGCAGTCAAGATTTGTATACTATTCTATTCTTTTTTAATTCAGTGAGAGGTTATGATGTCTTCTCTTCTCTCTCCCCCAACTCTCTCTCTCTCTCATTCTATTTTCCCCCTCTTTCTCTTTCCCTCCCTCTTTCTCTTTCCCTCCCTTCTTCCTCATTCTCTATATTCTCCCTCGTTCTCTCTCTCTCTTCTCCTTCTCCCTCCTTCCAGTCTTCTTAGGTCATGGTTATGCTCCAATACGGCGGTTGCCATGACCTGGGAAGATTTTATTAAAATCAAATGTGTATAACTGGAAATAAATTTATTTACCCATTTACACTATATTTTTGGGCTGTTTGATGAAAAATATATGTAATTTTTCAGAATATGATTTGTTACCTTGGCAATAGCCAACAACATTAAAAAAATGGCAACAGCACATAAAATTAGATGCTATAGAAAATTGTAAGTACACCTTCAACTCACTAAGTATAGCACATTTATTCACAATTTCACATCAATCTACCAGTTACAGAACAGACATTTATTACATAATATTTGCATATTCTGAATTATTTGTTTTGGATGGAGTAAAACTGGAATGCAAAATCTAGTACATGTAGATTGTTTCATCATAGACAGTGATATTTCTAATTTTAACTAATACATGTAGTGAAAATTAGATATTTGATTTGGTTGTACATTTGCATAAGAAATTGAAAGCACTTGGATAATGATTGTTGGGTGTTTGGTTGATATGGACGGTAGGTTTCTATGGTTGTATACATACCACATTTAGGCACAAATATCACATACATATTCACGATAGACTGGTTATGAAACGTACATTGTAATATGTATACCAGAGTACATTTTTAAAACATAATTTCTTTCACACACTTTGAGAGTCAAGTATAAGAGCGGAATTGATGGTAATAAATCATTTCAAGATATGACAGTGTTGACAATAAACAACAAAAAAGTGGTGGGTTATTCCATGAGGATGTTTATGGCACTGTATAAAGCAATATCACTTTGTTAATAATCATTATCAAGAAAAGAATACAAAAAGAAGAAAGAACAAAATAAAAGGAGATAAAAACAAAAAGAAAGGAAGAAAAAGAAAAAAAGACAGCATCGAGGCAGAAGGAAAAAACCCCTGAAAAGATGAAGAAGAACGAGAACAGTGAAGGAAAGCAAGGAAATGGAGAAAAGAGAAGAAAGTAGAGGAAGGTTAGTGACTTAGAAAGTTGAAGAGAGGTGAAATAAAACACTGACAATAACTGATGGCAAAAACAATTTGGTTGAAAATTTGTCAGTATGTACTCTCATACCCCAGAAGGGGGTCGAATGAGTCAATAAATTCTATTCTAATTCTATTCTAGAAGCATTCTAAAAGTAAATCACATGAGAAACCCCCCAAATTACATAATGAAACATTCAAAATACAAGAAATGTCTTCTTAATAAAATGCTACTCCCAAGAAAATGGAAAAGCTATGCATCAACATTGCACAAAATGGTGAGGCTATTTTGAAATTTAAAGGACCTCCTATTCAGACACATACAATACAGTTTATCTACACTAATAGTAAAAGCACTGGATGTGGATGTTTTCAGCTCCTGCTCAGATACTTTCTTTCAAAGACCCTGTCAGAAGTGAAAAATCAAATAGATGAATTACATATCAAAGGAAAGCTTATAAGCAATAGATTAAAATAATATTGATTAAATGCTATGTCAGTGTCTGTCAGAGGAGAATAACAGCCCGCTGAATACTCAAAATCTAATGCTTTGAAAATCAGAAGTTGTCTGCCTAAAATTAAGCTATCAAATTAATGAGATATCACTAATGTGGAGTATGCATATTCACAATGACTTGGCATTAATTAAGCACAGCTCATCGCCCCAGTTATACAGGCAAGCCAATCGAGTCCACGTTATGTCGACACTATAACTGCTGCGAATTTTACCCCCGTTGACCCATAAGGCGTCAACGAAAAATGTTGCATTGCCCTGTGCGACCGACCCTAAAATCTATGGTCGGCTTTTTAATAAAGTTTTTTTTTAACCGTTTTTTAGAGAAATAATGTTTAATGAATAAAAAAATATGTATTTTGTTTGTTTAAACGGGATACAAATGCATGAAATGAAGTTTTGATTTATGTTTGTGCAATATTAAAAGGGAAACTATTTGTTATTCCTTTATATTTGTTTTGTACGTTCATGCAGCTTTTCATGGATATCAATTTGTATTTTCATTGGATAGGGTCTCTAAAATTTTCTTTTATACAGGTGCATGATATATTATTTAGGCTCCGTTTTATGTCCCATTTGCAGGCCCAACAAATGCAAAGGTTAAATTTCAACGGCATTTGAAAGACAATACTAATTTCAAAAGGGCTTGAAAATGGCTTTTAGTGGGAAAATAACTACCACTAGTTGTCAAAAATAGACTTAAGTTATTGCAATCACCTAAGTAACAGTCTGATGTTAAGACCCTTTTACTGAATGGTCGTATGTTATGTGCTGCAAAAACATTCAATCAGTTTAATTTTGGCCATTATATACAAGGACACTGCTAATGTTTAAATTTCACAGATAGGAGATACATGACATAAAAGTATTCATAATTCCTGCAAAGTTCTACAGAATTTGATGTTGGCTGCAAAAGGGACATAGTACCTTTCAGGTATAAACTTGGTTCACAGATATCACCTTGTGTTTCTTTGCAAACCACCTCATACAACAGACTTGTTTACTAAATAAGTATTTTGATATATGCATGTCTCTTTCTGTAACCCCTGGCTATATCAGCCATTTCAACCAGCTCCTGTGAATAATAGCGTCTCTATGGACAGAATCCTTTTTATATACAAGAGTTGTTGCTGTATCTGACAAGCCTCTGGCAAGCTTTGTAATTGTCATGAGAATCTTTTATTTAAAAAGTATTTAGTAAAAAGGTCTCTTTCATAAACATAACAGCCATTGCTATGTCAGGGCCCATCCTATAAAGAGTTGATATCAAACGTAACTTCATCGCAACTTTGTACAAAGGGGACTGCAAACTTGCGATTGATTTGGTATTACTGCGAACAAACTTTCATTCCTAGTACATTTAGCTACCCTAAGACACACAGTAGACATCACAAAATGGCAAACGGACCTGAGGTTGAATAAATATGAAAGAGAATAGCAAATAAACCCAAAATACCATATATATCTCCATTAACATCAATAGCTGTGTTTCTCTACAGCAAGTTACAGACTACTTGCTTTTGCAAGAAAATTGTTAACTTCTTTCTTATATATTAATGATAAAATGAGAATGACCTACATGTATTCGAGAATAGAATATAAATCTATCAAAACCTTTTCAGTTTTAACAAATCAAAGTTTTCAGTCATACAATATAAACTTCTTTCAAATATGAATATTCATAATTTATGTATTTACAAGTCAAAGAGAAAACATGAAAAATTGAGGAATATAAAACAATTTTTTCCCCTTTTTTCCCCCTTCCATAAAAACAATTTTTGGTCAAGCCAGCAGTGTACAATGATGGCCAATGGCCCATGAGAAAACATTTGTCAAACACCTAATCTATATACTTATAATTTATTAAAATCTTATGCAAAGCTGAAAAATAGAAAATTACATTGGTAATATTTGATTTTAACCTGTAAAGATTGCATAGAAATGGGATGTTAAATTGATAATCTTATACGAACAATGCCATTTCTATTTACAGTAAGATATCTTCATATTGCACTTGTCCTTCTTTTGTGTACCCCTATACAGTTTCCCAGCTCATATAAATATAAACTTTACTTCATTCAACTTCACAAAACATATACCTAAGATCAAAATATATCAAACATTAAAGAGTAGGAACAGGTTAAACTCATATGCTTTTTGTCCCGCCTGCATAGCAAAAAGCGAGACATAGGCGCCGCTTTTCCGGTTCCAATGAAACTTGGACTAAAGGGTTATCAAGTACCGGTATCCCCGATCATGTGAGGAGAATTTCAGGTTACAAAGTCAAGGTCAAGGTCATTTCTGGTCAACAAACTTAGACTTTTTTTTTGTGTCATCAACATCAATATTTTGAATTTTTAGCTATTTTCTAAAGTGTATGTTCAAATTCCATGAAACTTGTACCCAAGGGTTATCAAGTATCACAAATCATACGACTCAAATTCCAGGCCACAAAGTCAAAGTCAAGGTCAAAGGTCATTTTAGGTCAGTAGATTTGGATTATGTTTTCACAACTTAATATGAGAATAAATAAATCCATTTTTGTTATTTGTTCATATTTCATTAAATTTATCAATCTTGTTCCAAATAATAGTAAATCATTCTTCTAATGATTCTTCATCAATATACACTTCAAAATGCTGATTATATTCAGAGGATTTCAGTTTATGGGGCCTGTTAATGGGCCATCCTAATCCAGAAATAATGTCCCAACCTCAATTTTTCATCATATCGAATTGCGTGATGCAGGCGAGACCGGCGAGAGCGTTTACCTTAAATGTTTAAAAACCAGTACTTACAAAATGATATAATAGCTCCAAGAGACAAGCATTCTAAAAGATGATGCATGTACATCTACATGTAGCCATTTATAAAAACAAAGTTCTGTGACAATATTTCACAGATAATATCAATGTTGAAACATATTTTCACAATTTTGATTATGACATTATCTCTAAAACAGACTTTACAAAATAATACCAATTAACATCAACATAAAATAAATATACATGCAGATTCTTATATATCAACCATTGCCAAGTAATCTTTTTTTCTTAAAGTAAAAACTTCTTGTTTTCATGGTAGAGATAATATTGCACGTTTCCTCCATCAAACTGCCAATGTGATAAATAGTTACATTCCCCATGAATTTCATTAAATTCTTTCTTGTATTCACAATAATTCTTTGCCTGAAATTTTAAAATGACAGGCATTTGCATTGTAAAACTTCATTCCTGTGGAAAATATTGTATGCATAATGGAATTTAAAAAACAATCGATCTTCAAGGTGTGAACCTTAAAGTTAATTTGAATACTCATTAATAGATATAATGGCACCGAGGGGTTGCATGTATATGCCATGTGACTTCACATGACTTCTATAAACCGAGACAAATCTTCAACTTCAACTACAGATGATTGGCAAAACTATAAACTTCATCCCACCCCCTTTCTCTTCTCAATTGAATTGTTCAAAAAAAAGTATACTCTGATAGTTTATCTTTCTTTCCTACTTGTCTGTTCCATGCAAACTAACACACAATTTTATCATTATACACCGAGAAAAAAAACCCTGTCTACCGACTTACTACCAATACCGACTTACCGACTTACTACATACTACCGACTTACTACCCATGTGAGTGAATATTCACATACTCAACAACAGAGGACTACATACTTTTACCATCAACAATCATTCGGCCACTCACCTACTTAATGTAAACACATTATAAAGCATATAGTCCTGAAGCTTTAGCCTAGCTCTAACCTCATCCACATGGGACTGTTTTTCACTTTTCTCAATGAAAGTGGGTTTAGTTTTATGTACATCAACTTATCTTCAAAACAGAGTAAGGGTTTTGTCTCCAAACTCGCTACACTATAATTTCATCACTATAACTTACAACGGTCTTTAATAGTAGAAGCAGGAGACACCTACCCAACCTCGAAAGAGACTAAAGCTTCAGAGCTAGTGATGTCTCATCTTGTAACATAGCAAATGTGGGCTTGTGGCATCATCTTCTGTATCCAAGCTAAGAATTTAGACTGCATGAAACTGGTAAACCCTAGTAGAATCACTACTTGGCAGAGGAAATTTTCCATTGGCAGACGGTGTAGTCTTTGGATCCAACAGATAGGAGGTATTGTTCAGAAGAGCTAGCAAACCTTACACATACAGCACAGTGAGGATGGGCAGCAAACTGCTTGTACTGAGTCTAGATATATAAAACAAACACAACACAGATATCTTCCTGTTTATAACACATCTTTCTCTACCCAACAGACGAAATGAAGCAATATATATGTGTATCTTATTGACTATCTGCATCTCTTGAAATAATCTGAGATGTTTTTATACCGTAAATCTCCGTGTATAAGGCGCACCTGTGTATAAGGCGCACCCCTATTTTGGGGAGGGAAAACCCACGCGGGGAAGGACCTTCATTTAACATCGAGGTGCAGTTTAAGGCGCTGATTTGTGTTTGTAAACTTGTCACAAATAATAGTAAAAATGTCGTTTTTAGAAGAATGTGTAAGATCATTAATGTAAATTAAAAACAATAGAGTACCTAGGTCCTAGGATAGAACCTTGTGGTACACCATTTGTTTTGAGGAATTATTATTATAAACTACATATTGAGATCTATTAGAAAGATTACTTTCAAACCAAGATGACAGACAAATTTTAGTGTTGTTGTAGTTTCCGAGTGGTGAGTCAACACACTGATTACTGAGCTGGGAGACATTGCCAGGCATAGCGCCATAAATCTAAACTTAAAAAAGAAACTTTTTTTTTCTGTACCTGTGTATAAGGTGCACCCCCGACTTTCAATTTTTTTCGGCGGCAAAAAAGTGCGCCTTATACAGAGATTTACGGTAATCAATGGCAGAATTTTTGGAAAATTTCTGAAACAATCACCCCACCCTGGTATTTGAAAGCAATGACTAAAATGATATTATGAGTCAAAAGCAAACATAGTATATGAGCACACTACATGTCATTATGCTACTAAGGCTACCTCCAAATGTATGTAGTTGATGTTTTGTCATTATCATGACAAAATTCATACTAATTATTACTCCAAGAAAATTTTCATGCACTTTTTAAGTGCATCAAGGGATGTTTCAAGGCTTGTTAAACTCATGCTACAAGCATCTCTGCAACTTACCTCGGGGTGAGTACAAGGGTATACAAAGAGACGAATTTGTCCATCATAGCCCCCTGCCACCACTAGAGGGCAGTCTACTTGAGAGACATCAACCGAGGCATGTTGAAGTCCTTCCTCTTCCTTTCCAAAGATACCTGCATTCAGTGATTTAAAAAAAGAAGTAAAAATGATTATACAGTGCGTCCCAGAAAAAACGAAACCGAGAATTATCGATGTTTTATCATAACTTAATCACAATTATAATGAATTATAGGTTTCGTTTTTTCTGGGACGCACTGTACAAATAATTCATGTTTACAAGATCATTAAAAAACCTGCAAAATTGACTATTCCAAAAGCCAAGTAAAAAGGTTTTGAGTTACACCTTTATTTGCTTCATTTGCTTTATTGTTTTATACCAAATAGGCACAGCCAAGAGCATTTAATAATTTTTCAGTATCTCAGATATATCTAATCAAAGTACATTTGTACACACCATGCAGAGGCACGCATACATTCATCTCAGTCATAACTGACAGAATATTGAACCAAACTTGTAGACCTACCTGCTACCGGGTATCCCATGAGGCATTGCTGCGATGACCATTCAACATTCCAGACTTCCTCAAGGTTTTCAGCGGCTTCAAAGGTCTTACTATTCCCTGTACAACAGATGATATTAAAGTTTATATACCTCACTTAAGAAATCCAGCCATCTGATTGGTCGAAATTGCATTCATAAACTTCAACTATTTCTGTAAAATTCCCAGTAACCATGGTTAAAACAGTTCTATAATCCCAGTAACCGTGGTTATTGGTAAAATAGTTCAGTCTCCATGGTTACCCCATAGGTTTACATGTTAAAAAATGGTCTGAGCGATCGAGGATACCGTACGTGTGCGAAGAATTGGTCGGTAATTTCAATACAATTAAATCTCGATCGATCTTACCGACAATTTTATCTTGCACTGTTGACATGAAGACGAAAATAAACTTCCAAAAAAAACCAAAAAAAACATCTGCCGATAAATAGAGAAATAGTTGTTTTTATACGCTCTCGGGAAGGTTACAATTGGGCTATTGGGCTAAAAAAACAACATCTGCCGATAGATCTTGATCTAAATTCGTGCCAATATGCATTGCAAAAGTAAAAGAAGGGCCTGTTTAATGGAGCAGCCGCGAAGCATCCACCATGTGAAGCCGTTTTCAATCCATTTTAATGTATATATAAGAAAAAACTGATATGTATGGTAACAGAGCGCGATAGCCGAGCGGTTTAAGGCAGTGATTTTAGTTACATCACCTTTTGTACGCAAGAGATCGAATCCCATCTTCGACAAAAGTTTTTTTATTTTTTTTTTTTTATTTTTAAATTTTTTTTTTTGGCATATAAAAGTATTAATGACTGCTTTAATATTCGAGAAATAGTTGTTTTTATACGCTCTCGGGAAGGTTACAATTGGGCTATTGCCCTCGGCACGCCTCGGGTAATAGCACAATTCTAACCTTCCCTTGAGCGTACAAAAACAACTATTTCTCTCAAAGCAGTCTAATGACTATAATAAAGCCTAGTTCACATATACTGCGAGAGAGAAACAACTAAACCACCAGGGCAAAATAAGTGTAACATGCTTCACATTTCTGCATCTTATAACAAGCAGATAAGTGAGTACATATCAGACCCTAATTGTTGCATGCAACTATTTTTTGTGTCACCCTTTCTTGCCATTCACTAATATGTAATAATAAAAAAACAAATATAGTAACAATGCATCATAAGTTGAAGTCCACAAAACTTTAAAGACATCTATTAACCCGCAAATCATATGATTAATTCAAAGATTGAAAAAGCCTGTAGTCTCATTATCCGCTTAGAATGTGATTTACTTACATATCAGATATTCCATCTGGTCTGAACTGCTTTGAACCAGATAGCTAGGCTCTGCCTCTCCAACCTTGTCCTTGGACCAATCTAGTCCCGTGATTGGTCCACTGTGACCTGTGAACTTGCCAATCATCTCTAGAGTGCTGCCTTTGTTGTGAGTTTGAAGGAGGAGAATTTGGTTGTCTTGGCAACCCACAGCAATCACTTCACCATCTATACAAGAGAGGTTTTAAAACAAATAAAGTGTCCATTATGTCTGTCAAATTGTTATTTCCTTTACAATAATTTAATATTGTCAATTGATGGTTAGTTACCAATTTCTCGTTAATACAAGATATCTCAGATACTTTTACAGCAATTTGAATTACCTGGTGATATCTTGAGGCAACAAGCAGCTCCTTTACCAAGCTTGAAACGATTCACTTCAGTATCCTCTGCTGTTTGACCCAGCATCAAAACAACAACACTGAAAAAAATAAAGAAAAAATGAATAAAAAAAGATGTCCATTATCCTGGTCTATCTGAGAGACTACTATTATCCAAAAGTTCTATAGGAAGATTAAAATGTCTGCAGTATTGATTAACCATATATATGTAGGAAGATTGACAAAGCAATAATTCACAAGAGGGATAAGGAGAGCATATAGCTAGCTCTCATTTACCACATGATTATGTATTGATATGCAAAATGAAAAATCTGTAACATTATTATGCAAAGAATGAGATCATTATCAACTGGTAATAAATACATTCTATTCTCAATACATTACAAATATGTTCTAAGTTATCTTTTGTCATATATCTGGCTTGTATCAATGGACCGGAATAACTAGTTCATTTACAAAAACATGACATCTAGAAAGAGGATACACATATTGACTAGTCTTCCTGCAAAGGTTTATAATGCCGATATCTTTATCTAATATGAATATGAATATCTATGCATCTAAATTTGCATACTTAAATATGTTAATACACATTTTTTTTTTACTGATTGAAAAAAAAACCATACAAAAATAAGCAAACAGACATGTTGATATTTCTAACCCACTTAGAATGCTTGATTAATTTGTGTGCATATATGTATTACTATGATCAGCAGAAATTGTGAATGACATGTGCATTCTCTCAGTATGTATTTGAACAGTGCGATTACTAATATCTCAGAGAATTAACTTTGTATCAGAAGAGGAAAAATGACATATGGACATAGTTTGAATATATTATTGAATATATAGTGTAGCCCATTTTTACCACTCCTGGCTATTAGTGAGCATTAAGAATTCTGTATTAAATGTGAAGGCAAAGATTAATGTCTTCCGATCGTTCACTGAGTCTTTTTTTCTTCTCAGAATGTAAAATGGAAGGAAATGGTCTAACACCAAGCACATAACTATAGAGAAAAGGTGAGGGACTTGGATGGGGTAAAGGGCTAAAGTGGTCATTAAAAGGGAAATCCAACCTTGATTGCAAACTATTCTAGAGGAAAGCAGATAAATCAGAGAAGTAGACTGGGGAAAGTTTGAATGAAATCGGACAAAAAATAATAAAATTGAGAATTTCCAAATTATGGGCTCTTCAAATATTTAAAGCTGAATTGGTAAAGTCTCTGTGATGTAGTGGCGGACAACTTTCCCATTTTGTTCCAACACACAAATTATCTAAAATTCATTTTCTCAATAATGTATGACTCGTGAGGGTCTATAATTTCTTTAGAAGACCTATAACAATATGCTATCTTTAATATATTTTAAGTAGCGTCCCAAGGGAGAAGGCACTTCAGAGAAAAACAAAAAATAATGATATTTATGTACAAGATAAACAGGTGAGTTATCTGAGACTACCTGTATCTCACAATCCACAGATTAAACTGCCAATTTGAGATTCACATAGACTTAGAGATCTCATATTTTAAGCATTCACAACTTTCGTATTATTGGTCCAACTTATTTCAAACTTCCGCCATTCTAACTTATTTCAAACTTGCGCCATTCTTTGTATCTTATTTTTTCTGCTTTCATACAAATAAACTTAGTACAAGGGTTTAATTGCCCTTAAATGAGAACATTAAGGGAACGCTAACTAAATTTAGCTCATTCACTCTGTGTTCATTCAATCTACCATACTCTAAAAATGATGACGATAAATTTCTATACAGTAGAGAATACAAGGTGTAATTGAAATGCCAAACAAAAAAATATTGGGGATTATATATATAGTAACAATGATGCAAAGAGAGAGAAAGACTGTTATATTACCTTCTATCATAACTGTAAATGATGTAGGAAGCATGCAATGATATGACAAGCAATAATGGTCACAATATAAGACAAGGGGTCAAACAAAGAAACAAATGACACACAACTGTTAACCATGTCATAAATGATAAACAAGATGACACTGTTAAACATAACAAAACAGAATGACTGGGAGGACAAATGAGTTCAATCAATTAGAACATGAATATATGGATAGATTAACAACATGAGCATTAAATTATAATGAAGAATTATATTATAAAGTTCAACAGCATGAATGATGACAGAGTTCATCAATTATATATTACCTGTTACCCATTCTGGCCAGCAACAAGTTGAAAGATTGAATGCATGAATATAATTACTACTTTATCATGTCAAAGCATTTATGCGGTAGGCCAAAGAAATTGCAATTATATTAGATATGGAGATTTAAACAAACACCATCTTCCTGATTAAGGTTCTAGATAATGATAATATTACTAAAAATTAAAAGATTTAAGTGTATTTAACTCCTCTAATTAGGATAACAGCGGAATTGGCTTCAAACTGACAGATTAACTCTCTGGAAATTTAGGTTCTGTCAATCAAATGACTATTGAGATCCTCAATCGGTAATATTTTATATGTTTGAAAGTTGATATCTTATGCTATTATAAAGACATTGACAAATCTAATTGAAGTTAGATCGTGTATTTTGTGCCAGGTTTTTATAGTCTGAGATACCTCTTAAGCATTTGCCTGACTGCTCAGGGCAAGTAAAAAGGTTAATAATTTAAGCATTTGTCATTTGCCGAAAGATTTTTTTTTTAATATCAGTACATAAAATCTGCCATTTAGTTACACAGGAGGTTTCATTCAGCTCTTTGGATTAAGTGATTCCTCTGCTAAGTCATATTTAGCATGCATTACTTGTTAATATGATGGAAAACATTTTAACAAGCAGATGTGGTTGTTATAAGCATTTTTTTTTTTCTCCTAGAAAGCATGCACAAAATGTAATTTCATGATGGAAATCACCACACCAGACAATGACAATATGTTATTCAATAAAGCATTTTTAATCTGTTTATATTCAACATAAATTAAACAGATTTAAGCATTAATTGTCTTAATCAAGATAATTACAAAAATAACTAATATTCTTAATAATCATTTAAATATTTTTCACAAACATAAGTTGAGATTTCAAAAAGCATTAATTTTCTCTGAACATCAGCATTTCAGAAAGGATCGATCAAAAAAGTGCAGCAGTCAGACCGCAGCCGGTGCGAAAACCCTCTATTTTATTCAGCACGTATGCAAGAATTTACGTGTCTCGCATACGTAATGAGTAGTGCAGACGGTCTTCCCGATCGGCAGTTTTTGCCTTTATAATTGTTCATTTCTCATGAAATGGGTCTTATTTTAAAGATAAGAAGTTGCACTCTCTATATACTTATATGACAATCATGTTAGATATATTTTGGAAACAGATATTTCGCCTTGAAAATGGGGTTTTTCGACGATAAATCTATCTAAAGAGTAGGGCTAATTTTCACATAGAAATCATTCTTGCGTCAAGAAGATGTTATAATCAGCATAAAGCATAAATATTTTTCTTTACAATGATATCAAAATTATTATATTTTACGCTGTCCCAAAGTCAGGAACCAAAAAAGATCACGCTCATGTTCATGAATAATTAAAAAAAGTAGTAAATTTTGCCAATGTGATAATAGAGAGTTCTGATTGGTCAACTACGTCAATTACGTCACATATGTTTCGTTTTGGTTTATTAACATTCTGAATACCACATCTTGGTAACCATGCGTTGTGGCGTGCGCCTGTAATGCACGTGCGCGCAAGCCGTCTTGACAACAATCTAAGGACCCGAGATCAAATACCTCACATGCCATGTAGATGTTTCTTTACTACTGCATTTCTTTTTTAATCATTTTTCTAAAAAAATTTCGGCTAGTCGATGGCGCGGCGGAGCTCCCTGGAGTTTAATAATCAGTTATGCATTGCCATTGCTCAGACGGCGAACGTGCACGAGTATGAAATCACACAATTTCGCGCTATCATAAAAAGAACAAATTGGTAATTTCCGGGTTTTTAGGGTCTTAATTACTATGATTATAAAAAGAACATGATTTTGCGTCAATTAGGTTTTGACATATTTTTGATCAGTGACTTTTCATCTTTCGAACGAATCTCAAAGTGGACAAATTTATTTTGTCCCAAAGTCAGGAACCAAAAGTGAAATTCCCGGGTCAAAACAGCAGTTGAAATGTTACAAAAATAGCGTCAATAAAAGTTGTGAAAATTATTGTTTACAAATTGCCAAATATGGCAAATTACATATCAAACTGATGCTGAAAATCTCGAGAGTGACTTTCCGTTGCATGCTGCCATGTTGAATGAAGTTAACGACCAAAAACGCAGCTACATGTACACCCCTACAAATCTCACTGAAAAGCGCATGGAAATTCAGCAGACGTAAATGTTATGTGATCGCCAGATATCGCTGAATAAAAATCAGCTTTCAGCCTCATTAACGCGCGCGCTGCGGTCTGACTGCAGGTTATGAACAAAGAAGAGATAGACAAAGGGGAATAGAGATATGACTTAAAAACAACAATAAAAAAACAAGATAAAAGAGATGAAGCAGAAACAGATTGAAAGAAATAAAGAGAGACAGAGAAAGAAAAAAAGATAGTCAGAAAGAAAAAGAAAGACAGAATGAGAGCAAGGCAGAGAGAAAAACAGAGAGAAACAGAGAGGAACAGAGAGAGAGAGAGAGAGCGAGGGAGATGGAGCAACAGAGAGAAAGGGATACACACAGATACAGACAAAAAAGGAGAGAGGTTGAGAGCCAGATAGAGAGGGAGAGACAGCCAGACAGAATATAGAAAAAGAGAGTGAGAGAGAGAGAGATAGAGAGAGAAAAGAATACACAAACAGATATCTAAGCATGTATCTCAGGAGTCTTACTTGGCATCCTTGGTTCCCAAGGCAACCAGACCTGTATCCAGGTGGACATCCATACAGTGGATGTTAGTCCCTTTGACCATGTATCTCCAGAGTGGACGACGGTCAGAGAAGTTACAGAGAGACACAGTACCATCATAGCTACCAGTCAAGAACTGATCGTCCGCTAAAATAGCCATACAGTGGACCTCTTCATAGTGAGCCTGTGCGGGAGATTTCATAGAAAAGATCAAGGTTATATATATCAGTAAAAAACAAAAGCTTCCTAAAATTATTACCTGAGAGCCAGAAGAATGTTAACTTTGTGTAAAACTAAATGAATTATAAAATGCCTTTTTGACTCTGAGCAGATGAAATACTTGCTGGCAGCAATGGGAATGAACTGTCCTTGCATGGTGTCCTGTGTGTTATTACTGATTCATTGCATCATGGTACTCTAGGTAGTTCTACCTTGAGCCAGAGGAGAAGTTAATTGCGATCAGGCAAAAGGTGTTTTAATTATTCCATCCGTCCAGCTATACACTTCTTGGATATTTGTAGGCGAATATCCTATGGACAAAAATGTTGTAAAATGATATTCACAAACTTGTGTTCGTGCATGGGTGTCCAATATAACTATCCAATTTCTCAAGGTGGATCACGTACATGGACTATTAAGACATTATAAGAGTTTTTATCCCTGTGCATCCTTAGTCCTACAAAGTATTAACTGCATGCAGTTGGTGAGGTATGCAAACTATTCAACTGAAAGTTTTTACATATTGTTTAAAGAAGACAGTATAAAAATGCCTATTAATCTAATAAATGTGATCATCAAAAGAAAAGAGAGAACTCACTTGTGTGACACAATTGGTAATCTCCTCTCCAGTCACACTGAATGTATTATCCTTTAGGTCGACACGTAAGAGTGAGTTGATCGTGGTACCAATGTAAACTTTGCTTCCTGTATGTAGTACTGTACGAATACCTCCTTCTTGCTTTGGTATCTGCAGTTTTCAGCAAAAAGTAGTAGTCAATTTACATTTCTTCACGAAAACAGTCATTTATTGCACTTTTTTGTTTAATTAAATAAGAAGAAATTGGGTATCTGCTTCAATAGGTAAGTTTGGGAAACTTGAATAAAAATCGCATGAAGGGCAATAGATCCCCAGATTCATCATCCATCAATTGCAATACTTTCATCACAAGCATATGGACATAACTGTAAAACCTGAAACAAGTATGCTTCAATGATATATCCTGCAAATGACTAAATCACATCACTCTTTTTTGTTGTGAAACAAGCTACTTTTGATAATTTGCCAAAGTTGCAAAACTATTTGGTTTTACAGTAATGATGTATTGCTGTATACCCATAGGAAAGAAATGAGCCTGCCGCATACTCCTGCGGCAGACTTGCCGCAGATCTGCAGCAGACCTGCCGCAGACAGTCATCTTTTTCACATGCAAATTAGTTTTGCCGCAGACTTGCCGCAGACTTGCCGCATACTCTTTCAGTATGATGAAGAGTCTGCGGCAGGTCTGCCGCAGACTTGCTGCAGACTTGCCGCATACTCTTTCAGTATGATGAAGAGTCTGCGACAGGTCTGCCGCAGACTTGCTGCAGACCTGCCGCATACTCTTTCAGTATGATGAAGAGTCTGCGGCAGGTCTGCCGCAGACTTGCTGCAGACTTGCCGCATACTCTTTCAGTATGATGAAGAGTCTGCGGCAGGTCTGCCGCAGACTTGCTGCAGACCTGCCGCATACTCTTTCAGTATGATGAAGAGTCTGCGGCAGGTCTGCCGCAGACTTGCCGCATACTCTTTCAGTATGATGAAGAGTCTGCGGCAGGTCTGCCGCAGACTTGCTGCAGACTTGCCGCATACTCTTTCAGTATGATAAAGAGTCTGCGGCAGGTCTGCCGCAGACTTGCTGCAGACGTGCCGCAGACTCTTCGTCATGAATATTCATATCTCATATAGACCTGCTGCAGACCTGCCGCATACTCTTTCATATCCAGTACGTGGCAATAAAGTATGCATGTAGAAGAACCAGTGATAAACTGATTGATACTTCATAATCAATATTGGCAATATCGATATTACCAATTAGATAATACCAATATATATCGATATTACCAATTAGGTATATTCTATTCTCAATTGTAAACTTCATCACCTTGATCATTTGAAGTGTATTCAAGAGTAACATTTAAAGTGACACAGGCTCGTACACATATATATACTAAATATGTATATTGTTTCTTGGTTAGTAATCATAGTTTCTTGGTTAGTAATCAATATATCTATTGCTTAAACGTGAATGTAATTGTAACATGATCAGACAAAATAATCTATTGGTTAATAATGGCAAAAGGAAAATAGAAATCACAAAAATGATGTGCATTGTCTTAATTTGCTTAACAAATCATGATAAATGTATTTTTCTGTCACACGTGTAAAGTAATAATGAATATGCATGAGATGATTGGTTTCAATTGGCCCTATTAGACTTTAATGGGATTTCCTGTGGCAGACCTGCCGCAGACTGTTCCTGTGGCGTACTGGTATGCGGCAAGTCTGGAGCAAAGTTTCGCCCTGCCGCAGATCTGCCGCAGACTGTTCCTGTGGCATACTAGTATGCGGCAAGTCTGGAGCAAAGTTTCATCCTCCCGCAGATCTGCCGCAGACTGTTCCTGTGGCATACTAGTATGCGGCAAGTCTGGAGCAAAGTTTCATCCTGCCGCAGATCTGCCGCAGACTGTTCCTGTGGCATACTAGTATGCGGCAAGTCTGCAGCAAAATTTCATCCTGCCGCAGATCTGCCGCAGACTGTTCCTGTGGCATACTAGTATGCGGCAAGTCTGGAGCAAAGTTTCATCCTGCCGCAGATCTGCCGCAGATCTGCCGCAGACTGTTCCTGTGGCATACTAGTATGCTGCAAGTCTGCAGCAAAATTTCATCCTGCCGCAGATCTGCCGCAGACTGTTCCTGTGGCATACTAGTATGCGGCAAGTCTGCAGCAAAATTTCTTTCTGCCGCATACTTCGGCATACTCTTTGCCGCAGACTAAAAGTCTGCGGCAGGTCTGCGGCAGATCTGCGGCAGGTCTGCGGCAGGTCTGCGGCATACTTTTCACTTTCCTATATATGTCACCAGATGATGATGTGATCCTGACTCACCCGTAGTTTACCATTAGAGTCTGCACCTTTGCCTGCTAATGTCCAGCATCTCATGAATCCATCCCGACCACCTGATACCAGAGTCTTACCTATCATCTGTAAAGTGAACACTGGACCCTGTTTATAGGAAAGAACAAAGTCAGCATTAAGTATTTGACAATTAACATTCAAGAACAATCTCCCACAATATTCTGAAGAATGACAATGCATGTAGTAAGGAACAATTAATGTAGCAGACAAAGAAAATGTTGGGCAATCTGCATTTTAATAATATCTTTACTGTCTTTATATTCTGTCGGTGAACTTTGTAAATAAAATGCAGTTATAATACTGTGTTTTCCGCTGTCAATACAATATATTACAATAATAACAAACATCCATGACAGAATGCACCTTCCCTGTCTGAACATACTATACTTTACAGCAAAGAGGTATTGATTTTGCGTACAAGCTAGCTGAAATCCTAAAAACCCATACAAATGTGATTTTTATGTATATTGACTGATTGTCTATTATGAGTTTTCTCCCAATAATAAAATACAATCGTATGTTGAAGAGTTCAAACTACACATTTTTTGTAGAACCCCCAAAAAAGACCAAGGAATACTCTATCTTTTGAGAGCTAATTTCAAGACAGCTGCTTTATTCACTTTGAAACTACACTTAGAAGACACATGCATAACATGTAGCTACAACTTTGCTGTATATCACAAGTGATCTGACATTTGCTTCAGCAACATTTTATCTCAGAATCATTTCATCAAACATATTACTTTCTTTCTTGAATTACTTGATGGTCATACACCCACAATTATACAATTTCCACACAACTGCGCCAGGATCATTTGACAGACATGGCGCATTATAAATGTTCACTATTATTATTATTACTATATGATTAGGTTTAGGGATGCAATCAGGGTCTTAGGTTAGGTTCAGGTTTGGGTTAGCTCGTATTACTATATTTGTATTGCCCATATCATGCACATTATGATGTAATGTCGCTTCCACAGAACTTTGGAAATTATTAGCCCAGCATTACACCAATTAAAGGCATAAAAGAGTGTAAATAATACGCACCTCATGAGCATGATTGATAGTGTGTGAGATAGTGTTACCACCAGATGGCCAGACATAGATAGTCCCATTAGAATCTCCAGTTACTAGATCACCATTGGCACGGAATGACATACTGATCACATACTTCGCTTTCATGTTGTTCTGTGGCACACATGCAGTAAAAAGAAATCAATCAATTAACTAGATGGAACTTCGACTGCGCGCAGTCGAAATGATGCCTCCGTCATAGAGCAATTTACAAACCAAAACAGAAGAAATTTTTCAAATTCAAGTTCAATTGTAATCCATTAACAGGTTCTCAGAATATCGTGATTACAAGCAATTTCTCATATACATATATGACCTTTTGATCTTTGACCTCATGACCCTAACATCTACTCAGTTCATTGGCTCTGCAAGATGTCCCGAGTTAAATAGTAATCCATCTGTCAGTTCTCATGAGAATGCGTTCACAAGCTATTTTTGCATACATAATGAGCCCATGACCTTTGACCTTTGACCTCATGACCAAAGAATCTACTCAGTTCATTGGCTCTGCAAGATACATACATGACCAAAGTTTGGCAGGAATCCATCAATCGGTTCTTGAGATAACGCGATCACAAGCTGTTTTTGCATACATAATGATCCCTGTGACCTTTGACCTTGACCTCATGACCCCAAAATCTAATCAGTTCATCAGCTCTGCAAGTAACATACATGACCTAAGTTTGGCAGGAATCCATCAATCGGTTCTTGAGAAAACGCGATCACGAGCTGTTTTTGCATATATAATGATCTCTGTGACCTTTGACCTTTGACCTTGTGACCCCCAAATCTAAGCAGTTCATCGGCTCTGCAAGATACATACATGACCAAAGTTTGGCAGGAATCAATCAATCTGTTCTTCAGATAACGCGATCACGAGCTCTTTTTGCATACATAATGAGCCCTGTGACCTTTGACCTCGTGACCCCAAAATCTAATCAGTTCATCGGCTCTGCAAGATACATACATGACCAAAGTTTGGCAGGAATCCATCAATCGGTTCTTCAGATAACGCGATCACAAGAACGGGACGTACGGACGGACGGACGGATAACCCGAAAACATAATGCCTCCGGCTACTTCGTAACGGAGATAACGCGTTCACAAGCTGTTTTTGCATACATAGTGATCTCTGTGACCTTTGACCTTTGACCTCGTGACCCCCAAATCTAAGCAGTTCATCGGCTCTGCAAGATACATACATGACCAAAGTTTGGCAGGAATCAATCAATCTGTTCTTCAGATAACACGATCACAAGCTGTTTTTGCATACATAATGAGTCCTGTGACCTTTGACCTCGTGACCCCAAAATCTACTCAGTTCATCGGCTCTGCAAGATACATACATGACCAAAGTTTGGCAGGAATCCATCAATCAGTTCTTCAGATAACGCGATCACAAGAAAGGGACGTACGGACGGAAGGATGGACAACCCGAAAACATAATGCCTCCGGCTACTTCGTAACGGAGGCATAAAAACATTACAACTCAGATCAATTTGTTCTTGTCAACTCAATGTAATTGCAATTCCATTCAATTCCATGCATTCCAATTCAATTTATTTCAATCCATTCGTATTCAATCATTTCAATTACCATTCCTTTCAGTTAATTTCATTTCAATTCTTTCAATGTTTAACTTCATTCTGATTTCTTTCAATTTACTTCAATTCATTTCAGTTCACTTTATTTCAATTCTGTTCAATTCTTTCAACAACTCACAGCATTTTTACATACCCTGTTCACGTGTGGATTATATATCTTTGTACGGCTCTACCTCTAATATGTGAGCATTGAGCCGATTTGAAGTCTTTGTGATTGTATTATTCATTCATTTAATTCATTTTTATCAGTTTCAGTTTTATTTAATTTTCAATTCATATCATTTTTATTCAATTTATATCAACTGATTCAAATTCTATTTGGTTCTGGTATAATTACTTTTTCCAAAAACAGGCTACTCAACCAGTATCACTGACCAAAACAAATATAATGTATGTATATTGTATAATGGTATATAAAAACATTTGGACTGACCTCAAAGTTTGCTGCCATAGTCTGTTCAATATTCATCTCTACTCCATCTTCTACACCATTCTTGAGCTCCCAGAAGACTAGATGCTCTCTACCAATGCTAACTATCTTATTGGGATCCTTAGGATGAAAGCTTGCCTGACATACCACCGTTGTGTTCAACTAAAGAGGTAAACAGAAAGGCTCAAAACTTTATTTTCAAAAGGATGAAACCAACAGAAATGAGCAGATGCTCTCTTCCAATGATGATCAATCTATTGGCAACCTTGGGTTGAAGGATTACTCAACATACACCACTGCTGTATTCCACTGCACTACCACTCAGAATGGCACAAAATCGGTTTAGTAAGTGTTTATTCAACAAGAAACTAGTAGATATACTCAGCGATTGCTAATATTTATTTACAGTTCCTCAGATGAAAAATTTTCTGCTGCATTATTTAACTACTAAAAATATGTAGGGATCCTGATTTTAAAATTAATTGGCAGCTCTTAATCATATTAACAAGTAATCATTGAAGTAACTTCCGGTAGTTGTATTTTTAAATGATTTGATTTGCTGGCTATCCTGTATATCAAGTAATCTAAATGACTTATTTATTGAACTCTTTCATCTTCATCTTCATCCCTTAAACAAAATTGGTATTCTGAAAATTCTTATTACTTTTCTTTTAACTTTTCTTGCATGTTTTCTCTCATTTATTTTCCTCGCGCACTCAAATATTTGAGCTTAACATGCATAGGAGATAAAATGGCGAGTAATCCTTATCAACATAATGCGCACAAGATAAGGGTTTTCTGAAATTTGTGTATCCTTTAATTTATCTAATCTTCAATGGTAATTACAAGAATATTTACAACAGGGTAGATGCTGTTGTGTCTCATGATGGAGGTAATTTTTTCCAGCTCAGCATCAGCAGTACATGCTTATTTAGCAAGGAGGATCTGTGTGACTCAAGATCTCACGGAGGAAACATTTCTTTCGGAGAACTACAGACCGATTTTCGACCATTTCACATCAATGCATGATTTAATTCAAGTCAAAATTAATATACAAGATTAGTGCATTCTTTACCTTACCTTAGTGCTCCTATTATTAGACCTAATTATATTAAATCAACCTTGATTGGATATGTCTCAAAATGTATCAAAGATGAAATAGAGGTGGTCCTTCCAGAGATAAGACTGCTATTTTTTTTGAGAATACCAACTTACAAGAATTTAAGCGCTCTATTATCTTCAGAAGATAACAAAAAAAATTACAAGGATTTTTAGAATACCACCCTATGTGTACATTCAGATAACTGTAATTACGTACTGTAATCAACAATTAAAACAAGATTTCAAAAGTTATTGTTTGGTCACTTACAGAACTTGATGTCACTTTTTTGCCCGTCTTGTAATTCCAAATTGATAGTGTGTTATTACTGCTCTGATCAACTGCTAAAAGGTAGTCCTGCTTGAAAAATATAAAAGAATATAATATGTGAATAATTAATGTGCAATGCTAAAATACTTGATAAACTTCATTGATTAAAATGATAAAAAGTTTGATACCATATCAAATATACACACCAAGAGATGAGAGTTACTATCTTAAATCTTTTGATATTACTATTAGATACAGCAAATCTCACAAATGAAAGTGACAAAAAAACAGAAGCGTTTTGGGACAGATCTAAGCAGCAAAATTTATTTTTCAGGTACATCAAATTTACTGACTAACAAAAGTATATCAGCATTCCCCTCAAGTCAAATGGTTGCGTCCTCATCACGGCATCACATATTTTTACTGCATACAATGTTCTTGTCTATCCCCACTCATGTGTCATACTTCAATGCAAACCAAAAGCACAAGTCAATTAAGCACCAAAGACAATGACAACATTTGCTTTACCTTGTCACTAGTTTCTGGTTCTTGAAAAACAACTTTTGACAATTTCAACGTATTGATGTTAACAAATCAAAATACAATTCAGCTTTGTTTACAAAATTACACTTTCCTAATTTGTCCACACAATGAATAATTCTAGTAAATTAATTCTAGCCCTGCCCCATGTCACATTTTGCCTTGCTTTCTCCTATAACCACTTAAGGAAGACAACACTTGTTTAAGTACCTACATGTATATGTAGCACATTATTCAAAATAAACTCCTAACACACAACAATATCACTTCAATAGGCACTTTGTCATCGTTGATTGCCGAACAATGATCTTAAGAGGGGCTCCACACTTTTTCCCACAGAGAGTCCAGATTACAATCTATATGGTATACTTGGCCTATGTTTAGATTTCAAAATTTGGGAGGTTTGAATTTGAAATTTTGAGGCCAATCATGGTTCACCTGATCTCTACCTGCATGTTCAGGCCAAAGTGTCTCAAGTAATAAGCTGTAAGCATTAAGAGTTTATCAGATGTCCTGGACACAATGACAACTCTTAAGCAACAACTATCAAGAATCACACAAATTTAGAGTTATATAACTGTGATTTATTTAGTCCATGGAATTGTTCTACTTTTACAACATACAAACATAAACACTATGGCAATACAAACATACTTGCAGTGGTGAAAAAGCCAGGCATATGATAGCATTCTCAAAGTCATCATCAAAGACCAGCAGAGTATCTAGTGTATCCACCTTCCATAAGTGAACCATAGGCTGCAGAAATTAAAGAAATCAAAATCACTCAATGAAAATCAGACAAATAAATTCCTAAAAATCCTGTTTATCCATATTCATAAGCTCCATATGATACAAGTATGAAAGTTCAATTATGATTAGTGCATGATACACATTACACTGTTGCCCATAAAGTTGGAATATTTGTTTGCCTCTTTTCATAAAATGTACAACATGTTTTATTATATTTTTAATTATAAATAAAGGTTATATCTTCTCAGAGCTTTATTTATCAATATCCATGACTCTCCAGTTTCAATACAGTTTTGAAAAGATTTGAAATTGATTTATTAAGAATAAATTATATTGTCACAATCATTTCATGAAAAGAAGTAATTTATGAGCAACAGTATATGTGAAATTTGCAATGATTATCATTAAATAAAAATTATACAATCAAACGTGGAAACATCATAACAAATATTTATCAGATATAATACAAAGTGAATACAAAGTAAAAAGAAGTTAAATTGGAGGCATTGGGGAAAAGAAGAATGATTATAACTTCTTTGGAGTTATATGTATGGATAACAATCATTGCATTGAAAAGTGATAACATTTCATAACATGCAATCATTTACACAAGAGTTATTGAACTGGAACATGCCAAAAGGGACTTTTGCTAAGCAAGTTTCCTCTATGTTTTAAAAAGAGTTTTCATATTAGGCTTTTTGCGATCACAGCTGCATGGTGCTAACAAACTGATGCATGCTTTGAGGCAAATCTCTCTAGGTATGCATTCAAATCAGACATTCTAATTCTAGATATTCAAATCAGACATTCAAATTTTAGGTAGGCCTATGCGTTTAAATCAGACACTCAAAATTTCTAGATATGCATTCAAATCAGACATTCAAATTCTAGGTATGCATTCAAATCAGACATTCAGATCCTAGACAGTAATTCTTCTACATGAACTGGAAATATTGTGGTCAAGTGTTTTCATCCTTGTAACTTTAAAGATCATTATATCTAAAAATTAGATTTTAAAATGGCAACGTTTCAAGCAGAAATATTTAAATGAATATAACAACCATTCTCAATCAAGTGAGTGCCAATTTGAAAACACAACATGAAAGTAATGATCGGTCACTCTTTGACTAAATTTCTTGATAGAAATATCAAATGTATTCCTGTAATTCAACCCCTGCAAACAGAGAAAATAATAACACTTACCTTGACTTCTGACCCTGCTATTCCCTTTGCTTGCCCAGTTGCCACAGTGATGTTATCTGAATGCACATGCATGCTACAACATAAGATTGACAATCACTTTGAATATTAATGCAAGGAACTTACTGATTTCGACAATTTGATTCTCAATAAAATGTCATCAATGCGATAGCTGTAACACAATTCTAACATCATGCACCAAATGTTGTAATATAAATATTAGTTGAGCATCATACATCTAGAGAAACTTCTACATCATACAATATAATGTCATCAATTGTTATTCATATTCAGCTTTTCATGCCAAGTCTAGAGATCATGCAGTGATGTTTTTTACAGACTAGCTTATTTTATATCAGTTTTTAGAGTGTTAACATGTTTATTTTTCCTACACAGTTTATCATATTAAAATAATCAACCTGGAGATAACATGCCCATACCTAAATGTTGCACACAATGTACTGTGCAATCAACTGTTAGTGAAATCGGTATTACAGCTAATCTAATTTTCTTTCATTTTACTAAAATCAATTTAAATTTTGAAGTGAGTGCATGAATATTATCCATTATCCAATACCCCTAGAGTGAGAAAAGAAGCTGAGAGTTCTGTGTTATATCTGATTGACTGCTCTGAACAGCTCATGTAAAAACACTTTCACAGCTTCAAGGTTTTTTTAAGCAAATAATTTGTGTGGAAAACTTTATGTTTATTGTTTAACAATGTGTTGCTACTACACATCCACTGACCTGCGAATCTCTGCTGTATGTTTGGTGTAGTGCCTTTGAGTAATGAGTGTTGGGTTATACACAATAGCGATGTTAGACATGAAGTATAGGATCTCTGCTCCATCAGACACCTCAAATAGATTTCCTCTGCAGTCATTCCCACGATAGCCATACCTAGTAACAAGAATGACAACCACATATGTACATTTTTACCTACCTAAATTATACTGGCATATATAAGCAAGTGAATTCTCTTCTTCATGAATTGTCCCTAATATTTCTTTTAAAAAGGGGATGCAAATTCTTTTCAAGCAACATAAGTAAACTTGTGTGATAAATTGTGAAACACAATTATGAATAATGATAAGTTATGGAAGCTCACTAATTTAACTCATAGTTATACTTTAATCAAACAATGATCATGTAATTACATGTAACAGTAAAATGTGCAGAAATCCTGAACCAGTCACTCTACTCTTGGCATAGGTAATTAATACATGTATTATCTCCTACATGTGGTTGTATTAAAGACATATATATATATGTAATCATACATGATCCAGAGAATTATACATTCTAAATCCAAGGTTTATGTCACTTGAGATTAACTTACACCCAGTCAAGTTGTAAGTCTGCATTTGGTGGATCAGGAACACAGTGTGTCTTTGAATATTTGTCTGGTATGTAATACGTGACCTCCTTCCCTTGAACTATGACCTCTAGTTTATTGACCTGAGGCTTGGGATTTTGGGCCACCATATTCTCTTTATCTGCAGCTTCCTCAGGCTCTTTCTCAAGCTCATTCTGATCTTCTGCTCCCAAATCTTCAGTTTCTGTAAAAGGCATAACATTTTTACTTCAAATTCTGGATGACAGTATTTCATATTAATTGTCAGGCAAAGTCTGGATGTTTTCCTTCAATAATTTCATTGCTAAATGCATTTCAACGAATTATACAGAAAAAAACACTACTGTAATTTTCTTGTCCTATTATTCAAATTTGATTTAGTTCAAATAAACAGATGAACAACTTATTCATATTTTGGTAAAAGGAGACTAATAAAATGCGTAACTGCATGCTTACATTGTTTTTTAATTTTAAAACACTATATATACATGATTACAGAAAAACTGAATGGACTGTACTTTTTGTGGAATTGAAAATTTACAGATGAAGGATAATTTTTCTTAACTGTCCACCAAGCATTTTGTATGAATGATGTGTTAGCTAGCAACCTTATCAAAGACCCTGAATATGTAAATGATTGATGCAAACTGCAGTCTCATTACACATATGTTATAATATCAACTTTACTCACTCCTGTGCATGGTTATAAGGACTGGTATTCAATTCATTAAAATGTCTTATAAATTATATTCAGATCACATCTAAGCTTATTACTCACCAAGCTGGCTTTAAGGTAAAATACTTTACTGACAAGCATTGTGACATCATCTCTTCAATCCAAAATAATGTGCACTAATATAATTGTGCGCAGCTTGTGATGACTGTGAAATTCAATGAAACCTTAAGTCTGCCAATCAACGCTTCCAAAATAATTGGCTCAGAAGTCTGCTACAGAGCTGTCTTAATAGCTTAAGGTAAAATACTAATAGCCAATACCTGTACCTGCATACCAACATTGGCTAAGTATTTAATCTAAGCTGAAAACTGAGTAAAATACTTCTGGTATATTCAAGTATTGAATTGATAATACAAACATTTCAACAAACAATATTTTTAAATCATGCAGGTAAAAAAGTACCTTCAAATTTCAATTTCAAGCACACAAACTTTATACCCAAGCAATGTTTAATAGAATATCAAAGATTGTTAGCTGCCTTTGCCATTAGAGAGGGGTTCAAGGTGTTTGTTGTCATTTACATGTAACATCTTTGTCATGTACTCGGCATGTTAACCCTTACTGTACTGGGGGGGGGCCTGGGAGGCCCCCCCCTCGACATTTTCGGAGATTGCGCCGCAACCGCTTGAAATTTTGAATTGTCGGTTCATGACTTTTTTCCCTCAAGTCTTACGCACGTTTTGATACCATTTTCGTCGCAATCGGATATACCTGTGAGGTGTTACATAAGAATTAGTATGCGCATGTCATCAAAAATATGCTATAATTGCATATATTCATGTACAAGCAGAAATGTGAATACAGGTTTAGATGTATTCCTTCCTTAGTGGGTGATATGAATTGATATCGAATTGCTTTTATATGTTTCTCAAAGTAACTTGATGTATTCCAGAACAAAAGAATACATAAGAAATAAAAACAATAGATATAATAAGAAATAAAAAACAATAAAATACATAAGAAAATAAATATTTGAAAATCGCATCAAATTTGCATAAATTATCATCATTAATTACATCCAAATAAATATTTTGTGTTAGAAAAGAAGTTTCATATGAATAATGAGTTTCAACGTTCAAAAAGTGAAGTTTGACACGTTTTCTGTAAAATGCATAAAATTAGCATTTTGCATAATTAATTAGGCTATAACGACAAAAATTTGCATATTCGCAAAAAACTAATTACACCATCTTGTTCGTTACGTAAATATCTACAAACATGCAAATTTTCGTGTTCATCGGACATCCGACGGCCGAGATCATAGGGGGGGGCCTCCCAGGCCCCCCCCCCCCAGTCAGGAGGTGCTCAAAATAGCCCAGTACAGTAAGGGTTAATATTGTTCTATCCATCTTACCATATTCCATATCATCAAACTTCTCCTCATCATAATCCTCCTCTTCATCCCCTCCTCCAAGCATGAGTAACTCTTCTTCTTCTTCATCCATCTCCTCATCTTCTTCCTCTCCATCTTCTCCTTCTTCTTCTTCTTTCTTGCCTCTCTTGATGAGGCTTTTGAAGGACTGCATGAGAGTGGAACCCATGCTTTTTTTCTTGTCCTCCCCCATGCTGCTAGCAAAGGAGCGGACAGAGCGTGAGTCTGCTGCTGGCTTTTTGGATGCAGTAATAAGAGGCTGGTCAGAAGCTGCAGGTGTGTGGATAGGATAGATAGTGGGCAAGCGATTCAAGGGGAGATTCGAGCAGAAGAGAAGAGAGCCAGATGGACAAACAGACAAATAGACAGAAAGACACACAGGCAGTGGGTAACAGAGAGAGGAGATAAACGAACAAAGAGAGGTAAAGAAAAGGGGAGAGAAAAAGACAGAAGAATAGTGAAACAAGGGACACAGAGAGATGGAGATAGATAAATAGAGAGAGAGAGAGAGAGAGAGAGAGAGAGAGGGGGGGTGGGACATAGAATGCAAGACAGAATATAAACACAAGGAGATGTAGAGGCAAATATAAATTGAAAAAGAGATAGAAATAGGTAAAGATGGAAGTATTCATATCATTTCATCAGCAGAGGATAGAAGCAAGAGAAAGGGCAGAAAGCATTAACACATTTAAAGTACAGTGGAAAAATAATTTGAAATATAGATACCGGTAAAACATCGAACATGTAACAATATACGGAATGAAAAAACATGGACATATTGAAAATGACAGAATGAGAGGAGAGAGAGAAAGAGAGAAAGATACTGAATTGTTAATATTATTGAAAGCAAGCATAAAGTAAGCATTGAGAATTTACAATTGTTAACATATCTGATGCACATTCAAATAGTTGGACAAATCTTCATCACAAGCAACAAGCACTTCCACTAAATGTGTTAGTACAAATCATCACTGAATACCCTGCCAAAGTTAAATATTTATGTTATAATGAAAATGCTAAGCTCACAAATCATTTTGTTGTGTGTGTGTGTGTGCTTAAACTTGCATGCAAAGTATGCAAATAGCATTCAAGCATATTGTTCTTTTTGATAAAATGGGATATCATCATGATGTGCTGAAAGCAAGCCTTAACACAACAAATGTTGTACCTGGTATGGACTGTAGTGAGCACAAGTCTTGAGAAACCTGACTTGCTATTCCTGATTCAACACTCTGATCTAATACAGAACATATGCATTGATTATTAAACATCATATACAATTACTCAGCTAAAACAACATGAAAAACCAATATAAATGTCACAATGCACTGGGTTATACCACTGCTCAAACAGATTCATTGAATAATAACTGTCAACAATGTTTAATTTGAATCAGCGTCTGGTAGGTTTAGAAACTTAATACATTCTCCTGAGAGCCTTAGCTCTATGTTCTGTAAATTTTTGTCATTATTTCCATTATAGGGATCTCAGGAAATGACCTACAAGATGAATTAAAACCCACAGTACATTTGTCTCTTCATTCTTAAGCCTTGTTCAGACACATTGTCAGCACAAAAAAAGAGAAAACCTAGAACAAAACACTGTTTACTATTATCAGACAGAGATAATGAGGGTATACCTGGAAGAAGGTATACTGGGGGCCGTTTCTTGAAACTACAAGATCAACAACATCTCAACGCTATTGCTCAACTTGTCTGCTAAGTGTTTTACAAAACTTTCTTTGCCAAGATGAGCAACAACTTCCGCGACAATCCTAGTCATGGAGTTGGTTTCATGAAACGTCCCCCTGATATTTGTGATGAAGTATATGCAATTCCTGTGAGGCAAGACTGATTTGTGCAGAGGCGATTTAGGAACTTAAATGCTAAACAAGGGAAACGCTCTCGGCGGTCTCGCCTGCATAATGCAATTCAATATGATTAACCAGAACGTCAATGACGTAGCGCTCATCCGCATCTCGCAACAACAAATATCGTAAATTTTATGTGAACTGGTCAAAAAATAAAAATTTGATGCCCTGGAAGGGACATACCGGTAATTTCATTTCATTTGCATAAAGTACCATAAATAATCAATGGAGCAAAATCTCACAATTCTGTGTAGAAGTTTAGTGTTCCAAATTTAGCTCTACTAGATAAGGCAAACCAAATCAAAATCGGTCAAGAAATGAGGGAAAAGAAGCAATTTTTGTTATTTTTGGAATAAATTTGCATAAATTACCATGATTAATTAATGGAGAACAATTTCAAAATTCTGTGCAGAAGTTTAGTGTACCAAAGTTAGCTCTACGATATAAAGCAAACCAAATCAAAATCGGTCGAGAAATGAAGGAGAAGAAGCCTTTTTTGTGATTTCGAATAAATTTGCATAAATTAGCATAGATAATGAATTTCATGATTCTGTGTAGAAATTTTAAATCCCCCTCCTAGCCCTATCATATGAAACAATCAGAATCAAAATCAGTTGAAAAATAACGAAGAAGAAGCATTTTGAAAATCTTGATGTTCATGCCACAACAAAGTCTAAGTTTGTTGACCTTAAATGACCTTTGACCTTAACTTAGTGACCTGAAATTCTACTCACATGATTGGGGAGACTTGATAACCCTATAGTCCAAGTTTTATTGACTAAGAACTTATACTTTCAAAATTATATCAAAAATTCAAAAACTTAACCTTAGGTTCAGTTTTCGATGATGATGCTACAACATAGTCCAAGTCTGTTGACCTGAAATGACCTTTGACCTTGACTTTGTGATCTGAAATTCTACTTATATTACATGATTGGGGATACTTGATTACCCTATAGTCAAAGTTTTTATTGACTAAGAACTTATACTTTAAAAATTATATCAAAAATTCAAAAACTTAACCTTAGGTTAAGTTTTTGATGTTGACGCCGCTGTCACCGGAAAAGCGGCGCCTATGTCTCACTTTTTGCTACGCAGGCGAGACAAAAATGATGTCTCCTATAATAAGAGATGAAGAGTCATTAATTGCTAACAAGTTCATTGATTGCTTGAATGTATTGTGTGATGCACTATGGGAGTTCTGTGAGACATGAGTGATTTGTGTTGGGTGATATTGGGACTGAAAACATTAAATGTAATTGTTACCTGTAAAAAAAACATAATTAATTAATCATCTGACCGTACCTTGCGACGAAGTATGAGAATCTTGTGAGTCCTGTGAGACATGACTGATTTGTGTGGATGCAATGCTGGGGCTTGATGCACTCTTTTGCAGGGTGGAGTTTGAGGATGTCTGCTCTGCAGTCTGTTCTGGGTCCCCCTGGGTTATGCCGTCACCCTCAGGATTCTCTGTGCTTCTGTCTTGATCCTCACTAGTCACATTTTGAGGATCTAAATCTTTGAAAGGGACAGGAAAACATCTTTTTTAATTGATTATCATGTATAAGTTTATAGAATTCAGCTTAAATATTTCTCTGTTAAGAAATCACAGACTTTAGTATTGTATGTGTATCTATGCAGTCCTTCTGAAAGGCATTAACCCCTATGTCATATATTATTATCTAGAATGTAGGCAATCTAATTGGTCAAATGACACCACCTGACTGTGCATCATTCTTTCCTATCATGCGTATCTTGTATCATTTTCTTTCATATAATGCCCAATATCATCTGAGCTGATTATGCCTTATTTTCAAGTCTAATTTTTTAAAGTATATCTTTCTTGCAACTCTACAACATTTTTAAAGATACATTTATATTTAAACAAAAGTTAACTGGACTTTTTCATTTGATAATGAATTATCCCTACCTTTGGTACTGTCACTGTTTCCAGCAGTAGTTATGGTTGTTACAGCAGAAGTAGTGGAATTGTTTGACTGATTTAGGGAAACATTCTCATCTAAAAACAGAAACACACAAAAAGATTGTACTTAGAGGTTATATAACACTACAATGCATATTGTGTGAACATGTTTATATACAATAAAATGAGACGTCTCACTTGTCTCATAATTATGCCTTGCAACTGAATGCCAAATAACCATTTGCATGCAGCTTCAACTATGGTCAAATCATAAGACCAAAATCACCCAAGCGAAGATGGAGGCCATATGGAATACATATTGAAAGAACCCACTTTTAACAAATCACATATTCTGCTCCTATGATGTACTACTATCTTTGATTCACAACTTAATGAAAATTGGATGGATAACAACACACATAAAACAAGCAAATTTTTGTAATACAAAAAAGATATTTCAATTTATTTACTTTAAAAAGAATTACAATCAAAACTTTTAAGATGCATATATACAGAATAACATCACAGTAGATACCTCATGAATCATAGAAGAGTTTTCATTCAACCTTAAAATGAATCTAAATATAGGGTCCCACTGAAAGAATAATTCAAGTGAATTACCTTTGCATTCTACTTCTGTTTTAATAGTCTTGTTTTCTTTTCCTGGTTCTGGACTATAAACCTTCTCAACCATTGCTATCTTTTCCTTGCTCTTTGCGCTTGTCCCTGATGATCCTCTTGGAGAAGCTATAAAAGACAGACAGTGAAACCAATGATGTAACTTAATTGATAAATAAAATGGAGATGGGTCTCTTGTTTGTAATTTGCGGATCAATAAACCAATGAACAAATATTATTGCCCGATCAGAAGAAGTCATTGGCAAATTGCGTGTTAAACTAGTGGGTAATAATGTAGAGCCAACATACAGGTATTTTGTCATTTTCATTGCGCATTTATTACGCGTATGAGAAAAGGCACACTTTGCGCAAACCATATTGTGACGTAATAATCACACCCAAGGCACAATGTTTACAGTGTATCAAAAATTTCGTCAAGCACTGGATGCACAGTGCTGGTTGGACAATGTTTTTGCAACTTTTCATGCCAGGAAACCCTGTGCAGTGTAGGCTACTGTATTTTACATAATATAAAAGTATAAGATAGTAAAAGTTTCTTGTTTGCTCTAGATGTTTGATGTGGTTAATAATAGTAATATTAACTGCCTAATGTCATGTATCATATATCCTCACCTTCGGTTCGGGAGATAATTGCGGCCCTGCATGAAGGCAGTCAATATTACTTAATTATTTCTACTTTTAATTGCTGAAATCTATGCCAGTAAATGAGCATTCACAGTGATATGAACTGTCAGGATTTGACTAAAGGATGTGAAGAAAAAAAAGTCAGATTTGATGTTTCTTGAAAAAAATGCTAGGATGTGGACAATTTTATCTTTTCAATCAGCCTTTCAAGTTAAAGGAAACATAAATCTTTAGCTTGGACTCTCTTTGCTGATTTGAAAAAAAGCTGGCGAATAAATCATGTTTTTTTTACAGAACTCACTCTACAAATATGTGACTGGATAGGCAAGGAAACTCACATTTTGCTACACCCTCTAGTACTTTGACCTTCTTAGCACTCCGCAAGGCTGCTCTGCTTGTTGGTCTGTTGTTGGTTGGTTTAGGTTTAGCTGACTGAACTCTACCTGTAGATGGTCTAGTCTGCTTCTTAGTGATACCCGATGAAGGCGTCGGAGGAGATGGGAGAGATTGTGTTGAAAGATCCGCCTTGGGCTTCTTCTCCTGCATAGACTCCTTACTGGCCTTTAGCTTGGTTACCTCCGAGATGCTCAGAGATGCTTCTTGCCTAAGTCTGGTGGTGGCTGACGGCATGGAATCGCTTGAAGGGCCACTAATTCGTCTCTGTTCAGAGTGCAGGAAGTCATTCTCCATATCTTCATCACCCATTGTCTCAAAACTTTGGCCTACTGCAAGAGACACACCGCTATCTACAGAAGGCAGGTTTGATTTGGAGTCAAAGGTCACACTCTTCTGCTTTCTGAGGGGAGATTTCTCCTTCTTCACAGGTTCTGTAAGAAAAACGAGATTGTATTCTCATTAATTTAATACCAGCAAGAATTAGCTCTCTCCTTTTCTTTCATTAATTGGCTCTTTAATCTTCCAAGCCCTACTATCTTTCAACATCATTTTATTCCATTCTGCTATGATCGGTTTTATTGCCCCCCCCCCCTCCCACCTTCTCACAGTATCTACTCCTATTTTATGACAATTTAAGCTTACTAGGAGGTTGCTTTTGCAGGAAAGAGAAATGATCTGAGAAAATTATCATTATTGTATTTGTCAAATCTACATCTAGTAAAACGTAACATGATATTTTAGACAGAGGTCGTTAAAAGTAAAGTGAAAACCTACCTGGTTTACTAGTGTTATTCTTGACCACACAATTACTATCATTCACACTGCCCGAGAGAGAGATGAATTTCTGTGATGATGCCACTGATTTAGGTCTGCCTGGTGGTGGAGCACTGTTCATGAAATTAACTGCTTTCTCCAGCAAAGACATGAATTCTGGCCAGCTAAACATAACAAAAACAAATATTCAAATGCATGGATGTTATTGAGATAAATCTGCTTTGTAAATGAATCAAGAGACGGTGAAAGCCATGTGTACACCCCCCCCCCCTCCCTCAGTCCTCCCGCCCCTTTCCCCTTGGTTATAACGGGGGTGATATCCTCATAAAATTCACTTTCCCTTCCCATGCAGGTACACGGGATGCTTCATAATTAATGGGGATGAGGATGAGGATGAGCTTGATGAAGTGGATGGGGATGAGGAAGGAATCAAGCGCGTAGCCAGGATTTTATTTTAGGGGGGCGGTAGTGAGCACACAAAGCATGCGAATCACTTAAAGAGCGCGCAAAGCGCGCTCCTTAGGGGGTGGGTGCAGGGAGGGGGAAGACGATTCGTTGTACCTTTCTCGACTCTATTCCTTATCTGAATTCAGTCCGCCCCTCCTGCGCATAGCGCGGAAACTTGACGTATTATTAGACAAAGAAGACGATTCGTTGTACCTTTCTCGACTCTTAATCCTTATCTGAATTCAGTTTCCTCCCCTACTTTGAAGTTTCATTAAATTATTAGAGAAAGAAGATGACTCAAAGTACCGTTCTCGACTCTTAATCCTTGTCTGAATTCTGTTCCCCCCCCCCTCTCGCGCGAAGCTTTGACGTTAAATTATTAGAGAAAGAAGACGATTCGTTGTACAGTTCTCGACTCCTTTTCCTTTTTTCTTCCTACGTCCTCTTACTCTTTTTCTTCTCTTTCTCTCTCTTTTTTTTTGGGGGCGACCGCCCCCACTGCCCCCTCTGGCTACGCATCTGGAAGGAATGAAGATTACAATGACATTTAGGACATCAATAACAAGAAAGATAAGAACAACAACACTGCCACCAACAAATACTGAGAATAATTGAATAACTACCTAATGTTGCCATTCTTTTCATCATCACATCTAGTCATGAGCGTTGATAACAGAGGTCCAACAACAGGTAGGTGATACTCACTGCAGATCATACGAAGCTACAAGAAAAGAAATCATTGCACAAAAATGGGTCAGGTCACAATTCGATTTTCAGTGCTAGTACAGATTGACGACTTTTTCATTAAACAAAGAAGTGAATCATACAGCGTGTTTCTAATAGAAGCCATTATCCGGTTAATTATGGCTTGTAAGGGATAAATTTGCCTAATAGAAACTGACTTTCGCCGCCATTATCAGGATAATGGCCGTGAGAGCTGTGACACGTTTATGGGCAAAATTATCCTTCTTTTAGAAGGATAATGCAGGGGAAGCTAACCGGATAACGTAAGTAGAAAGTCACGCCGTTCCGATTGAGTGCACATAGCGGAGAGATACCGGAAATCAGAGTGATCACGTGATCGGAATATTTTACCCTGAAGCGCGCGACACTAAAATCCAAGGTTGACCCAGCAGTCCAACAATACTTTGCAGTGACCTTAGCCAGAGTTCGATGAACTTTTGCGCGATAATGCGCGTAGATAGAAACTGCTCTTCCCTGGCATTATACGCTATTTTCTGCAGAACATTTTAAATGGATAAATTCAGTATAACTAATAGAAACACGCTGATAGATTTAAATTCCTTCAGGTGTTAACCAATTCTGTGGTTTCAAACAAGTGAAACAAACTTTCTAAAGTAAAAGAATGGATTTTCCTTCTTCCTTCATTGTTAAATTTAGCTAGATATCTGACATAAGAACAGTCTTTGCAATGTATGTACCTATTTTTGATCCACAAGAAAGAAATAGCTTATTTTAGTCCAAACACATAAATTCAATATTTACATTAACATTTGCTGCTAACAGAATGGAAGTCAAGCCCTTGATTAATTCACATCCTCACTTTTGCTTCAATATCTTACAATGACTGGTGAATGTAAAAGGATTATGAAAGAATATTCAAGGAATAACATCTTGTTTGCAAGCACCCTGCATAAATGGCAATAACTCAGTAAAACAGCCTGAATGAGCTTACACAAAGCTATGTGCATATAGGGACAGTTAAATCTACTTGTCTAGAGCAACTGAAAAGTCTTGCATTGTCTTGGTTGCTCCAGTGTCAATACAGATAAAAGTAACATGATCCATCTAGATATGGTGCCATACCACATCATTTTTGAAGGGATTAATTTGAAGGGATTACTTTAAAAAACTGTTTATCATCGGAAAACATAAAATCACCTGTAAGAACTTAATATATGAAACATTGATCAAAGAGCATTAGAGTAACAACAACAAAATATACCTTTTTCTTTGGAATCAGACCATGTTGTGTGACATCAATGCTCTTACACTTAGTCCTCATCTCCTGCAGATCAAAGCCACCACTGGTCTGTAGGACCTTGTGAAGCTTAGTTAGTAGTTCCTTGTCTTGGGCATCACTGATAGCACTACTAAGGTGGCTACCTGATGTTCCCTGAGCATCTCGGTTACCATGCATCGCTAGCACACTGTCTCGACCTGGAGTTAAATAATGACATTTTAATAATATTTGAGAATAATACACATGAATTCTCCTCGGCATGATCTCATGCCAAGGAAAAAATTGATCATGGATAACGCTTCAAATTATGCCTCAAATGCTCAAAACTGATCTATTTCACCAGATTTATTTGAATTAACTGACTACATTGGAGGAGCCTACGCCTTTGAATGCTTTTTTAAACCAAAAATATGGCACCATGCAAATGCTGTGAATCATCATTATCACCTGGTCCAATGACTCCAATTAAGCAAACCATTTATTATGAACCAATTGAATTACATAGTAACAATATGTATAATAATCAGTGGCCAACAAAAGCTTAATAAAAGCTTATACAAATATTAATAATGTAATGGATCAGATTCATACTAAAAGTACATGATTATGATTTGTTCAGCATTCATGCAGCCTCCTGCTATGGCAGACATGGCAAGCTGATAGCAGCCAAACAGAATGGATAGATTAGCATAATTTAAGAGATAGTATTTGATATAAAACATTATATCCCTCATGTATAGTTGTTTGCATTGCGATTGTACAGAGCACGAAAAAGGTATAGATAAGTACTATCTACCTGAGATAGGTCTTTTTGTTAAGTAATTTTTTGCTGCTGCCCCAATTGCGCGACTTGCGCATTGAATAAGCATAGCAAAGTAGGTTACGCGAAATGTCAAAGTCAATGTCAATGTCAAATGAGCGTGCATCGACTGTATTACATGTACGCATGTTGTGCTTTGTAAAATCTAGCTGAAGCTAAACTGTCTGCAAAATCAGTTGTTTTAATTATGTAAAATTCACTTTAAATAGACCTTATTGCCAATGTGGGATATAAAACAAATATTAACCTCCTTTACTCGGGCAATGGATACAAACTATCATCGCCTCGGTGATCTCGGCGATGATAGTTTGCACCATTACCCTCGTAGTCGACTAATATTTGCTTAATATTTTGCTCAGTAAATACGAGCATTTTTATTACAATAGGACTTTCCTTATTTCTGTATTTCAAGGCAATCCATGATCCATACATTTAAGTATTGCTTCAACATACAATCTTTTTTGTTGGGTTTAAGCAATAGCTCGATCTTGTTGATACTCAACAAGACTTATAACATCATGTTTGACTTATTGTTTGAAGCTTTCAGTGTCATTCAGTTTTAAAAACAAGGATATCTTGATATAGTGTAATACATAATCAGTGTACGAGTCAAATTACCACTCCCTTTCACAGCTTTCATAGCAAGAAGTGCATTAATACACATGTAAATCGAATTTATGGTGTCTCTAGTTTTTGTTTCAAAAGGAAAAAGGGCGCAAACATACAAAAATTATTATTACAAATACAAACATTACTGATTTGTACCTGTTCTTGACTGTGCTTCTACCATAATTTTCCACAATGCTTCGTAGTCCAACCCATGCTTCTTGTTGAACTTTGTCTGAAGTAGTTTTGTTGTACGGCTTCGTAGTTTCACCTAGACAACAAACAAAGGAAGGAAGATCAAACTACATGAATGCACTGAAAGCAATAAAGTATGTACAACTCTTACCAATAAAGTTGAACCTTTCCAACTTCTATATTATTATCATCATTATCATTATTATTAAATGTAATAATATATTTCATTGAATCATCTTTATTTTACCTTCCCATCAAATGCTGAAAACTATGAATATGAAATTTATTTTGATATTACAGTTATAAGTGATAAAGAAACTATCAATTCAAGAAAGGCCACATTGCTCTAAACAATCAACATGTATCAATCTAAGCTCACCTTGTTCTCATTAAGTATACTGATGAGATCTTTGAGTGCCAGGCAATTTTCCTGATTGGCTTGACGACGGAACGAGATGAGAATAGAGCGTAGACGCTGTCTGCTGACCTCTTGTAAGCACTGACGGAGAGCTTCTAAGAGCTCGTCATTCACTGCATCACCATGAACATCGGGTAACAAGTTATAGCTTAATCTCATTGTTAAACCTACAATATAAAAAAGTACATCGCTATGATTATACCATTTCAGTATTTTTATTGGCATTATACTCATGTCTAAGTTTGAACATCATCATTATGATTTTCCTCGGTATAAATTATCATTATAATGGTTATTTGTTGTCATTGTTATACTATCATCACTAGTGTTATTATCAACATGATCATTTGTCATCACCATCGTCATATGATTCTATCTGTTAAATTCTCATCATGATCATTTTATCAATTTTCATTACAATTATCATAAATAATATCACTATATATATATAATGAAATTAAAAAAGCCCCTCTGCTTGGTATATTTTGCAAAGATCATATTTGACAAATGTTTTGTAAAAACTTTAACTTACCCAGTTCTGATGTTGAGGCTACAGTTTGCTTCTTTCCATTGTACATCGTGTCAGCTCTCAATTCCTTGTATCTTTCCTGCTAGTAATATAAAAAATAAACAGTTCAAAACAATTTTAATAATCTGTTCACATTACATGCATACCCTTATCGGGGAAATGTTTATAATACTTTTAGTTGATTGATCTTACTAGTCTAAACCTTACACACAAATTTTTTCCTTTACCGTATTCTACTACATGGGCATAGGAAATACAGAGTGACATAAAAATTGTCATAATAAAATAATTAGTATGAACAGTTTTTCATTATCTTCAAACACAGCAGTAGATGTCACTCTGAAGCCGGTGATACATTGAAAGTAGCCTTAAAGGTGAGATGAGAGTTCACAAACCTGGGAGATTAGCCTCATGGGATATAATGTTGCAGCTTGCACAAACATATGAATAAGAAGACCTAATGCTTCTCAATGGAACAATATTCTATATCATCATTACACACTGCAATACAATAATAATTCCATTTGAATGCAATACTAGAAGTATTGAATATATTAAATTGCCCTGGGGTAAATCTTTGCTTTGGTCTAAAAACTTGGCCACAACAACTAACACACCACTGAATTCACTTATTCCACAAAAAAGAAAAAATCAGGTTATCATGTTGTTACAAAGCAACAACATTTGCTAATTTTGGAAATGAAAGCGAGAAACACACATTTAAAAAAAGTGTAGTATGAATGGCAGGGTTCTTGCTCATTTTCAGAAAGAAAGTTGAGCACATTTTAGCTCAAGTGGAAAATGTTATTTTTATTAAAGGCACACTGCACTACTTGTAGCTACTTGCGCCCTCTATATAACAAACAATGCCTAATCGGTGACCAATGGTCCCCCATGATCCTCTTTTTCCTATGTTAACTGAGAGCTGAGTTGATGAGATAACCACCTGTCCAGTGACCTTGCAGGGCGCTCTAATCCGTCCTGTAAACTACGGCAATAGGTTTTGCAGTCGGACACAAAAATGGCAAAACATCGTTAAGACACTTATTTTCACAAGTTATGAAAGGAAATAACATGTTAACTAGCTCCACATTTTGCAATATTTTATGAACAAAAAGATATATCTAAAATAATTATGTCTGACCAGTTATTTTAACAAGTAATTTATTTTGGACAAATTTCACTGTCAAAAAGATCATTTACTGAGAGCCAAAAAGACATTAAATCTCTTTTAGATCACACCCTTCTTGCTATTAGCAGATGTGCACAATAGTTGCACACAGTGTTTGTACACAAGTAGTATTTCCACTAAATAAATTTGTCAATAAAGTGTACAATCTGAGCTCTATGACATACTGTTTGGTGGTATTAAAGGTAATACAATGTTTTGGTGTGGGGTCATGAATTTGGTTCAAATTAACATATTGGAAGCATAAGCGATCCTACATGTACAATATTCAGTGATCTTTGTCGCGGTTGAAATCGAGTCTAAAGTTGTGAAATTGTAAATAATAAACTCTTTATGTTGTATAGCTCCCTCTTGAGGTCAAGATATTATTTAAGCTGTAAAACAACGTTTCTTTACTAAAATAGACCAATGGCCATTCCCTTTCGGAAATTATGTATCACAACTACATATTCTGAAATTTTCGTGGTTGCAGCTACCATTGTATCAGTGGCCGTAGGCGCCATTTTAAATTAATCAAAATTTACCAGGAGCAGCGGTAAATTTTTATATTCCATTTTTTTTTAAAGCAGAAGTGTTTTAATTAGGAGCTAAATTTTCTAGTGCCTATTATACATCCACAGGGGCATCAAGTTATATAAAAATAGTGAAGAATCACTATCCAGCCAATTTTCACAATTTCCCAAAACTTTGTAATACCTTTAATTATAACATGAATGCTGATATACAAAGTAACAGATCAATTTTTCAATCATGCTTGCAAGCCAGAGATGTAATGAATAGCTAGGCATCTAAAGAATTTTATTCTATCTATAACGCTCTACTCTAACAACAATCGATAAGCTCAATTTCATTCATTTCAGATCTATGCATGTGGTCGATCTAGATGAATGCCTTTACAAGCAGCAAACATTTCAGAAATGAAAACAAGATCAAAGAAGCAGCATTGCAGATTTTCACATTGTTTGCAAGATTTATAGTGATTCATGCCTACAGCTATACTGGAAGAACCGCAGACAAGAAAAGTTTATAAATATAAAGAAATACCATAAAAAGGGTATACCAGTATGCAAAGAGAAAGATAAAGAAAAATGACAAAATGACAAAAAAATTAACAAAGTAAAAACATTTCTCTAAGAAACAATTTTTAAAATAAAGTACAAAACTTTTCATATAAAAAAAAAAAGATGTTGAATTTTGCAAAAGAAAAAGTATTTTTCCATGATTAAAATAAAATATAACATTTTCAAAACATTAACATAACATATACTGTTAGGGGTATGAAATAACGACCAACTTCATTTATTTTGCAATGTCACATTATACACTTATACATGTAATATTGAGATCCTGTGAGATTAATGACTAATGACCAAGTGTTAGTAGTTCTGTTGAAAGTTTACTCATACTAACTGTTTTCTTATTTTAAACTGTATTCTTCTCAAATTTATTTATCAGAAGGATTGTATTTGATTGTACTTGATGTAAAGTGCTGAATATGTATTTAACTCATTATTTTATTCTGCTCAGCATTCCACATAACAATACTGCATGTGTATCTAACCTCTATATATTTTCTGAATTTCTGTTACTAATTCTTACACAAATGTATTGGACTTTATAGCTGAAAAATATATAGCTATATACCACGTCAGTCCACGTGTATATTGAACATGAATAAAATACCTATTTCACTTCTTCACAGATGGATCATACATGATATTCTGCAAGGATATCATGTCATGCAGAATTGCACAATTTGTACAATATTGATCTCAGCAAGTGTAACTAGAGATTAATACCAAATGGCTGAGTCCAAGGTTGAGAATACAACATCACTGTAATGATTTCAATTTAGACTTCAGTTTCAAATATCCCATATCTTTTACATGTACAATAGATAGCCGAGATAGTCGCTCAGTCAGTTATGGAGCCTAATCACACACACACAAAAAAACATCAAAATTGGAAATTATGCATTCTCATAGGAATTACAGGTTAAATATGTCATGTTCATAAGGCCAGATGACTATTTTCTCACATTTCTTTAAGTTGAGATGCTTTGCAGCAACTTATGCAGCTTTCAGTCATCTTTGCTTGTTAGAGAATTGTTAGCTAACTTATCAGCAAGTTTGGTCCAGGAACAACCTCCCCCCCCCCCCCCCCCCCTTTCCCTTCAAAATAATCTGGCAGTATGTGCCAATATTGATTTCAATTCCTACCTATACTAGCACACTTGGGGTGTAGATGACATGTTGAGGAGAACAATAGTAACCTTGTTTCTTTGTTGGCCTACAGGTTAGGTATTTACATGTAACTTGATCATCACTCCACACCACTACCAACCATGGAGAATAGGGTTAAAATTTTGATTGAATTTCAACCCTTTGGTAAGGACAACAAACCAATATATTAAAGGCCCAATCCATGTAAGATTATTTTACAATTTTTCTAAAGCAACATGCCGTCTTGTATTTTGTGGGGGCATGTGACAGAGCATATACATTTGTACTTTGGGCAAGATAGACTCTTTCTTTAATTTATGTTGAACATATTTCCTCAGAATGTGTGGGCTTAATGTACCAATTTTTTTGATTTACATAATTACAATGTATTTAACTGAACAGACAACTAACAGAAAAGTATGCAGAAATGGATTAAAACAACAACAAGCACTAACTTTAAATGAAATAGATATTCTATGCACACAAAAGTAATGCAGCAAGAAAAAATGCAAAAAACAACAATATTTTGTGTATAAAATACAAGAAAATTCTAAAGCTTTCTCATTTTGTGCTTTGATGTGCAAACAGCATAAGGCAAAAACAATAAACTAATAAAAAATAAGAGGGGAAAAAAAGAAAAGGAGGAGCAATCACTCTATTCATTATGTTAGCTTTTTTAATCTAATATTATTTTGTTGTTCCTTATTCATTTAAATAGACCTATGACACTTTTTAAATCATATGTATTTTTAAATATCAGTTTTCTCTCTTCACTTTAATATATATTATATACACTGTTGGTCATAAAGGTGAAATAATTATTTTAACCCCAATTTATGGAATGATTTTGATAATGATTTATTCCTAATAGTAATAGATCTAAACAATAGTATGCATTCTCAGATTTTATTGAATAATAATTTGGAGGGAGAGAGAGAGAGAGAGAAGGAGGGGGGAGAAAGAAAAAGGACATATTTTCACTGAAAGTATATATCCCTCCTCTTTCTCCTCTATGAAGGTTTCAGAAAAAAGAAAAGAAAATACCGATAAAATTAGAAAAGCTGGCTACAGGCAGGGGCGTCGCTAGACCTTTTTCAGTGGGGGGGGGGGGGGGGTGTAGAGGCCAACAATTACCGATAAAAACAAGCCAACAATTAGTGCTTTGATGTGCAAACAGCATAAGGCAAAAACAATAAACTAATAAAAAATAAGAGGGAAAACAAAAGAAAAGGAGGAGCAATCACTTTATTCTGATGAAAGCAAATCTATAATAAGCTAGGACATCTGAATACCTGTGACAATATGCTGGAGTCGTATGAAGCACTGGGACTGAATGAGTCCTCAGTGTTCAAATAACCTGCTATAGAAGCCATTTTAACTTCTCCAGATTCTGCAAAATGAACTGCATGACAAGAACCTCTTATTAGTATGCTTCAAAATTGAACTTTTACCCATAAGTGAAATCTTTATATATGTACTTCTGCAAATGGTACATAATACATAACGGCTTAATCTTACTTCATATTTATGAAGTCAGAAATTACAAATTACAAATATCTTCCTTTTTTTTCCCTTGTCTTTTCTTAAATTTGTGTATCTGTTTAACTTTTTTTTTAATCTCACCTGACTGTCCATACATACATGTACATTCATCAAATACACAAGTTAAAGACATTTTCCCTAATTTCATTAACTCTGCTACCTCTATTTCGATCCCCCACATATTCTCTATAAATAATGAATTATCACTTACAGAAACCTCAATTTCTCCTCCTCAAAAGATCTGCATAATGAATGTCAAAGAACATCTGCTTGCAACCCTTAATATTCATTGTGAACTATTTTGTCGACATGATTTCCTGAATGCAATTATTCATGAAGTCAATTGATGTTGGGTTGCACTGGTAGCACAACATATACAGTACACGATGTTCACCTGATATACATGATATAGTGTACATATTTTATTTTATTTTATTTCTGCATTTTTCCAATTATAATAACAAAATATCAAATCAAAGAACATATAAAGGGGTAAGGTATAATACAAAATATACATACAATGATAACTTCATGTCAATTTTTTTTTTTTAAAACATAATATATAATAACGAAACTTAATATTTCTATAACATATTATTATGAATTTAAAATATTATCCAAACTGTCAGTTGAAAAAAGTGCAGGAGACCGCAAACATAAACGTCACTCTGTAATGCTCATCTGTTGAGAGCCAGAAGTTTATTAACTTTGTGTATTGTGATGGTTAACTATTTGCTGGATAAGCATGAAAAACAGCTGCTAAATACCCCCACCCCCCCCCCCCGATACGTGTGGCAAAGGGTACCGTACCCCCTGGGTATGGGGAAGGTTCACAAATGCCATTTTTTTAAAGAATTCCCAAGTAAACAGATATTTCTCTCTAGATTAGTAGATCTAGAAGATAGTCTACACCTATAGTTGTTGTTTTGTCAAATAAATCTTTTTCAGGTTTTTTTTTTTATAAGGAAAAAAAAAAATGTAAACAACTTGTATTCACAAAGCTAGGCTAAACTGTACAAAAGTACTCACATTCCCCAACATATACCAAAAGGCACCACCAATTCCTAGTCACATTTAATAGAGATAGGCCTAGTCAGTAGTGAAAGCACCCGCTGCATGCTGGTATTACAACCACTGATGGTGCAGCCAGAGGCCGATGTCTCACCCAGCTGCTCGGCAGCTCCGCAGCCAAGATCCTCCGACAGGAGAGACTCCGACTGTAGTGTTTACCCTCCGATCCCGGTCATTCTCTTTATCCTAAAATGGAATATTTTTTCATGTAGAATACTGAAAATTTGATACTAGAGGTCTACTCACGTTTTAATAGCTCTATATTCCTTCCAATTCAACTAGACATTCAGACACACATTCATGATCAGGTTCTCCAGGAAGTCCTTCGCTCTAGCCAAGAGATTGCTGGTACATGTATCTCTTTGCTCTAGCTCAGCGAGTAATACATGTAGATGCGGAGCGGCGTCCCGTTGTTAAGATACAGGTGCAGCTGCAGGCAGGCTCGTAAATTAATTAATTAAATCTCTGTTGCACTACAAGCTGCCATCACCGCTGCGCGCACGCTACAACCTGGTGGTAGTGTACGGGTTTGAGTGTCGCAAATTAGTTACGTAATCAATCGTGTTTTTTCCCTCTTATTTTTGTCCATGCACTATATTTATATGCTGCGTAGCTAGATTTTTCATGGGGGAGGGGGGGGGGGGCATGCGAATGGAGATAATAGGCTGGTAACACTCACGAATTTTATTGGCTACTTTGATTTCGTAGATACAACTACAAGCTATATCTACGCAACGTGACCTTGTTCGTATATAGCCCAACATACCAAATTATAACTATATATAGTTATTTTTATTAACAGCATTTTTTTCCAAGTGGTATGTTGCAGTGGCGGATCCAGGGGGGGGGCCGAAACGGCCGCGGCCCCCCCCCCCTATTGGCGGCGCAAAAAAAAGGGGAAAAAAAAGAAAGGAGAAGAGAAGAAAAAAAGGAGAAGAGAAAAGAAAGGAGAAGAGAAAAGAAAAGAGAAAAGAAAAGAAAGAAAAGAGAGAGAGAGAAAGAAAAAAAAGAAGAAGATTCCCCCCCCCCCCCCCCCCACCTCACTCCCACTCCGGGGTCGGAGGGACCGATTTTGTGTTCCCAAAATTTCCGATAAAGGGTTACTTTTCACGCAACAAAGTCCGGCCCGCACTGACTCTACACACCGAAGATAAAGGGGTGCTTTTAAACTAAGAGAGGGAACATACATGCGCATACCCTAGATAATACTGAGTGGGTGGGGGTGGGGGTGGGAAGGGGAAGAGAAAAGTCGGGTGAGAAAGGGGGAAAGACAAGGAAATGGCGCTAAGTGACAGTAACGACGAATAAGGGAAAAACTGTAATCGGGAGATTTGGGGTCATTCCAGAAGGCTTGGGAAACGTTATTGATAGAGGGGGCCGGGCCGGCCGCATAAAATCTCGAGCCACGGATTCAAAGTTAAACGTTACAAACAGCCCCTGCTTTTTGAAAAAAAAATGAAAAGGGCACAATGTTTTGGATGTCTTTCAAATAGAAGCTATATACTCAACAGTCAATTTTTAAATTAACGGTAGGGCCGCTTCACAACTCTTATTTTGCCCTTCATTTGGATTCAGCTCATACCAACTCGCTTGTGCTTATATTTGAACTCATGTAGGTAGTGATAATGGACAGCGGCGGCGATCCTGGGCCCGATAGAGAGACACGCCCCCCGGAAATTTAGATATATAGCTAGAAAGAAATATACATGTGGCGGAAAGAACGTACATATTGGACTAAAGGATTTTCTAGAATGCATAATTTCAGCATTCTACATTGCAAAATCTCGCTTGGTCGCTCCGCTCCGGCCCTCGCCCGATAACACAAAATTAAGATATGACGCTCCCGGTCGCGATTATTTCATGGTTGGTGTATTTTCCCCTTTCATTTCTACTGACCTAATTGTATGCTATCACAATCATGATTGTTTCATTTTCCCTTTAAAGCATGCGTAGCTAGGGGCGGTAGGCGCAGTAAGAGGACATAGGACGAAAAAAGGAGCAGACAAAGAAACATTTTTGACAAGTCTAAAACGGGACAACAAATCATCTTCTTTCTCTCATAATTTAATGAAGCGTCAGAAGCTTACGCGCTACGCGCGGGAGGAGGAAAACTGAATTCAGACAAGGATTTAGAGTCGAGAATGAAACAACGAATCATCTTCTTTCTCTAATAATTCAATGAAACGTCAATGCTTCCGCGCTTCGCGCGGAGGGGGAAAACTGATTTCAGACATTAACAACCGAGAACGGTACAACGAATCGTCTTCTTTCTCTAATAATTTAATGAAACGTCAAAGCTTCCGCGCTTCGCGAAGGAGGGGGGGGGAACTCAATTCAGACAAGGATAAGAATGACAAGAATCGAGAACGGTACAACGAATCGTCTTCTTTCTCTAATAATTTAATGAAACGTTAAGCTTCTGCGCTTTGCGCTGGAGGGGGAAAAATGAATTCAGAGAAGGAATAAGAGTCGAGAATGGTACAACAAATCATCTTCTTTCTCTAATAATTCAATTAAACGTCAAAGCTTCCGCGCTTTGCGCGGAGGGGGGAAACTGAGTTCAGACAATGATTAAGAACCGAGAACGGAACAACGAATCGTCTTCTTTCTCTAATAATTTAATGAAACGTCAAAGCTTCTGCGCTTCGCGGGAGAGAGAGGGGGAACTCAATTCAGACAAGGATTAAGAGTCGAGAACGTTACTCTTTCTCTAATGATTTAATGAAACGTCAAAGCTTCCGTGCTTCGCGCTGGAGGGGGTATGGAAACTGAATTCAGACAATGATTAAGAATCGAGAACGGTACTGTACCGTCTTCTTTCTCTAATAATTTATTCAAACGTTAAACTTTTGCGCTTCACGCGGGAGAGGGGGGAACTCAATTCAGACAAGGATTAAGAGTCGAGAACGGTACTCTTCTTTAATGATTTAATGAAACGTCAAAGCTTCGCGCGGGAGGGGGTATAGAAACTGAATTCAGACAATGATTAAGAATCGAGAACGGTACAACGAATCGTCTTCTTTCTCTAATAATTTAATGAAATGTCAAAGCTTCTGCGCTTCGCGGGAGAGAGAGAGGGGGGAACTCAATTCAGACAAGGATTAAGAGTCGAGAACGTTACTCTTTCTCTAATGATTTAATGAAACGTCAAAGCTTCCGCGCTTCGCGCTGGAGGGGGTATGGAAACTGAATTCAGACAATGATTAAGAATCGAAAACGGTACAACGAATCGTCTTCTTTCTCTAATAATTTATTCAAACGTTAAACTTTTACGCTTCACGCGGGAGAGGGGGGAACTCAATTCAGACAAGGATTAAGAGTCGAGAACGGTACTCTTCTTTAATGATTTAATGAAACGTCAAAGCTTCGCGCGGGAGGGGGTATAGAAACTGAATTCAGACAATGATTAAGAATCGAGAACGGTACAACGAATCGTCTTCTTTCTCTAATAATTTAATGAAATGTCAAAGCTTCTGCGCTTCGCGGGAGAGAGAGGGGGGAACTCAATTCAGACAAGGATTAAGAGTCGAGAACGGTACTCTTTCTCTAATGATTTAATGAAACATCAAAGCTTCCGCGCTTCGCGCGGGAGGGGGTATGGAAACTGAATTCAGACAATGATTAACAACCGTGAACGGTACATCGAATCGTCTTCGTTCTCTAATAATTTAATGAAACGTCAAAGCTTCCGCGCTTCGCGCGGGAGGGGGTATGGAAACTGAATTCAGACAATGATTAAGAATCGAGAACGGTACAACGAATCGTCTTCTTTCTCTAATAATTTAATGAAATGTCAAAGCTTCCGCGCTTCGCGCGGGAGAGGGAAGAGGGGAGGGGGGGTACTTAATTCAGACAAGGATTAAGAGTCGAGAACGGTACTCTTTCTCTAATGATTTAATGAAACGTCAAAGCTTCCGCGCTTCGCGCGGGAGGGGGTATGGAAACTGAATTCAGACAATGATTAACAACCGAGAACGGTACATCGAATCGTCTTCGTTCTCTAATAATTTAATGAAACGTCAAAGCTTCCGCGCTTCGCGCGGGAGGGGGTATGGAAACTGAATTCAGACAATGATTAACAACCGAGAACGGTACAACGAATCCTCTTCTTTCTCTAATAATTTGTGAACATTAAAGCGTCTGCGCTTCGCGCGTAATTGGGGGGGGGGGGGAGGGGGAGGGGGGAGGTGACAGCGAGCTGCCCGAATATGAATTTGTTATATCTTTTCTCGTATATTTTGGTGATAAATAACACTTTCACAAAATACATATTATCCTCAAATTTTTGCTCGCTCGCTTCGCTCACTAGCCGAATTGTGAAACCAGAAAATTACTTTTTCGGGCAAGAGGCTTCAGCCCCCCCCCCCCCCCCCCGATGAAAATGTCAAAAAAAATTACCGGTATGGTGCTTCTAATATGACCTTGTCAGTATTGGTATGTTGAGTTGAAAAACTGTCTGCGCAATTTTCAAATTTCCGGCCCCCCCTATTGGAAAATCCTGGATCCGCGCCTGGTATGTTGGGCTAAAAACCACAGAGCAATTAAACAAACCTCGATCACTACACAAGGTTCTCGATTTATTAAAGATAGATACTGCTCTTTAATTGTAATTAAGACTGTAAAAGGGCACATTTTCAAAGCGGCAATGGAAAATAAAGGTGATAAAGGGCATTCTCGATCAAAGGGCTGTTATTAGAAAAGAAAAAGACACTTATAAAAAAAAAATACAAAAACGAGGGAAAATTACTTATAAAAAAAAGGACACTTGTCGGAAGGTAAAAAGGCACTCATCAGAAAGTAAAAGGGGCATGCACTTATTAAAAATGTAAAGGGCACTATCATGTGTGAAAAGAGGCACTCATTAGAAAAGGGGAAAAGGGTAGGCCTACCGAAAGGAATGGGAAATGCGCACTTGTATAAAAAGAGTAAGTAAAAAGAGCAATCGTGATTCTCCTCCTTTTCTCACCTTCTTTCTCTCACTTGCTTTCTTTTCTCATCCTACCCATTTTACATTTTATCTATCCTTATTTTATTTTTGTTTTTCATTATGTTAGCTTTTTTAATCTAATTTTGTTGTTCCTTATTCATTTATAGGCCTATGACACTTTTTAAATCATATGTATTTTTAAATATCAGTTTTCTCTCTTCACTTTATTATTATATACACTGTTGGTCATAAAGGTGGAATAATTATTTAAACC